ATGGAAGCATTCGCGTCGCCGTCTCGTGACGAAAGCCTCATCCCACGCAGGTCGCTGTCCCATTGCAGACACGCCTGATGGGGGTGGCGTTCGTCAGGTGCACGCGTGTAACGAAATCATAAGATTGGGCAAAAATACGGGGACCAGCATCGAGTTCCTCCCGCAAAAACCGGCAGGGGTTGAACACGTTTGCCCATGCCAGCGACAGAGCGCTGGCGTTTTGAAAGCTTGTCGTCCTCAGAAGTTCCGAGGCACGGTGATGGAGGATTTAAGGTTTGAACAAAAGGGAACGACCCCCCCCCCCTCTCTCTTGTGCGGAGATTTGAACGGTAGAAGGGGTAGCGTCAGGCAGAGGAAAACAAAAGGAACAAGGATTCGTCCAGAAGGAGCGTAAGCACAATACCACGTCGTCGTCCAACGTTACGGTGCAAACAGATCCGACACAATAACACACAGATGTGGATGGGAAGATTATCTTCAGGCCCTGGTTGGAGAGGAGAGGAAACCAATGACACGCGCGTGTCGCTCTGCAGGTGTCCGAGACGGGCGTGCTTCAAAAGCAGCCTAGGAAGTAAATGCTGCAGCGCGACTGGCCGGCAAGGGGAGTAAGCCAGATCCACAGCATCGGGTCACCACTCTGGCACCCGCTCGTCGGGACCCAAGGAACTGGTCTCCGGTGTGCGTCCTAGCCCGCTGATCTTCTGACCCTGCAGAGCGCAGAGAGATTTGCGGCGCTATCCGATTCCCTCTTGGTCGATGGAGACGACAGATTCTGGTGTTTGTGACGATGGCGTGGAGAAAGCAATATGTGTCTTTGGATAGATCCACACAAAGGCAGGCCACCGCAATTCACGTAGCCTTTCGCGCGTCAAGCGAGCTTTAATCCACGCAGAGGCTGCAAAACCTCCCCGATTCCTAATCTGCAGTGCTTCTGGTTCGAACCTTTCCCCCCTCAACTGGAGTTCTGGGCACGGTGAAGACGCGCGAGAAAAAAAAGTCACAGTAAAATTGCAGCGAGAGGAAGTCAAACATGGCGTCCATCTTCCAGTAGATGAGACACCTGCTCAACTGGCCTGGCCTACTTGTCCAGAGGAAGCATGGGTTCCTGTTGGGTAAGGGGTTACGCGAGATTTTGAAAGGTCGTCTCTCTGGGACACGATTATTTCTTCGTTTAGATACTCCGTGCAAGTGTGCTCCGTAGCCTTGTATAATCGCCAGATGCGCTGTGCAATCGTCATAAATAGAAACCTGTCACACTTTGCGGACCGTCGCATGACCAGAGAGAGCGTTGCACGCTCGGACGGAACGACCACAGGGAGACCACACAGATGAAGGAGAGCAGGAGTTCACCCAGTGTAGCTTCTGGGCTCAGATTCAAGTGTAACAGTTTGTGCTAGTTCCAATATTTTGCCCTCGAAACCAGGAAGATAACTGTACAGAAGGGTTGCACGTGGCAAAGCGCGCTAGGATCAGGCACACTGAAAGCAAATTGGCGGTCATTGCAGCGATTCGCCAAAACACATCGTGAAGGTATACGGCTTTTTTGGTAGTGCCGATATCCATGCCTTCTATTGCCGTGGGTGCACTTGCAGAGGAGACGACAAACGTCACTCCTGACCTTCCAAAAAGGAAAAAAAAAGAAACAAGAAACCAGTGGCCAACCCCGCTATCCGAGGAAGGTCATGCCTGCCGTCACAAATTTGAGGAGCCGACTCTAACCTTTCCGAGACAGTGCACGTCTGCAATCGGAGCCCAACTATCACATAGAGACGGAGACGTGAAAGTGTCGGTGATCTCGTGTTCGCTGAGAATGAACTGGATATAGGTGATCAAATGATCTGAGATGAACGGCGATGAGGTCTGGGCCTAATGTCGTAGCTCTTGGCAGGCGCGTGCTCCGTTTGTGGGTACGTACAGGCCAGAACATGGTGGAGACAGTAAACAAGGCGCGGAGCCTTTGTGGTGAAAATCCTCAAAGCGGCGAGGTACTGGGTACACAGCCGTGCTGCTACATGGACACAACCGAACCGTGCATTACTGTCGCAAGGCTTGGTCGGGGCGGTTGAACAGCAGGTCACACGGGAAGGAGGAAGAAAGGAAGGGGGGGGGTGTATTATTCCTTTCGATCTGCGGAAGGCGACCGATGAGTGCGTTTCCAGCAACATAACAGCATAACCAACGGCATCTTCACGCAGAGCCAAACGAGGTAGTGTAGGACCACAGATGGTGGGCGGCGAAGAAAAATCATGGCTGAGTGGAGCGTCGCTTTACCGCCTTCAAAAGGCACTTGGTCAGGTGCTCGCACGACGAACAAACGTGTCGGTTCTCTGCGATCATCGGCGATGCGATCGACTGGAGCAACGATCACGACGAGAAAGAGCCGGTGGCAAACCAGCTGATGCTGCGGTTGACGATATCAGCCTTTTCCCCGCGTTGGCTCCAGCCTGGAAACCGAGAGCGAGCGTACAATCGCACGAAGCGGTTTCCAGGGCAAAAGGCTGGAGACACGGTCGCACATGATGCCGTGGACGGTGCGGTGGCATTTGGAGAGGTTTGATCAGATGAGCATGGAGGAGGCTTCGCGGCCTGCCAGGAGCTCTGCGCAGGTCGAGGTCGCCTCACTGGCAGCCTGAATGATGATGAGCATGGCTGGTAAGTTATTCGTGCGAGCGCAGGGCGAGAATGGTCCAGCGTCTCCCCTGCACAACGGCGATCTGACTCGTCGAGATCCGGGGGCCACGCTTTGGTGCTGTTCTCCGATCAGCAAGCGAGTCGCGCTCTTCTCGTTCCTGGACCCAGAAAGTGGTCACGTTGCGAAGCCTGGCTCTCACCGGCGGCCAATCATGGACCAGCCGAGCGTGCGACGAGAGCACGGAGAAGATGGGGAAAGGAAAAAGCGAAGGCTGGGTTGCAGGAGCTTCCGCGTGACGGTGTGGGTTTTGCGGCTGTGCCGTTTTCAGCAAACCCGTCCGTTTTCTTTTCGAGCCCGCCTGCGAGTGCCCCTTCCTGGGCTGTCCCCCGCCTGGCTCAGCGCCTGGATCCAGCGCCGTGACAGTCAGTGGCCTTGTCGTGTAGGCCACGCCGAACAAGCAATCGCTCGCCCATCATCCTCGTGCCGCGCTTTCTGCTAGCATCGGCTTTTTCACCGCTCCATCAATTTCAGAAGGCCGGATGGTGTGCGTCCCAGAGTCGAGTTCGTCATCTCAACACCAGTAGATGAGGTTGTTCTCGCGTAATGCGTCCGCTCTTTTTTTCTTTTCTTTTTTTTTTTTTTTTCCTTCTTTCTTCGTCTTGGGTTCCCCCAATTTGCATGTTTTTACGTAGCCCTTACCAGCAACTCATGGCTGAAGCGTCGCGGAAATGCGTCAGTGAGAAGAAATAAAAAAAAAAAAAAAATGAAACGACGCCGGGGGGCCGCTGACTCCCTCTGCGAAGTGCAGGCAGTCAAGCCTCATCTCTTACAGACACGTTCGTCACCGCCTAACTTGAAAGCAATAGTCGTATGGCTGTGCACATGCGAGTTGCGCGCACTGCAAGCAGCGGGCTGCAGAATAATGGTCGACAAAGGAGGATAAAGGGGAGTTTGTTCTGTCGAATGTCGGTAGGACCGTAGTGGCAGTGGGCCTGCACGTTCCCAATGTGCATATGAGCGAGACCGCGGACGGGGAGATGAGAGGGATTGCGAAGGCGGTCCCGTGCAGTGTAACACGGCGACAGTCCGTGACCTTTTCAAAACGTTTGCAGCCAGACAGAGCAGCGGTTGCTACAGCAGCCAGAACGGAGTCCAGACATTATTCGAGCGGACGGTCGGAGGAATGATGGCGGCTTGAGTCAGCGATGGTGGCAAGGATTCAGTAGTAGTCGGAGGTAACAGATGGTCTAGGAGTGTTCTGGAAAACACCACTTGGGCATACGGACAGCTGGGACGATGCGCTAACGAGCAAGGCTTCCGCTTCCCCCCCGCCGCAGAAGTGCGCGACTGCTGTAGAATTGGGTAAAGACTGCCGTGGGGGAGCGAAGAACCAAAGGACGGTGCTTGGCCAGCGCTGACACGAGGTGCTCCGACATGAGCGGACCATGAAACGCTGGGAAAGGGAGGATGGTCTGAACTATGACGAGGCCGAATCGCGGACGAGCACGGGGACATCAGTGCTTTTGCACGCATTACTCGTTCATCGCGACGGCAAGCCAGTGGCTCGACGCGGAACTGGTACGGTGTTTTGAACCACACCTGAGCGTCACGAACCAAAGGGCAGAGGGAAGAGAGCGGCGTGACGGGAGCGGGCAACTTTGTGTGGGTGGGAACGGCGGGTTTGCGTGCGATCACGCCCGGCGAGATCGTCCAGTTGATCCCGTGGATGGCAAAGGAGCCCCGTGACTGAGCTTACCAAACGGGTTCGCACGAGTGGGCGACCGGAGGGGACAACCAGCGGGCACGTTGTGTCCTTGGGCGGGTGGGGGAAGAGAGCGCAGAGGGGGGGAACAGCCCGTCGAAAGGAAGGGGAGCACTCGGAGACGGGGGAAGGGGAGGGGGAAGGGAGCGAGTGTGTCGTGGCAGCAGTGGCACAACGCACGGCGGCAGCAGGACCGCGACTGTGGCAGTCGAAGGGGGAGCAGGTGGTGGTGGTGGTGGTGGTGAGGGAGCAGAGGAGGATTTGGGCCGGCCGTGGGCGTTCACGCTAGCGAGACAAAGCACACGAGCACGAGGCGCTGGTTTTAGGGAGGGTTGCGGGCGGGTAACAGTGACGGTGATAATGACAGCAATAATGATGATAATAATAATCCGCCGACGAAAAGATGAATCGAAACCAGCCCATGCGCTGTGGAAGCCGGCCTTGGACGCCCCCTGTCTGGTCACTCCCGCCGCTTTAAGGGCGCCGTCCGTCGTCGACTCGGATGGGGGTCTGTCGCTGGCGTCGTGGGCGTTTGCTGGCGTCGATGGCTTGCGACCCGCTGCCCACGCTTCTTTAACCACCGGCTTTCCCATATTCCAAACGCCCGGCCCATAATCCATCACCACCAGCACTCAACTGCTCTCGCGCCCTCGCTCTCTCTCTCTCCCTCTCACTCTTGCTCGTCCTCGCGCGCGCGCTCTCGTCTTCTTCCTCTCCCGTCTTGACCACCCTCGCCGCCGTCGCCCTCTCTGCTGCAGCAGCGGTCCCCACATACCGCCCAGCGCGCCCTCTTGCCACTGCCCGTTCATGCTTACGCGAGCACCTGCCCTCTTCCGCCCGAGGTCACCTGCTCGGCCACCCTCTGCTTGGTACCGCCGATCTTGACGCAATCGCTCAACCGTCGACTTTATCCTCCTGCGAACACGTTCCCCGTCCCACCAACTCTCTCCCGCAAAATACAAACCTTGTCTTGGTTGCGGTGCTCGCTGTCCCGCGACGGATGCTCGCGAGACCTTCACCATGCCGTTTAGAGCGCAGAAGTCGCTCTTGAACCTGGACGAAAAGTCAATAGAAGCGATCGACACCCGAAATGTAATTGACCTTCACGGGCTCTGGTCCGGTATGTTCTCCTGGGGATGCTTCCCTGTCTTGTGTTGCGACACACAGGCCGCTAATCTGTCTGCCCTTGCAGTATTCCACAAGTGCGCCGACGCCCTGGAGAACGGGAAGCGCCTCGAGAACCTGAGCTGGAGACTGTTCAGTCGCGAGGCTTTCTGCTGCGCGCCAGACCTGTCGCTTCCCTCCGACCGAGGCCTGCACAGCAAACGAAACACCACGTCCTCGCTCGACCGGGTGCCAGACCTTTCGTCGAGCGTGGACTCCCACTCCTCCAGCGAGGGCCTTGAGTCGTCGTCAAGGGCATTGCCCACTTCGGCGCGCCCCGAGCTGATTCGCAAGGCCGTGATGGAGGGCGGCGCACGGAAGGAGAAACACATCACGCCGGTTGACCTCGAAAAAATCGTCGTCTCGATAAAATCACGGCAGGACCTGGCCCCGTTATCACCGTTGCCCCCAGCGCTGGTCCCCTCCGCACCCGCAGTCCACACGACCCACGAGACCGCGCAACACGAGCAGGTCTCCAAACCCGACTCCACACCTCAACCGGACGTGGCTCCTGCGAAAGCCACGTCTCAGTACGTCCTTGACTCATCCACCTCGACAGTGGCAACCGACGGCTTTTCAGACATGAGCCCTCCTCTCGCCGGAAGTGAGACCACGGGCACGGACGTGAGCGCAACGAGCATTGTTCGCGGCTTCTCCAAGGATCACATCTCGTGCTCGGCGCGCTCGCACAGCCAGCTACTCCCCACGCCCACGCCTTCTGGTTCGATCCTCAAGAACTCTGCCACCTACCGCTCGCAGGCGCCACAACAGCCAAAGAAGAAGGGCGCGACCTTTCACCTCGGTAGCTCATCCGGGGAATTCGAGAGCTCTTTTGAGAGCAGCTACATGCATGGGCGCAGCTCGCTGTCCGAAGGCCTCCGACGTTCGAAGAAGACGACCTCCTTCAACGACCAAGTATCCACACTTGAAGACGAGTCGCGACCGAAGTATCAGGACACTGCGGTTTTCGACGACTCGGACGAAGACGACGACGAGGAGCAGTCGAGCAGCGCGATCGAGGAGGACGATGGGGAGGATGACTGGGAGGACGACGACGAACAGAGCGCATCCTCGAGCGTACAGGAGAGGGAGCTGTTTCAACGCGTCGATTCGAAGCCCAACCTAGTGTCTCGCCGCTCGCTGCTGACGAGCATGATGCACGAGAAGGATCGGGCAGCGGCACTGCAGAATGCCGCCTCACGCTCAACTCCTGCCATCCGCCGCTCCCGAACGACCTCGCCAAACGGTCCTTTAAATTCGTCACAGCACACGTCCATCACGCAGGGCCTAGAAGCCTCTCGTGCACGGCCAATAGTGATGACCGCTTCCAACACCCACCCTCCAGCTCTGTCTCCGCGCACAACCAGACGAAACATGCTGTCCACAGAGCTCACGGAGTCTCTTCGGAAACATATTCTATGGGATCGACAAGTTAACCGGTCCACGACCAACGCGGCACTCAAGCGCAGACATACTGCGCAGGACATGACCAAAATACGACACTTCCCAGGGGAAAACCATCCGCAAACATTCATGGCTTCCAAAGTCCCCCAATCAGTAAAGAGCTCCTGGAACAATAACTACTTTGACTCCGGTTTGCAAGAGTATCACCAAAAAGGATGGTAGACAAAGACAAAGAAAAAAAACATCCACGGCGACGACGAGTCATGACTCTCCCATTTCGAGTTGCTAACACTTGTGGGTTCATCATAGCGAAATTGGCGTTTCTTTGATTCTTCTTTTCTCTCCCCCCTCCCCCCCATCTTGCCTCCCACTTCTCTCACGGACAATCCTCCGCGGCGATGGGTCAAGAATCCACCTCGGACTCAACATGCTCGATTAATATACTGGAGAGGGCACTTGTACTGGGGGGCATTTTCATTTCTGCACGATACCACCACACGAGCAGCTTTTTCCTCTTCATATCATGGGATCGCTTTCTACCGCAGCTACTGCTTACGATGCTTACGGCCTTCTCTGACTCAAACTTGCATTTGATTTTTTTTTTCACTTTCACCGCGGCAGCTCTCCATACAGGGAGCATGGTTGTTTAGATGGGAGGGCATTCGAGGGCGTGATCATGGGACAGCATCATTTTGGGTGTTATTGAAGCATGGTTGGCTGGGCATGGTGTCTTTCTTATTTCACATGCTACCAGCCAGGTACGCGATCACGAAAGGCCCACTTCATCAGGTATCCTTTTTTTTTTGGAACACTTCGGCCCCTCTGCGTTTCCGTGTACCAGTACCGTCAATACCCAGTAAAGCCATCTGTACTATATTCAAACCAGCCTATTATTCTTTGACGAGGCTTAGTCCTGGATCATGGCATGATTATATTTGCGCAGAAAGGGCGGCGCGAGGATCTCAGAGCCCTCACGGGTTACCTCCTTATCATTCTTAGTGTAAAAGCATCAATGCATAATACCATATCGAACCACATACAAGAGACGTATTACACATCACACGGGCTTGCAAGGTCTGCTGAGTGAGCTCTATCTTTTTTGATTCTTCTAAATCCCCTCACCGTCAGTTACGACCCGCACCGTACGAGGACCTCGTACATCCAGAGCCGGTCGAAATTTAGGACGAAGTATCCTTTCGTTGGTATCCTGTGGCACATTGAAACGTTCAGCCTGTCAGAAGGCTTGTTGGGACAGCCTTGCAGGGAGCAAGGCCCGCTTTCAAGAAAAGCGCACATGCAACGATGAGTTTTTTCTGCTGGACTAGCGAACTGTAGTTGCGCCCTGCCGCCTCCACCTCGGGCCTGTCGTTCGATTCTTTTCCCTAGCCATTCTCTTACCGCTTCTTTCGTCCTGAGGCGCAATCACGGTCTGTTTTTTCTTTTTTCTGCTTTGCTGCGGCAACCCGATCGATTTTCTTGTGGTCTTGCGTGTCCGCAATCCAACAACACCCTTCTCACACCCCCCCCCCCGCCTCCCTTCTTCTCCCCTTATTTTCTCTTTCTTCTTCTTCTTCTTTTTTTTCTTTAGTCATTGAGACAATGCTACCGTCGCATGAGCCCCCCCCTTCCTCCCGCGTTACAGGGTCGTGTGGTGTCCGGGATCGTCTGGCACCAGAGAAAGAAAAAAAAAAGAATCATCCGCCTACACATGTACACCATAACGGCCTCCATTGCCCTTCACCCTATGCCCCAAAACCTTTCCCCAAGCGCGCACCAGCTGATGTCTGCCTGCAGATGCAGATAAGCCCGTGCCAGCCGTTTTGAAACCACTTTCTCTTTCACCGGAGAAGAGAGGGGGGGGGGTTTGGTTGGTTGGTGAGGGGCTCTTAGCATGTGTGCGACGCGTTGGGTTCAGATCCCTTTTTCGCGATCCCCGATTAGATGGCTCCGCTCTGAGCTTTTGCAAGCACAAGGCTTTTTTCGTTAGTCAAAAAGCATTCGCAGTAGTCTATCTTTTTTGGCGCGCAGCTAGGTCCAGTCCATGGCCGCTCTATGGAAGCGAAGGAGCAGGAGAAAAGAAGAGAGTGAGATATGCGTATGTGTGTGTTCTGTACGTACGTGTCTCTGTCAATCCAACTTTCTCCCGCCTTGTGCTTCTTGCGGTGAAAGGTACAACCCAAACTCGCTTCGACGTTGAAAGAAGCGGACGGACACGCTCGTACCGAGCATATCTCCATCCGCGCAACACCCGGGTGCAAGCAAACGACGGGCGCCTACACTCTTCCCTTGTGTCTTCCCGCAAACCCTTTCCCCCCCCCCTCTCCCTCCATCTCTGTCCTCTCAGATGACCTGCCTTCGCTCGCCCTTGCGTCCCGTCTTTCTGCTGCCTCGTCGATTTGTGACACAAGAAAAGGTGAGTCGCCCCTGAGGGCTATCGCGCACGGGATTTGCTGGGCTCGACATTGGACCAACCAGCCCTGCGCGCGTCCGTCAACTGCATGCACGCTTGTCACGAGTAGGATCGCCGCCGGGACCGCCCTTTGGCGAACAGAGCATGTCTGACAACGTGGCGGAGGATGGGGTCATCTGCTTTGCACGCGGGCACTGCCGCGGCGTACAGCCGAGAGGGGGGGGGTGTGTGTGTGTTATGTGTGTGTCAGTGTGGAAGGGAATGTGAGGTCTCGCGGGCTTGCGCGGGCAGCGTCAGCTTGAATTCTCCAACGACACTCCCCGCGGAGCCTGTCGCTTCACGCTTTTTTCCTGCGAGCTTCTGCCCGTTGTGAGCGCGACGTTCGGCCGCCCTTTGGCTCCCCAACCGGCGCCGCGACGCACTTGGACGTCCTTTCGTGACGAGCTGTTCGGGTCACGACGTGAGGTCCCGTGTGAGCATGGACGCTGGAAATCTCTCTCACGTTTTTTCTCGTCGCCCGCGGTGGCATCTTGGAACATGCCCCAGAGGCCTAGACTATCCCACGGTGCACTTTTAAGCCCTGACAGCGGCTTGTCGGCGCGAGAAGATCGCTGCATTTCATCCCTCTTGAACCATACCCAGCAAAAGACCTCAGAGCGGATGTCCCGCGTCGTTGAGCCACGCCCACACGCCGGCTGGGCGATGCTTAGTGATCTTAAACCTGGCGAACCCGCTCTCTCACTACCACGCGCGTGTTGCGCCTCCGAGGACCGACACGGAAGCAATAGGCAACGAGCGTTTCGATGCCGGGAGTGAGGGGAAGCGCTGGGCAGCTCGTACAGCCCCATCAATCAATCGCCTTCTGCTCAATCTCGAGCGCAATCTACAAATGCAGCCCTGTGACTCAGATGCCCGCGACAGTGGACGTAGCTTGCAGACGCAGCCGCCGGACCAGTGACCGGCAGCTCTCAGCCTCATGTTGAATCATCGTGACCGACCATCCCATTAGTCGTCGCTCATCGCCGCCTTTGTGTACGGGAGGGCCACAAATTACCCACGATAAATACAGCCCCGAGGTTGCCCTTGGTTGACGTGCGATGACAAGCGAAAGGAAACGCGTGTTGGGAAAACAAAATAAGAAGCAAAGGAATAACCAAACATATTCCGCAAACGTGCATTGGATCGTTCGTCGTCTGACCTCGCGTGCGAGTCGCTGTGACGTTCATCCTTTTTCTTCGCCACGATCCTGATCCTTTCCTTTCTTTAATTCCCCTGCCCCAGGAAAGAGACCCACCCTTCCAACGACATAAAGTGAAAAGAAAAAAATAACGATAATTAAGCATAAACGGGAACAACAAAACATATGCCAAACAATGGCAGACCAGGCGAGACACGAGGATTCAGACACGGCAGACGTTGCGCAGCAGGCACCTGCCGTGATGCGGTCGAATGACGGTGCGTTCTGTGCTAATCATCGGGCTTCCCAGCGAGTCTTGACGGCGATGCGTTCACACATGCATCTCGTTAGCCGCTCAACACATGGTCATCTGCTCACGCTGGACATCAGGGATTGATGAGTTGTCAAACAGTCCGAGGGCAGCGCCTCTTCAGCCTTCGCCCTCGCTGCCCAGACGCGCTCGCAAATGCCGGTTCTTTGGGTCGAAAGCCGGTAAGGTCACATTCGAATCAAGCGCCTCCTCCCTTGCATTACCCCGAGTTTTTATGTTTTCTTTTCCACTCTTGCGTTCTCCCTTTTGCCCGCCGCCTATTCGTACGCGGTTGTGGTGGTTTTGTAGCCCCCTCGATTCCTCCCTAGATTGCCGACTGTCTGCAGCAGCGATTTGACGTCCTTGGGATGTCGGCGACCACGCGGGCCGTCGCCACGGTGTGGGGAGTGTCCCTCCTAATTAGCCACCAATGATTCGAATGCTGCGAACTGACTTTGTGGACTTCGTGCTGCAGGATGTAGATCGGGGAGCAACTGCCCTTTCTTGCACGACGCTTCTGGTCCGCAAAGAGCGGAACTCCACCAGATCCAAGCGGCGGCATCCCATAGAGACGGTGTTACTGCCGCACCAAGTTCAGCCCGGGGAAGAAATGATGGGCCGAGCTGTGACGGTGTCGTCGGCGGGCGCACAAAGCCTGCGCCGCTACATCGTCCCGAGTGGAGAGTGCAAAAGCCGATCTCTCAGGCCCAGGTCGACGACCCGAGGATGTTTCAATTGAACCAGGTGCGGAGGAGGTACAGGCCGGCAGAATCCCAGAATACGGAGTCGACCGTGCTGGACCTGAGGATCGTGCCTTCGGATCCAGACTTCCCCTTTGAGCTCGAGGCGTTGGAATGTCGCCTGACGGTACCTATGTCCTTCCCTGCTGAGATGCCCAGGATACGCGTCACCAACAAGGAGATGGGGAAGGGTTATCAGCTCAACGTGGAGGCAGGTTTCTATCAGATTATGAGAGACCGGCCGCAGGGCACCATGCTCCAGTGGCTCAACGAGCTCGACAGACGACTCGAGGCTCTCTTGGCCAAAGAAAAGGCCGACACCGTCAAGATTGTTGTGCCCCCAGCAAAGAAGTCTGAACGAGCCCAGGAGCCGGTCGCGGTAGACAAAGGCAAGGCTAAAATGCCAGAAGTGTCCAAGCCTCAGGCACAGCCTGCCGAGCCTGCTCAGCCTGCTCAATCTGCGTATGGCACACAGCAGCTGCTCGACGCAAAGTCCAAGCGTGAGATGGACACTCTACAGCTGGAGTGTCGCCTTGGCCGACTGCCCCAGTACGCCAAATCAGACGATGGTCTAGTGTATACCATTCCCGTAGAACCACGTAAGCGCGACGAGCTACCATCATCGATCCAGTCCGTGAAGACACTTAAACTGATCGTGCCGCAACTGTACAACCTTCAGCCTTGTAGAATTGAGCTCGATGGAGTGACGGGTCACGATGCGGAGATTTTGCACGAAGCGTTCACGGCTCGCTGCACGGAGATGCCAAATTTATCACTCGTTTCACATCTCAACTATCTAATGCAAAATATGCATACAATGGCTGCCACGACCTTTGTTAAGAAGGTCGAGCCAATCCCAGCCGCTGTGCCTGAACCCAACATCGCGGAGGACAAATCTGAGCGTCGGTCGACGGTCCCATCCGCGACGGACGATTCTCGAAGCCACATAGTTAAGATTCCACGACCGCCGGAGTGGGATGTCCGCGACGAAGCAAGTCCGTCAGAGAGCGACGACTCGTACGCTTCAAGCTTAGACGAGGACAACAACAGCGTGGAAAGTGATGTGGAAGCGACTCAACCTCAAGGCGAGGGTTCTGATGTCCAACGAGGAATTTTGGTGTCCTTCCCACACCTGGAAATGCATGGCATTGAGCTCATGGAAGTGTATTCAATATCGTTGGAGGTCAAATGTGACCGGTGCAAGACTCAGATGGACGTGATGAACGTGAAGAACAACGCCAAAGTTGACTCCGCCGGTGTTCGATCCGAGTCTTGTCGGAAGTGCGCAAATGCAATCAGCATCGGTGCGGTTCCCTACGACGTTTCGGTCACGCTCGCGCGCTTGATTTGCTGATGCATTAAGACTACAGGATACAGGATGGATTTGATACACGCGAACTCTGTCAAAGCCGGCTACGTCGATCTGGATGGAGCAACGATCGTTGATCTGCTGCCTAGGTATGTTGTACTTCCTCATCAGAAATGCGCACGGCGATCAGCCTTGCGCGCGCACGTCATTTGCGATCTAACCATGGCGATCAGCAATTTCATTCCTACGTGTTCGCAATGTTCGACAGCGTCACCCCAGCCGGGCGTCAGCTCCGTGCGAGGCGAATCAACAATGGCGGTCTGTCGAAGATGCCACGGAAAAATGAGTGCGTACCAGCATCCGACGACATTTCAGGATCACTACCCGCCAAGGCTGACCATGAACATAGCTTTTCGCATCCCCGAAGTTAAGTTTCTTCGGATCAGCGCCGCGGCAGGTAAGTCCTTCCCCACCAAGCCCGATCGATTGTATTTTGCCAAATGACCCGAGTCGTATCGTATCATTGCTCCGCAGTATAACGTTTTCCTGTCGTTAATCTTGGTTCCGTTCTCCAGTTCGAGCTAGCAGAGCGCCGCCTCGTAAGAAGCATGTAAGTTCCCTTGACCTAGCATCAAGCTCTTGTTCTGGCAGTGCTTTTTAGATGATGCCCAGAGGCGAGGGAGCAAAAGCAGCAAGAAGCTAATGCAATGGTAGAAAGAACGACTAGGCTTGACGGTAGGAGAAGAGCTTCCGAAACGTGGTCGGTGCAAGCATTACTCGAAGAGCATGAGATGGTTTAGGTTCTCCTGTTGCAGCAAAGTGTTTCCTTGCGACAGGTATGTTGCCACTGCTTCCATCCAATCGCTATGCTCTACCAATGTTTCCAGCACCAAGAAACCTTTCTGTCTTGAGTAATTGCTAACAACAACATTAGGTGCCATGACGAAGTCGCCGATCACCCTACCGAACACGCAAACCGCATGATTTGGTAAGTTTTTTTGCTCGTTCAGCCTCGTGACACTCTTACTTCGGCCTCTCCTTTGCCAAACATGCTCGATGATGTCAGGCCGCGTCTGTTGCCGCCATCAATGAGCACCTGCACGTAACCCCGCAATGTCCGATTCCCCGCGAACCTTAAAACGTTTTTTGTCTAGGGTCAAGCCTCTCGGGCAAATATCAATTTCGTTTTTGTGATTCTCTCGCGTTCTTGATTAATTATGATTGGGCTAATTTATCCCTCTAGTGGCTTCTGTAAGTTCCGCCCCCAGCTTTTGAGTGGCTGCTCTGCCCTCTTTCGCGGCCGCTTTTTCGTCAGACCGCGTGGAACTTTGCCAGCCTACGCCCTACGAACTAACCGCGCAACAGGTTCCCGCGAGCAGAACTATCGGCCAGAGGACTGCGGATTTTGCCATGCTGTCCTCACAGGAAGGAAGGGTTCTGGCTTCTGGGAGGGTGGTAAAGGTAAGATCTACCCTTTTGTTTTTGGCTTGGTTTGCGTTCCTGTTTCGGGAAAACGAAGTCGTTCCCTCCCAAGTCGCAACATCGACAACCATGACTACTATGACCACGCGCACAAAGCCGCATACGTATCGTTCAAGATCGCCAGGCACACGACTATCCAGACGGCATCTTAATCACGTGCTTTGCGTGCCATTGGTGGGATGCCGGATCTTATCCAAGACAATGGTAACCGATGTCACCGAGCTTAAATTTGCGGGACAGAATGACACGCTCACATCTACTCACGAGCCGAACTTCTTGGCCTCCCTTCAATGACGGTTCAGAAAAAGCAGCAAGGCGCAACGGCTTTCTCGATTATTACCCCGGTTTAAAGACGGCGAGTTGTATTGATCTTTTGATGGAGTTTGGTAGGCTGTCCGGGGTGGTTGCACTTGCATGACATCCCGGCTGGCATGTGAAATGAGGCAGCCTCAAAACACATGCACATTCTCCATCCAAGCGAACACACAAGGGCACCACGCAATCCGCCTATCATTTTCGATCGCACTTTGCCACAGCGTCGGATTCTTGTCGTGATCATCCATCACAATGCAAGGCGTTGCACGCTGATGTCTTCGGCTACAAGACTCCTGCGAGGGAGGGGAAGTTGGGGGTAGTAGGACCGAAAGTAGTCGCAAGATTACTGTCTCTCCCGCTTTCCCCTCTCTCTGGCTGTGCGCGCCACACTTTCAAGAGGCGTGTTGATGTCCTTCGCGAGGTTAACGCGTCGAGAACGCGACGGCGGTGGACTTTGGTCGCGTTATGGATGGACATTAAACTTTTTGTTCCTTCGATGGCACGCATTGCGCTTATGCACGAGCACCTGGAGTTGTACACGCCTTTTCGCCCTAGAATCGGCCCTTTGCACGTGCCCCTTTGTGCTCACATCTGCAAGCCCTCCCTCTCCGGCCCCTATCCCAATTTACGGGCTTTTGCGTTGTCTCCTTTTTATCGTTTCTCCCCCCACCCCCAACAGCCTCAGCATTGAGACTGACGTCGTGATTGTTCTGCACAGGTACCCGCGATCAGATCAAGATGTCGAGAAAGGATCCCAGGAAGTATAAACGGATGCCGGGAAGCAGAGTCGGGCCGGGCAGCAGCTCGAAAACGAAGTGATGATCAGCTTGGCCGGGTAACTTTGTGAGCTCTGGCCAGCATGACGAAGCAAAAGCACTGCACAGCCAAGTCGAACACAGCTGAGGATTGGGTCTCACTATGGCCCTTTTTCTTTTTATTCACAAATCCGATCTTGAGACAGAGTGTCGATCAAGCATCCCACGCCTTCGTTACGGCGACGAGTTTATTGAGCGCTGCACAAGAATCCCGCTTGCAGTATTGAACTTGAATGCCCCTGAGCCACTCTGTCCGTCAAAGCTGCGTTTGTTCTGGATGTAGATTTGGTTTGTTCTTCAAATTGACACAGAAGACAGACTATCTATTAACGTGCTAGCTCACAATGAATGCTATCGTTGAGAAGTTTCTTCATGCCCTTGCATCATTCGGCTTTCTTTCTTTGCCTTCTGATATCTTATAGTAGCATGCACTGCAGTGGGAGTGCGGTGAGCTGGATGGCCTGTTCGTGTATGCTAGATGACCCACCGCATCGCACAGAGAAGCTAATAAACGTGGGCCTCGATGCTTATTTCTGGGTGAACCCAGACTTTCGAACACATGCATTAAAACTCATCCTCACCACTGCCAGCAACGATCACGTTGTTAACCTATCCACAAACATTAGCAAGTCTTTCAAACCTCGCTTATATGCCTATATTAGGACCAAGATCAGGTCCGACATCCCGTTCTCACTCTCACTGCTGCTCTCTTCGCGACTAGATCGAATGAAAATGATGGTAATGCATAGTTACAAAACACTTCCGTTTGTTATCAGCGAACGCCGTAAGGATTCAGAAGTGCCCAGTCGAATCTCCATATTGGTAACATTCGTCAAGTTCTTCCCTTGTGCGACTCGCCGTTTTAGGCCTTTAGCTTTAGACGCGGACAGGTGAGATGAGATGATCCATGAGAAAGGCGACGGGTTTGCACAAAGGCAAGAATCCTGCATGAAACAAAGCACGGCAGACACGGGCGCAGCTGCGGGGCGGCGCAGTAGAACCCATCCCTTTCATCAGTCTCGTATCACTTCGCCAGTATGAAGCTGGTGGATGACGACTGATTTAGAGTTGAATTCTTTGAGACAGTTATTTGGAATGACTGCATGGGACGGATGAAAGCACATCCTAGTGCTGTGTGACGGAACTTTGGAGTTCACGTCGCATCCTCGTGCGTATCGCGTGTGGTGTGCTACACACTTGCACGAGTGGTCCTGGAAAAATAGAAAAAAAAAGCGCCCGTAATCATACGCAGTGAAACTCCTCGGGCCCATATTAAGGGTAACACAAAAGATGTCAAAAGAGGCCAGAAGCATCAGGCACGCCTGTGATTGCGGCGAAGGTTGAAAGAGCATGTGCGTGATTCCAGACGCTCGGGTTATGCGGTGGTATCGCGGAGAGAGAGTGAGAGGATGGAATGGTAGATACACAGGTTTTGCATGAAACAAGAGAAACAGATAATTCATTAGCACGTACCTTGAGAACCATCCTGCACAGCTGGGTGGCAAGCAGCAATTGCTGACGCTTCGAAATCAAGGGGTCAATCACAAAGTGCTCCCGCATGTCTGGTTGAATCACATATTAGTGCCTATTCATGTCTTCGCTGAAACGCAAATCGTGACAGTGGAAGAGAAAGCCAACGTGACCAGCGCCATCTCCGGCAAATCGCAAAAAACCATCGCCTGTACACCTGAAGGTAGACAAGAAAGAGCTTTGTGACAACGTCCCAGCGGAGGTACCAATCACAGCAATGAGGCGGCAATAAATGCAACAGCGGCGTTCGATTGGCGATCTAGCGATCAAATCAACATCCTGAGGCGGGGGTGGATTGCAGCCCATCCCAGATGTTCGGAACGTGGGGGTTCGACACTTTCGAACACACAAGCAACGCCGTACGCTGAAGACTGTGATGTGGCGGTGTGGAAGCGCTTGCCTGCCTTCCGATGCGGCCAAATCGAATCCAGGAGTTTTCTGAGCCTGCAGCTGGACTGCAGCAAGCACGTCGTACATTGCAAATCTCTCATTCGCGGAACCCGATCGACAAGCCATCAACGCTGCAGGTATTTCTGGCGTTTGAGCTTGTGGAATACTGAGAGGACTTGTAAAAGCGGCCACATGCCAACTGGGAGCTCCCTTTGACGTTGACACGCTGTTTACTGGCCTGCCTGTGAGGCAACCCACAACACCTGCACCCGGGAAGTCATCTGAGCACAAGTGCTGTTCTGTTTGCCACCCGTGTCCTCGCTACCGATTGTGTCGCAGCCCCTCGACCGAATCATACATTATTACGAAAAGTGACAAATAATGCAATCAGAAAATAAAAAAAAATAGACCAATGACGTACCGTTGGAGCCTGTTTGCATGCAGTCAACACCGAGCCTGGAGTTTTTCTCCTTGACTTGGCGCGATTTGATGCTCGCCAATGTCTCTATAGGTGACAGGCCTGAATTTTCTGCCAAGGCCATGGGGATCGCATCGAGCGCGTCTGCAAAGGCACGCATTGCGTATTGTTCTAGTCCCGGACTCTGCTCACCAACCGCTCATGTTAGCAAGCAAATCATCACGTTTCCGTGTTTTAAGTCTAGCGTTCGCTTCAAGGATCAATCTGAGGTGATGATGTGTCTGACCGAATGGCATTCGTTCAGATGATCAATACTTATGCATGTTGCATGCATGGCGTTGCAGATGCCTATAACGCGAGCTGCAGCTGGGGGCCCACTCCAATGTAAACGTGTACAAAGGTAAGGACCTTGCCATGTGTGACTCGAAAGTGCTGGAGTACGATTTTAAGACTGCAAACGTACCTGTACTGCGGCCTCTTCGACGGCGAGTGAGCACGCGATCTCAGCAGCCCCACCGCCATACACTACACGGTTGTCACGGACGAGATTGCGCACTACGCAAAGAGCGTCATGCAGTGATCGTTTCGCTTCATCGATAATCTGTCCGGCTCTGGTTAGTACAGGTTGCAAAGCGTGTGATGTAAGACAAAAAAGAGTCGAGGTGGACCAATTTTCCCGGTTCGATGTGAATTAACCCCAGATGAGGGAAGAGACGTACCATCTTATTGCTACCGCGTACGAAGACGGTTATCGCTCTTGTGTTGGCGCACTCCTCGATGACTAGCATCTTGTCGCGCGTCGTTCCAAACGTCATTTCCTTCACCAGTCCAGCGGAACCTAACTTCTCGGAGCTCAGGTCTTCAAATCGAGGAACAATTCGCCCGTTCGTAGCAATGGCAATGAGTTCAATATCCGGGCCACCAACCCACCGAACTGCAGGCAAGTTGTTTGTAAGCAGCAGATGGTTCGCCTCATCATCAAAACCCCATTGGCAGATTACCACATTTGCTCCCGTTGCCTTGATCTGGTCAATCATCTCGGTAAATTTGCTAGCCTCGTATTTCTGGAGGCGCTTGAATTCCTCTACAGACGTGATGTCGAGCTTGTGTTTGGTTTTAGGCTTAGGAGGTTCGAATGGGCAAGTCAAGATAGCAAGTTTGGCATCCTTGACTTCAGACGGCATCTGTGGATGCGAGAAGTCCTTATCAATTATGACACCTTTGACCAGGATCGAGTCCTCTAGAGAGCCCCCTACTTTGCCGTCTACCTTAATGAGCTCAAAGTCGACGTCCTTTCGCTCAAGGTCCGCAACAGACAGCACAGCATCGACAGCGATCTGTGCAAATTGATCGTGGGCCTTGGAAACAATTTTGCTGCCCAAACTGGTTTTTGCCACGCGTAGCAAATTTTCAGTGTCTTCTTTAGAGAAAGGGATCGTATCGCTGATCTTGTCAAGTTCTGCCACGGCAACTTCGCATGCTTGATCAAAACCGTCGGCTATTCTAATCGGATGGATGCCTTTGTCTATGAGGCCAGCTGCCTGCTCAAGTAGTGCTCCAGCAAGTACAACGACGCCCGTAGTACCGTCGCCTATCTCATCATCTTGCGATTTGGACAACTCTACGAGTAGTTTGGCTACGTTGTTTTGGATCTCCATTTGTGACAGGATTGTCGCGCCGTCGTTCGTTACAGTGATATCTCCATCCGGGGAGATGAGAATCTTGTCCAGTCCTCGCGGTCCCTATTTTTCTTTTAGATATGTGTTACTCCTCGGGAATTGTGCGTTCGTACTAGTGATGTCCTGACGATGTTTGCAACAGTCCGCGCCGCAAGAATGTGTGATTTCACCGCCTCATTGCCATGTAACCGCGTTTTCTTTGCTTGACTAAGCGTACATCAGTGTCATATACATGTCTTCCCAGACGCAAAATATACTCTCGAACAACGATAAATGGCCGTCCCTGCTCATCCTGCATCACCTGAGCTGTTCTTCGTCAGTATTTATGCTTAATAGACCTCCAATAGAGGACATCGAGAGGTCCGTATTGACGTGAAATGTGATACCTTGCGAAAGATCGAGTTCTGCAAAACACTACGTCAGTCACAAGCAAGAGATCAAGCGGTGGTGGTGGGCTGCCTACGCATCGACATGGTTTTCCGACGCGCCTGTTGGGGCTAGTAGCGCTTTTCTAACGAATATCAACAATTTATGATCTCGGTTCTGCTTGGATAAGGTTTGTAAGTAGAAGATATTGTTGTTGCGCTGCTGTGAAGCTGTAGGTGTTGTAAGACATGTCCTTCAAAAATTCCCCAGCGCCCGCATTTGATGCCAAGACTGCGAATCAGCCGCAAGAAAAAAGGTCGCGTCGCTAAACGCCACGCGCTCAGTTATCCAGTTGGCCAAGCCTTCCCCGTCCAGCCCGCTCATACAATGCTCAAGGTCAAGCTACAAACGATGCTTCTGCATGAAAGCTCCCGGTGAAATAACGTTGAATCAGCGTGCTTAATCATAAGACTTACAACGCGTATTCTGATTTTCACACAATACTTGGTGATCTTTCTCTCTATCATTTCGCCGTCTGAGTTGATTTCGCCGACGAAGTCACTATGCCGCGTGAGTTAACCTATACGGGGCACGCCGTGCAGAATTAAGAAATGCTGACACTTACATTTTCCAGGTCTAGATTCAGATGATAAGTCTGTTGATGATTCCATTCCATTCAAGCCTGCCGCTACGGCACCATCTGTCCATAGTTCCAGCAACAATGAAAACGGCGAAGATGAGGATGAGTATGTAATTGAAGAGATTGTAGGCCATGACTGGGACGCGCCAACAGGAGAGATATTATATCATGTAAAATGGGAGGGCTGGGATAACCCAGAAGATTTAACTTGGGAGCCCGAGGCAAACCTTGCGTCCGCGCAGGACGCGCTGAAGCAATACTACAAGAAGATTGGTGGAAAACCAAGTCCCAAGAACATGAACCCGCTGAGGGGAAAAGGCTCCAAGAAGAGAAAAGCAACTGAAACACCCAAAGGCTCTGTTGCGCGATCAAAAAAGGGTAGATCCGAGACGCCAGAAATGAGCACAAAAAAGGTAAAGAAAGTTGAAAATGTGGGTGAAGTTGTCAGCTGGGAGCTTCCAAAAGGAAGCTGGGAGGAAGAAGTTGCCTCGATCGATACTATTGAAGAGGCCTACGATGATAAGGGTGTGGCCCGGAGATATGTGTATTTGATGTGGCGGAACGGAATGAAGACGAGACATCAACTCGCAACAGCAAACCAGAAGTGCCCCCAAAAGCTGCTGCAGTATTACGAAAAGCATTTGTGAGTTTCTGGATTTCATGTGGCCAGAACTGCTTACGTCGATGTGCTAACGAGACACTAGGGTGTTCAGAAGTGCCGGCCCGGCTCAAAGCGATGCAGACGTGTCATGAATACCCGGGAATTTGAGAAGGATGAATGTGAGTTAGTAATTGGGCACTACCTGGGCAGAAGGAAGAAAGAGTGCCTTGAGGATGATGCTCATTGCTGTTACGGCATTTAGGAACCGTTCGATGCTGTAACGTCTGATATGGTCGTCGCTATCCAGCATTAAGACGCAGCTCAAGACAAGGATCTCAAATTCCAAATGAGATTTGTGCCTCTGTTTTGTACTAAAACACAGAAATACGGTTTCAAAGCGGCACAGCACTATGTTTGGCTTGTATACTGTCACACTTCCAGCGAAAAGAATAATGTCACTGAAGCTATCGCTGAGCATTTTCCACGTGCATATGGTGGGAAGGTAGTGATCTTTCGTCTCTTCGGGAGTTCGAACACTCACATTAGGTACATGCTTACTCCATTTGCTCTTCAATATTTCCTTTGGTGGTTATGAATGGATGAAGAATATCTATGCAAATATAATGTGTGAACAAGATCGAGGAAAATGGACCAAACTTAAGACATCATGGTCCAGAACCATCTGCATCTTACCATGATCTCATGTCACTCGTCCGATCTACAAATTGTAAGCGACGAGGTTCGAAGGGAAGCCCAGGCTTTGAGTTGCTTATACTGGAGTTAAAGCTTACTTTTACCTGGGGTGGAATGGAGAAAACATCGATACATCTCTCAAACCATTCGCTCGATAGAGGTGAAAGCCATGCGTCAAGAAAAGATTCGCTCCGTGTTTCCCACCAGACCCTGTCTGAGGGAATATCGGTGTGCCTTACCTAGCTCAGCACTTCCCATTCAGCCATTTTCTTGCTTTCATCTTACAAAGGCGATTGGATTTCCGAGTTATATGGTGTGATCTAAGAGAAGAGGGAGGTGCAGCTGTGAAGGTTGAAGAATGTGGGAGCATGCGTAAGATAGCTCGTTTATTTTCATTTTTCCAATTCGATTGCTTGCGGCAACACTACAATGGCAGGTACATATGCCATCGTGTCCAAGTCGAGGCTTAGCATCCATCGCGTTTACGTCTTTGTGGCCGACGCAACAGGTGGCAATCAAGAGCGGTACCAAAAAGAAGAGCTTGAAATTTCTTCAAGGTATGCGAGCTCGAGGAGACATCAGATTCTGTCTTCCGGAAGAAAGCGCCCGTTCGACGCGACCTTGGAATCTACCAAGCTTTGGAGCGATGTCAACGCGCTCCAAGCCCGCTAGATTTGGCCGACACGTCATAAAGGGCACACCAGCATTATAATTATTAGTTAAGCTGCTGAAATGAAGCTCGGCATGAATGTCTTTGTGTCGATACAAGGTTGCGAGGCACCTTTCCATACATTTGGACATGAAAGAGGGTTGACACGCATTTAAGAGATGGTATCTGCAACCTGTAAATTGCTGAACAGAGAGGTGAATGGAACAAATCTGAGACGAGGCTCCAGTGTGAGAAGTCGGGGATGTACAATTCGTTAAGGTCAGCGAAGTTATCAGGGGAGCTTGGTGAGCTCCACTTAGACATGAAAGACGTGTGTGCAGCCTTGGTGTCAGCCTAGCGGTCGCTACAGTACACTTGAAGATGGCGAAACAATAGAATAAACAAGATATCCATATCTTTGACCTCTTTTTTGTTCATGTCTGGGTTCGCAACAAAGATATATCGGCATATAAAGCACAACGCGCAAGCCAAACGCAGAAAGAAAAATTGCCTCGTCAGCCAAATGTGCGGCGAAAAAAATTGGCCACCTCCTGCCGTTCTGAGGTTGAAATAGGAAAGAGCATTGGTCCGTGCAGAAGAGTGCCAAGGATTCAGCTTTCAAAGGCTCCTTCCATCACCAATTTTCGAAAGCGACGACCGACCGACTTTGCCTCTCGCCTTCCTTGATCATCGACGTTGCTCCTTCTCATCGCTCAGGCGCCTTCAAGTTCGCACTTTCTCCATCCAAACCGTCGCCGCAGTTGTGTCTTTCCTATTGCGCCGCAGCGATCGCACCTTCCTCTTGCCGTATCACACATATCCCCGATAGCACCTCTTCCGCCATCTTCGTCGCTATGGCCGCAGTACGTTGCACCTACCCCTCGCGCTTCGCTTCCTCTCCTTCTTTCTCTACTTCTTCCCCAGTCATCAATTTCCATATACTGACTTTGACACCGCTCTCTACAGAACGCTGGAAATCAGCCTCGCCCCTACGCTCAAGCCGCTGCCCAACAGCAGACTAACGGTGGTCCCCCAATGCCTACTCCAATGCCAGGCGCCGTACCTCTACTCCCAAATCAAGGTCGTATCATACAGCAGGGACCCATACGGGTTCTGTGCATTGCAGATGTCAGAGGTAGGTGACAAATTCGCTTTAATCGCATTTGGCTTTGCTGTTAGCTTGTACAGAGGCATCGTATCAACTGACGGTTTACTCAAGGCAACCTTCGTTCTTTGAATGAGCTCGCGCGTGAGGCAAGGGCTAGCTACATTATTCACACAGGTGACTTCGGTTTCTATGACGACCGCTCGCTAGATCGCATCGCAGAGAAGTATGTCCATATTCCGGGCGGAGATGTGCGGGCCTAAATATTACGAAAGGCTAATTTCTAGATAGAACTCTACGACATGTCGCCCAGTACTCGCCGCTACTTTCAGAGTCTGTCAAACGCCAGATTGCACAGTCACCGCCACAGCCGTCGATTAAGGACAAGATTCCAAGAGACCAACTCCCGCTTTCAGAGCTGCCCTTATTTCTGAACGGAACGTACAAATTGGACGTACCCGTCTACACAGTCTGGGGAGCATGTGAAGATGTGCAAGTCCTAGAAAAATTACGGTCCGGAGAATATAAAATCAACAACCTAAACATCATCGATGAGGCAAACTCTCGATTACTCGATATTGGAGGTGTCAAGCTACGACTCTTAGGTCTTGGTGGTGCTGTAGTCATGCACAAGCTATTTGACAACGGCGAGGGCAGGACGACCATTGCCGGAGGTCAGGGAACTATGTGGACGACGCTGCTGCAGATGGGCGAATTAATCGACACGGCAAACCGTGTCTACGACCCTACGGAGACTCGTATATTTATCACTCATGCATCGCCAGCACGTGAAGGGCTACTAAATCAGCTGTCTGTCACACTCAAGGCAGACTTCTCGATCTCGGCTGGACTTCACTTCAGGTACGGCAGCTCGTACAACGAATTCAGCGTAAACCCTACACTAGATCACTACCGCGGGAAGCTTGCCGCTTCACATGCATCTTTCGATGACGTTTGGCAGACCGTCAAGAATGAAGTAGAACCGGCGGTAGAAGATAACGAATCCCAGAAACGCCTCCTGTCATACGCGCTAGATCTCGTTTCGAAGATGCCTCAAGTAGCAAATGGTGGTAATCCTTTCGGCGGTCAGTCGGCACCAGGCAGCGGCACCATCGACGAGAGTGCATTCAAAAACATGTGGAACTTCAACTTGGCGGATGCAGCATATGGCTGGCTTGTGCTTGACATTGAGGGTGGACGCATCGGTACCGAGATGCGGGCCCAGGGCTTCAACTTCGCACACCGTGGTGGAAAAGCACAACAAAGTGCGCCTGCAGTACCAGCGCCTACAACAAGTGCACCAACAACTGGAAATACACAAGCCCCGTCCTCGCAACCACCCCCTTCACAATCAAGCCGTGCGCCTTCCGGTCCAACCACGCAGACCCGTCCAACAGGCCCTCAGCCGGCACGATCACCAGCACCCGCAACGCCCAAGGAGCCAGGCAAATCAACAACTCCTCAACCACCAGCCACGTCGACGGCCTCGCAAGCACCAGTTGAGAAGGAGGCCAAGACCAACGGTACTGAAAAATCCGGTGACTCTTCGAAAGATCCACCTCAGGACCGCAAACCTGTCCAAGCCCTTTTTATTCGCAACGTCAAATCCGATAATGATGCATGCAATTTAGTTGCCGAGGAGGACCGAGCAAATATCGACCACGTCGAGCATCGCGGTTCCGCATACATTGTGCATTTCAAGGGCCACAAAGAGATGACTGATGCATTCGCTCGTCTTCCTGCTGAACTCAAAGAGCGCCAGAGTGACCCAAGCAAGCCTACCGTAGCTGTGTACCGCGAACCAGCGCACCGCGGTGGTGCGCCAAGAGGAGGTGCAGCCGGTAACTGGGGTCCCAGACCGGCGGGGTCAGCTCCCGGGTATCGGTCTGCGAGCGATTCGGAAGGTGGCCGTGGAGGGATGAGAGGCGGACGAGGAACAAGAGGCGCGTCGAGAGGTGATAGAAGTGGACGTGGCGGACGAAGTGGGGCTGGAGCTCGTGGAGCCTCCGGAAAGGGCGCTGAAAGTAGTGCAACTCCGAGCAACGATTCAAAACCTGCACCATCGGGAGGTGATTCTTAGGTGACTTCCTAGTCAGTATGACCGCGGATACGCACTAAGCTCGACTGCTGCGGCGCATCGGCTTTCTCTGCATCGGCGCCTGGAGTGTTCTGCTTTTGACTTTGAAAATTTCGTTATTCATTGTTGACCCTGAAAGGATCTCGGATGTGCGTCACCTGCGCGCTCTGAATGCTTCGACTGAGCTCAGCCAGGCTGAGTTTGCAAAGAGGCTTCTCATTCAAGAGATTTTTAATCCATAGGAGTTCCAATCGGAATTCCTTTTTTTAGAAGAAAATGGAGAGGAAACTAGGTCATCGATTAACTCTCTCTTTGGGCGTTCTTGTCTTCATCATAATTATTAGCACCATCACTAGGTGGTGAAGTCACGAGGGCATGTGCTTCTATCGCCTTGCTGACTAACCTTGCTCCTTGTGTAACTCGTGAAGGAGTGGATGGTAGGAACGGAGAGATGATCGGCTGGACGTTAAGAGTTGTGCTCACTATGCAGTCGAGATGAGGTAAATAGAGCGCCTTCTCCTTTTCTAGGTATTTATTCAGAAGTGTAATCTAAAAAAAATATGGGATGATACTGTCAGAGGTGAACTTGTCGAGTAACAGTCAAGAGTCGTTATATATGATTTCCATTTTCAGTTACTGAAAGCGTTCCAGCTGCCGGGGTTAAGCTCAAGAATTACTTGGTTAAGTTATATGAGGCAAACAATGTGATATTATACCGAAAACCTTCATTTTGGAGGCTCTTCAAGAGTCCGAAGTGTAATCCGGTCTGGGATTGACAACCGAGCCCGTGATCGCGTGTTCTGGTCGCGCGCGACGAAGTTCCAAGCCTGGCAACTTACATCATCAGTCCAAGTCCCATCATTAACTTAAGTTATGTCCACCAGAAAACTGTTCACTGCACCGCTCGGTTTTGCTTACGCATGACATAGAGCGCCGACGAAGCCTTCCATATGAAGCTATACCACTGTCGTTCCGGGCGACATCTACGCCAACTTGCATGACATACATACATTTGACCAGCCATGACAAGACGAAGGACAGGCGGTAGAGTGGGCGCAAGAATCACGACGACAGCGCGCGGGAACGGTTCGCGCATACTTGGCAATGAAAATGACGTTCCAGATGTGTACAGGGAGATGATGCGTGAGGATGCTGCAGCCACGGTAGCGCGCACTGACGACGACGATTCAAGGCCTCGAAAGAAGCCACGGCGAGCTGGAGACCGAGTGACGAATCGAGCACCTCTTGCGGCGAACCCGAACAACGAGCAGAAAGAAAAGACAGCTTCAACGTTTCATGTTCATTCGAGTCCCCCGGCCGATGAGAAGCCGGCGCGGAGTATTGAGCAGGAAAAGGACAGTGACTCTGAGCTTGAATTCGAAGACGTGCATCTCGCTAGCGATGATCACACGAGCGCAGACGAGATTGGCAATGATACACTCCCCGAGCTGATGAAGGGTCTTGAGGACGGCGGACTTTCGATTGTAGCAAAGGCGCCAGGCGAACTTGCGACGACGTCAAAAGCACGGAAGAATAAGAAGAGGATCACATCAGCTGAGCGGAGCGTTAGGCTGGCCCTGCATAAAATGCACGTGTGTTGTTTACTTTATCATGTGTTCTACAGAAATCAGTGGTGTAATGACCAATTTGCGCAGGTGAGTTTGCCCGAGGCAGGTCCTATTTCTCCAGTACAATTCAAATTTACAGCCGGACAACAGGCAATTCTCAAGAAGATGGTCCCCTTCAGAACAGTTCAGCTGCTCAACCCAGACTTGCGGGCTAGCCAAGCACAAAGCTCGAGTTTCTTCCTCCTCGGCTTGAATCAAATCACGGATTTGTTCTTCGACAGGTTCCAGATCGAGTCCCTTGGTATGCAGCGTCCACAATGGGTTGTGGAAAGAGATGATATTGCGAAGATCACGCTACACGATGCGAGCGAAAAGCCGACGGAACTAAGCGATTTCAGAAGAGCGGCACAGAGCCTAAAGGGGTCAGCAGATTTAGGAGCGCAGCTTTTTTGCTGTCTGCTGAGAGCAGTTGGTGTCGAAGCTCGGCTCGTGTGTTCGTTACAGGTGCTCGGGTTTGCCAGTACGGTCAAGGAAGTAGCAGAGGCCTCGAACGCTGCCACACCAGTAAAGAAAACACTATATCTTCATGACTTTACACGCAGCTCCGATGAAGGAGCTACTGGAGACGGTGTCAACAGCCTCGCACACCAGACTTCGTCACGCATCGCGCGAGTTGGTCAACCGCGCGCGACTACGTCCGAGGTCGTCAGTCAAACCGCTCGTCGCCTAAGTGGTACCCGCCCGCGAGTCGAGAGGCCCGCATACCCTGTCTTCTGGGTAGAGGCGTTCAATTCGGCGCATCAGAAATGGATTGCTATCGATCCAATAGCAACGCACACCGTCAACAAGCCCGCGCGCCTCGAGCCCGGCGTCAATGACGCAAGAAATTCCATGTGTTATGTCTTCGCGTTCGAGGAAGATGGCGTGGCCCGGGATGTTACGCGTCGGTATGCGAAAGCATTCACCGCGAAAACGAGGAAGTTGCGAGTGGAAAGCACAGATGGCGGCGCAAGGTGGCTACGAAAAGCTCTGAAATTGTTCTCAAGAGTCCCCGCGCTTGACCGCGATGCGCTTGAGGATGCGGAATTGACGGCCAAAGCTGCGGCAGAAGGCATACCCAAGAACGTGCTCGATTTCAAGAATCACCCCTTGTTTGCTCTAGAAAGACATTTGAGGCGAAACGAAGTCATTTATCCGAAGACGGAGAGTGGACGCATTAACGTGGGCACAGCGAACAAACCCAAGTTTGAGAGTGTGTACCGAAGAAGCAATGTACATGTTGTGAAGAGCGCGGCTAAATGGTTCAGGCTTGGTCGTGAAATTAAAATGGGTGAACAACCCATGAAGCATGCGATGCCGCGGAAGGGGGTGCGCGTTACAGAGAGCCCGTTAGAAACGGACACTGCTGAACATACGGGGGTTGGTCTCTATGCCGTATTCCAGACGAAAGTCTACGTCCCACCTCCTGTGGTCAACGGCAAGATCCCCAAGAACGCTTATGGGAATATAGACGTGTTTGTTCCCAGCATGATTCCTGAGGGCGCGGTCTGGATCCGGGCTCCTGAAGCCAAACAGGCCGCGAGGATTCTGAGTATAGACTATGCAGACGCAGTCACAGGTTTTGATTTCCAACGTCGGCATGGAACTGCAAGGATCGATGGCGTTGTAGTTGCGGAAGAATGTTTTGAGGCGATGGAAATAGTGTGTGAAGCGATCAGGGAAACGGCACGAGAGGAGAGGGAGGAGGACAAGAAGAGGGAAGTGCTGAGACTCTGGAGAAGGTTTATCGTAGGTTTGAAAGAAGCAAGAAGGATAGAGGGGTATCTACGGGATAACGAGCAACCGACGGACAGTACAATTGTGCCAGACTCACGAGCTCCTGGCGAGCGAGATGACTATATGCTTCGTGATGAGGAGGAGGAGGACGATGGGGGAAATAAATCGAGGCTGCGCCAAACGACTCGCACGTCTCGTGCAACCCAGGACGACGGTGGTGGGTTTTTGCTTGACTCTGGTGACGAGAGCGATATGTGCGCAGGAGGATTCATAGCCGAAACCTCAGATGACGATGGCAGGAGCGACGCATTTCTTTCCAAAGAGACCGTTACCAAAGATAAGGGTGACGACGAAGACGACGAAGACGATGTCGACAGTGATTACCCACTTGAATCTGAAAGAAGTTCAAGTGATTGCGACCAGCCAGACGCATCTTTAATTGATGCAGCAAATGGCGGTCCAGCGAAAGACGAATATCCATTCGGTTTTACGAATATCAGGGTGCCTGTGTCGAGCCGAAGAACGGAAAGCGACGGTCATCAAAAGACGGCGTGTCTGGCGCGAGTAATTAGAGGAATGAGACGATCAGGCCCGCGGGAACAAGAACAGCGTTCTTTTGCAGCTGGGGAAGCGACAAGCAAAGATTCAAGAAGTGATGGAGATAACGGGAAGCCAATGGATAGGAAAGATGACCGGCCGGACAATACGCTGGGAGATGCAGTGACGAAGGATAATGCTCCAAAGCCCATTGGCAGCTCTACCAAGGCAGAGCAACAAAGAAAGTTTTCACCACCCTTGCCACGCACTGGGGATTTTCATGAAGCAGAAAACCACGCAGAGAAGAGCGATATACAAGCACCTGTGGTATCAGAAGTACCTGATCCAGATCAAGTCGAAGAACCGCCTGTTTCCAGTTACGAATATGACGAGGACATGCTAGAAGAAGACCCGGAAGATGAAGATGCGGAGCCAGAGTGGCTTGCATGATATCGTGATAATTTATTGTTTGTATCGTAGTTTTTTTTGGCCCTGGTGAAACGTCTTTGGGGTTAAAGGGGCTAAACTAGAATTTGCGCCCTGAGATGATTCAGTAAAGCAAGTGGTTTGTCGGAAACCACGGGTGCTAACACTAGGAGTTGGCTCCGGCGCGCATCGCGATTGGGAGATGGTCCAATGAAAAATTCGTCACTATCTCCCCGTTGCTTTCGGTGCCGCGTATTTTTGTTGCGAATGCGAGGTCGATCTGACTACGTAGTAGGTGGATCAAGCGACGTGTCGTTTTATAATGACGATGCCGCACAACGACATATTGCAAGCACGCTGTGCCATGGACACTCCTCTGGCAGGATGGGTCAAAGCGTATCCAACGGGAATATTGATGTTGGACGTGAATTCGGCTTCTCGGTAGCCGGGTGTCCTGCCGGAGCGCCGAGAGTGCTGCGTAGCAGCAGGTCAGAAATGGTTGAGCTCGCTAATGAGCCTAGTGGTAGCTAGCCAAAGCGGACTGGTGAAACTGTGCTGCCACTGTTCGACCACAGCGCATATCCGTAGTGGCAGTAATAAAACCTCGGACTCAAGAGGTATTATTATTCCAGGAGCCAGACATCGCGCTTTGAATGTGCGATCGGGGTTCCACAAAGGCCAGGACCCACCAGGCAGAAGGGGAGAAATGCTCAACTTAGTCAGCCCCTGGCATTCTGAGAATTCCATCGCAAAAGTCGCATCTCGGACACGCATGGGTTTCGGAGAAAAGCAGGATTACGTCGGCGGCGATCCTGACCCTCCAGAAGGGTGCGTGGCCATGCGCGTGAGGCATTGATGCCTCACAGAGCGTCACGAACGTCCAGATCCTCTTGAACAGCCGTCGACACCCCTGATACCGAATGATTATGACGCTCGAAGAGCACATGAAAAGCGTAGTCCTGCTGGCACGCCGTCGGGCAGCTAGTGGGCACTTTTTCTTTGGGGGGGGGGGCGAGCCTCTGGCTGGCAGCAGGACCAAGCTCCGCAGCGGATGCTACTGCGTGGTCCAGATCTTTTCTGTGGCTGCCTCTACACGACGGCCTGTCCCTGCTCTTCTCACGTTAGTCGTGGTGTGGAGATTGCTGAGAAGACACTGCTGGAGGCGGGCACTTCACGAGTCGGCGAGATGGCCGGCGATCTCTTGCCTTTTCCTGATCGGCAGGCCGGTGGCTTGCGAGGAAAGGGTTCGATCGGTGATCTGCTGATGAATAGACTTCGCGCGTCGCATGCCGATGCTGGGGCTGGGCTGCTGTGCTGCTGTTGCTGCTGCTGATGCTGCCGGTGTCGCCCGTGGAAAAAGAGCAGAAGCTGCGATATGGTGAGATCATTGATTTTTGACGAGACGCGACGGCGCACTGGGTGGTGGGGTGCCTCAGAGAGCATGCGATCGGAAGCATCGCTCGGAAGCTCGATCCAGCAGAGGCGCGCGATCTGGTCTGGCGCGTGCCTGTGCAGTTCCGCACAGCAGCACCTTGGTGGTTTGTTCCGCTTCACGGCTGGAGGCGGTGCGAGGAGCCCGAGGACGGGCGTGGTTGACTGCTGCGGCGACGCAAAAGGCGGGCTGCCAGGCAAGGGCTCGTGCCAGGGAGGGGAAAAAAATGAGGATGGGATTTGTGACCGTTTCCCGTCCTTCGTGCTCGACCCTGCTGGAGCCTCCCACCACATCCACCTTTTTGCGGCCCCCCCGAACGCATGATCCTGCTGCACCGCAAAGCCGTCGTGCTCAAGGAACATCCGTCGGCCGTTGCTTCTGATGCTCCGCGCATCCTCCTGTCAACTGCATCCTTCTCTCAAGCTGCTCTTGTGCCCGTCTCGTTTGCTCAACACCCGAGGAGACCCCCATCACGACATCGACCCAGCACGCCGAAGCGTCGGGCACCCCAGACAATAGCCACGCCCTCGGAGCTCGTATCCATCTGCCTGCCAGCTCTGGGTCGTGCCACAGCAATTCTTGCCGCTGCCTCCTTACGGCCCACTCAGCTCGGTGCCGTGCAATAGCTTGCTGGACCGGCCGTGTTCGCAGTCGAAGCTCGCAGGTCGAAGTTTCAAGCGCATCCCATGGTCACCTAATCTTGTTCGAGGTCCGTCAACGGGCACAATCGTCGCCGTCGTCGACATCGTCGCTCGGTCAACAGGTAAGGCGGTTTTAGCTGGCCGACCATCACAACTGAGAATCGACGATCGGCGATCGGAACCTCGTTGCCACTGATTTCGTGTCAAACCTCACCACGTCTGCCGCCCGCCCACCATGCCGAAGAACGGTGGAGATGGCGATTCAACGTCTGGCGGTGGGTCGCAGCATCGAGACGAAGTTCCTCCGTCGCTATCGACCTCTTCGCAGCAGTCTGGCCTGGATCGCACGGTCGTCCACGCTGAACATGATTCACCCACGTCCGGCCGGGTCCATAGGGGCTCGGTGTCCTCGCCCACCACTTCAGAGCTCGGCATCATGAGCCCAGGTCCGACGGACAGGGTGTTTCCGATACGCAGCGTTGTGCAGGTAGATCCAACCATCGCGCCTGCAGCCAGAGAGCACAATCACGACTCGTATTTTGGGAACATAGGACGGGCCATGGACAGGAGGCGTGCATCTACCAGCACAGAGGGCTCTATCAGAGGCTCAGATGGATCACGCGTCGGCGGTGGTCCGCGGCTGAACCGGCCGCTCCGTTCGGAAGAAGTAGCAAGCGCCAGCGCCCAGAACTCGAGGTCAAACCCTCCACGACTTCCCCCGCAGGTATTTAGTGAGATCATTGGGAATAGAGGAGACGAGGGCGAGGCCAGCTCGTCGCATATGCCATCTCAGGGCGCACCCTCGAACAAGAGTGCCGTCTCCGGAGACCAGGATCTGGGCGGGCTTGTGACAACACGCTTCAAGCATGTAGTCACGGAGGACGGCCATGCCATCATAACGGGCAGAGATGGCGACGCCCCCCAGCGCTGCGAAGACGAGCCAATACACATACCGGGTGCCGTGCAGGGCTTTGGCTTGCTGATAGCACTGATGGAGGTTGAAGGCAAGCTGCAAGTGCGGATCGTGAGTGAGAATTCAAAGAGAATTATTGGGTACACTCCTAAACAGCTGTTCGAGCTGGAGAGTTTTACGGATATCCTCTCAGAAGAGCAGGCAGACAATCTGCTTGATCACATTGACTTCATCAGGGAGGAGGAAACGGACGTGGCAACAAACGGACCAGAAGTTTTCACCATGAGTATACGCTCACCTAAACGGAAATCTACAAAGTTGTGGTGCGCGATGCATGTCAATGACAGCAATCCGGGTCTCATCATTTGCGAGTTTGAACTTGAAGATGATTTTCAAAATCCTCTGGCTCCTTCTGATGATTTGACCCCCGACGATCCGGAGGACACGCTTCACGCGAACCCTACCGCGGAAGAGTATGCTGAGTCGACGCAAAATATAAGCAGGCCATTGCGGGTCCTGCGAAGTGCGCGCAAACGTCGAGGCGAAGCAGCTGCGATGGAAGTCTTCAACATCATGTCGCAGGTGCAGGAGCAACTTGCCGCCGCTCCAACCTTGGATCGATTTTTAAAGGTTTTAGTAGGCGTTGTGAAAGAATTGACGGGATTCCACCGCGTGATGATTTACCAATTTGATCATCAGTGGAACGGCAAGGTCGTAACGGAACTGGTCGACCCACGAGCAACAAAGGATCTGTATCTTGGATTGCACTTTCCAGCATCGGACATCCCCAAGCAAGCTCGGGATCTGTATAAGATCAACAAAGTGCGCATGCTGTACGATCGCGATCAGGAAACTGCACGTCTGGTGTGCAAGACCATGCAAGATTTGGAGAATCCACTTGACCTGACGTACTCGTATCTGCGAGCCATGTCGCCTATTCACCTGAAATACCTGGCCAATATGGCCGTCCGTTCCTCCATGTCGATATCTATCAACGCTTTCAACGAGCTCTGGGGCTTGATTTCTTGTCATTCCTACGGTCCAAGGGGCATGCGCGTCGCATTTCCAATCCGCAAGATGTGCAGGTTAGTCGGAGATATCGCGTCACGAAATATCGAACGCCTGTCATATGCTTCCCGGTTACAGGCCCGTAAGCTCATAAACACCGTGCCTTCGGAGCACAATCCGTCCGGTTACATAATCGCTTCTTCAGAAGATCTGCTCAAGTTGTTCAATGCTGACTGCGGTCTTTTGTCAATTCAAGGCGAGACCAAGATTTTGGGAAGGTTGGAGCAATCGCAAGAAGCACTTGCAATGCTGGAGTACTTGCGCATGCGCAAATTCACCGCTGTGACTACGTCACAGGACATTGTTCATGATTTCCCAGATCTGAAATATGCGCCTGGATTCTCTTTTTTGGCAGGCTTGTTATTTGTGCCCTTGTCAGCCGGAGGTCACGATTTCATCGTTTTCTTTCGAAAGGGACAGCTAAGGGAGGTCAAGTGGGCCGGAAATCCTTATGAGAAGGTCATCAAGGAAGGCACCGAGGGCTATCTTGAACCACGCAAAAGCTTTAAACTCTGGTCCGAGATGGTCGTTGGCCGATGCAAGGAATGGACAGAAGAGGAAGTCGAAACCGCGGCCGTGCTTTGTCTCGTGTATGGGAAATTCATTGAGGTGTGGCGTCAAAAAGAGGCAGCGCTACAAAAGAGCCAGCTGACCCGTTTACTCCTTGCAAATTCAGCTCACGAGGTTCGAACACCACTGAACGCTATCATCAATTATCTCGAGATCGCACTTGAGGGTACGCTGGATCAAGAGACGAGAGAAAACCTTGCGAAGTCACACTCGGCTTCTAAATCCCTCATCTACGTTATAAACGATTTACTTGATTTGACTAAGACAGAGGAGGGCGTTGAACTGATCAAGGGCGAATCGTTTGATCTCAAGGCTACGTTGAAGGAAGCAACAGAGTCATTTCACAGTGATGCCAAGCGCAAGGGCATCAGCTACGAAGTGGTCGAACATCCCGGCTTGCCGAACAATGTCATTGGTGATCAGAGGAGAGTTAGACAAGCAATCACGAACATCACGGCCAACGCAATTCAAGCAACTTCGCAGGGCAGCGTAACCGTCGAAATGTACGTCTCTGGCCAGATGGAACAACACATTGATGTTGAGGTCGTTGTGACGGACACGGGAAAGGGTATGAGCGATCAAACCGTAGATGCAATATTCAGAGACATGGAACAAGTACAATCCGAAATGCTAGATCCAGCTTCCTTCGAGCAAGAGGGCGACGGAAAGAAGGTCACTCCTGCAGGAAAGGAAGGACGCACATTAGGTTTAGGTTTGGCAGTCGTTGCGAGAATCATTCGCAACATGAACGGCCAAATGAGGCTTAAATCAGAAGAAGGCAAAGGCTCTAGATTCGCACTTCAATTCCCCTTTGAGCTGCCGAGCGGAGACGAACAGGTCAAGCTTGCGCCGCCTGGACCATCATCACTAATATCTTTGTCGGAAACAGGAAAGGATGAAATTCTTCTCGTCAAAAAGGACACTCCTAGATCGAGAACAGGCTCTGTAAGTAGCGGCTCGCTGTTACAGAAACGCAACAGCGCAGATTCGCTGCATTCGATGAACAGCAAAAAGAGCGTGAAAAGCGTTGGCAGCGCTCAATCTGCAAGAAGCGACGTGGATCGGCTTATTGAAGCAATCCAGGGCCCTCACATGGCGGAGGAGAAGAGACCATTACATCCTGCACGTGGATCGAGGGGAAGTCATTCTAGACCAAGTCTAGAAATGAGACACAGCTACGCGGGGGACCCTACGAATTCACAGTTCGCGAAAGCGCAGAGTGTTGAGCAGGCTCTCGCATCAAATGAGGAAATACAGGACCGTCCAGTCGTTGCACCCACCCCGGGTGAAGAACAGCTTCCGTTCTCCAATGCACCAGTGCGCGCTATCAAAGTTCCTGATGATGAGGAGACTCCCATATCGCCACAGCCCCGCAGGCCCGATTCAGCTGGAGCCGTTATGACCGACATACGACATGCTATCAATGAGAGCGGCAAAGACAAGTCTTCAGAAGATTCACACCGGCAAGAGCGGTCGTCAAAAATCCTGGATGCGAAAGAGATGGTCATTCTTGTTGCTGAAGACGACCCAATCAATAGCAAAATTGTAAAAAAAAGGATGGAAAGTCGCGGGCACAAAGTCAGGCTGACAACTAATGGAGAGGAATGCGCAACTGCATACTGCGAGGGGAGCGGAGAGTACGATGCTGTGTTGATGGATATCCAGGCATGTTCCCTTTTCCAAGCTTCCCTTTGTCTCGATTATTTGAATGCTTCATGAGGCTAACAAGTACTGGTGATAAACAGATGCCAATTGTTGACGGGCTGACATCGACAAAGATGATTCGTTCTTACGAGAAAACGACGGCTTCACATAAACTCTCTCCGCGTGCTGCCCTCAACGGTCGCATTCCCATTATCGCCGTCTCTGCATCGCTTGAAGAGCGTGAAAGGGATACGTATGTTAGTGCTGGCTTTGATGCTTGGATCCTCAAACCCATTTCATTCGATCGGCTCCAAACACTTCTTGAATGCATTGTTGATGCAAAGACGAGAGAAGAGTGTTTGTATAAGCCCGGGCACTGGGAACAAGGCGGTTGGTTTGAGAATGCACATTCGGCGGGTGATCAAACGGAGCCAAAAACTCAGTCCGACAAAGACGTGGCTTTAGGAGCAGATTCTTCACGTGCTTGTGCAATTAGAAATGAAGAGAGTGAAGGCCAATCGGAATCGCTCCAAACCGGTGTTGGCGACACGTCTCCAACAAAGAGCACCTCTGCGCCTGCTGCTGTTTCTATCGGGAGCGAAGAAAGCACTCATAAAGTCAATGTGACTGAAGCGGAGCTAGCGAACGAGCCGGGCCCACAGGAGTCTTTGAGCAAGCTAGACACATCATGAGTCACTCAGTTTTGATGTAGGTTGCAGTTTATGCTCCCGCAGCCACGAATCGTGCGGTTGCACGACGGCGTTGTGTACAACACAGAATTGCGCCTTGTTTTCTCGTTTCACGTATTTTGGCCGGCTGGTAGCTCCCAACGCTGCGCGGAAAAGCGCAGCATGACATTTACCATTTCAATGTAAGAAACATTTAGACAAAGACCATAAACCGCATGCATAACGATATTCAAGTGTGCCTCTCTTCATATATGTGTAACTGCTTACGACAAATGCGACAAACAAAAGATTTGCAACAAATTTCATGCTTTTTTGCTTGGAGGATGATGTCGATGACCCACATGCATATCTATGCGAGCTTCAGACATCAACATAACACTACAAAAATCATACTGATTATTTTCTTTTCACGAATGATTTCGGGTAAGGCTATATTCTTACGCAATACTCTTCCAGGCCTCCATCTCTGACGAAGCCGATGGGCTGACTGTTTGCTAACAGTTAACGTCGAAGCAGACATGATGTGGAGCGACTGTACAGATAGACTATGAAGCACCCACCGGACATCTCAACTTGGGCAAAATCAGATGGATCAGATCGTAAGGTTCGTTACGTATATCATGTGAGCTAAGAGGTATATAACAAATCTCTGGGCTGAAAAAAAGCCACGACGAAAATGCGAAGAAACGATGCTAGTCACGCCTCCCCCCCACCCACGAAAAAAAAAAAGCCCAAATGCAGCTGAGTAGATAGTCGAAGATGCCCAAAAGTAAAGAGGAAACAAATATTCGATATTGCTGCACCCCTCAGCCCGTGGAGGTCCTCTCACACCCTCCTGTCGGGCGAAAACAACATCCTCAGCGCGCTCGGGGCCTTCTTCTTCTTCCCGTCCTTGTCCTTTGTTCTTCCAGTAGAGGTGCCGGCCTTGGAGCTTGCCTTGTGGCGGTGGCCGCTCTTGCTCTTGTGAGTCTTGTGGCTTCTGGTGCTCTTTACGTCGTCGGCCCGAAGCACGCCTTCCTCGGCGAGACGCGTGCGGGCGTCCGGCGTGATGAACTCGCCGTCGACGGTCGAGCCCGCGCTCTCGGCCGCCACGTCGGCGATGCCGCGACGCCACATCTCGATCCTGCTCAGATCGACGTCCTCGAGCTCGTGCAGCTCCATGGGAGCCTCGAGCTCCCTCTCCTCCTTGGTCTCCTTGATGCGCTTGATGATCTTGTACCCGCCGAGCATGACGACGGTCACGCCCACGCCCAGGCCGGCCGCGATCAGGAACTGGGGACTCATCAGTAGCGCGGTGGCGGCCGGGAACGCGCTCTTGAGAGCGCCAAGCGCGCCGGGAGCCATCTTCGCGGCCAGGTTCGAGATCTCGGCCAAGGTGAGCGCGACGGCGGCAAGCGCGTCCGGATTTTTCTGCAGATGCTCGACCATCGTCGTGACGCTGTACTGCAGGCAGTTCGCTTCGTCGAGCAGCTTCGTCAGGGTGGTCATCTTGCCGCGTAGCTCCTCGTCGTCGTGATACCTGGTCTGAGGGACGGGTGGCGGCAGATCGCCGTATGCCAAGTCCATGTCGATGCTCGATCTGCGGCTCCAGCTATTGTGCGGTTCCGAGTACCGTCTCCCTGGAGGAGCCACGGCGAGATAGTTGCCGTCCGTGTGTCTTCGAGTAAGTTCCTTGTTGCGTATTGGCAACGCTTCCTCCTCTATGGCTGACCTCGGCACACCATGTCGCTGTGGCTGTGGATCGTTTCCGTAGTACGTGTCCGTGTAGCCTCGCACTGCCGAAGGGCGCTCTCCACGTCTTGTACTCTTGGATCGGTGGGCTGGCTTGGATCTATGGGATGATGCTCGACTCGCCGCATCGCCTTCTAGCTGTTTTTGGGCTCGTCGTTCGGCACGCTTCCGCTCGAACTCGGCCTCCCGATATGCTTCGATCTCAGCTTTGCGTTCTCGGTAGGCGGCTCTGGCCTCTTTCCACACATTGACCAGCTGCTTGCTCTGCAGATGCCTGAGTACTAGGATCCAAGGACGAAGTGGCAGGTATCCTACTTACACTGCTAACAATCTTACCCGACTTGTTGACCACGGTAATGGTCTGACCGAGAGGCATGTTGGCCTGCCTGCTTTGGAGGAGTTTGCACCAGGCAAATTCTCTCTGAGGTATAAATGAGGTGGTCAAAAGGTGGCGAGAATCGTGGAACCAATGGAGACGGTTGGCGCGTTTAACGGCCGCCAGCAAATCGCGGTGAAGAAACAAGAATTTCTACTTAAATGAGTCCGCAACTTCATTCACAGGGGTGAGAGCCAAAAAAAAAAAAGGAGGGAAGCAAGATTGCAAAAAGAATATCAAGGATCAAAATGCAGGCTTTTGAGATGAATTCTGGATCCAAAGATGCTCGGAGGACTGGCCAGGCTGAAGCATCGGGTACAACAGCGATCATAGCTGCGGCGGCTAAAAGTGATCTTTATCAGCTGCTCAGGAGAACGCTCTTTTTGCAGACTCGTATCGTGCCCGCGTTTGGCCAGCACAGCCTGCGATAGAACGGCAAACAATTCTGCTCGAGTACCGCGCAGATGGCTCAGGCGGAGGCGAAAAGAAACGTCGACCCAAGCAGCACGACGTGGTGAGTGTGCTGGCGAGGGGTTTGCTGCGTGGTTATGCAGATCGGCCGCGCTTCATTTGCTGCTCTGGCTAAATAAATTTGTGACGACCTTTTGGCTCCCCACGCACACTGCGACATCACGTCACATTTTTGGGTTATATGAAGTACCTTTCTTGTTATCGATACTGGTTCCGACCAGCCTTAGAATGTTTGACGCCGAGGTGAGGTAGAGATTGGCCGCATCACCTTCCACGCTTGCATTGCTGCCCTTCGCGGGAGCCCAACCGTATGCTTTCTCAGAATGTATCCCAACGTACCGCGAGCCGTCTACTGCATTCACATTCAGCTTCCTATTCAGCTCGATCCATTCAATTCTAGCCTGAGGGCGCACCGCGAAGGCCGCTCCCACCGTCGTAAGTGCGTGGCGCAGCACTGCGGCGCGTATTCCTGTGGCGGTGCAGTCCAAATCACGTGTGATCTTTACGCCACAGAAGGCTTGCGATCTTTTTCAGCGACAAAGAGGATCAAAAGGAGGTATCAGGGGCAAGCGATTAGACCAGTGCAATTTGCACAAGCGAAAGAAAATAGAAGTGTAGCCTGCCGCTTGCGTCGTTTCTACTCTATCGTTTATCGATGAAAAGCTACAGTGCATTTGCCATGCCTTCTACGCAAACCTGGAGAGAACTCTGCTACGCGAAATCTACCAGGTTAGCTTTAAGCCATAGATTTAGCATTGAAGTTGGCGAGTGTTAAGGATCCAACTCAAAGATCACGTGACAAACGCCTCAACGACAAAAAACACGCCTTTGATGTAGTTTTGCTTTGACGGTCTCCTTTCTAGCGAAATTCATGTAATTGAAGAGCCTGCACGGACAAAGTTGTGGAGCAAAAGGGGTACAAGGGTGTGCCAGCAGACGGCGTTTCGCTGGAGGGAGGTTTGCGGTTGTCCACAAGAGTGACGCGGTGACTTTGGTTGAGATTACCCGAATCATGTTCATCTCCGCAGTGATCTCGCACGGGCCAACGTTCATAGGAGTTCTCCCTTCGCAAATCCAGCGAGGTTGACCTTCATTCACATCGAACCAGGACTGAGCCGCGTGCGGATTTGCAGGAGCCCATCACGATCCATTGCCTGCTGTCTCGACGGAACGTACAAAAATCATACGAGGTGATGGTCAATGGCTCAGCCTTTCCCTCTGCAGAACGGAACCGTTTTCCGGGGGCTGCCACGTCCTTATTCAACGAGCTCTGCCTGGGCATGTGCAGTATCGTCGCTGGACATTTCGACCAGGTGACTTCCTTCCTGAACCTTCCGCGCCGGCCGTACTCACACTCGAGGGCCAATGGATAGCCGCCGGGGAACGCAAGTCGCGTTTCACTCTTGTGGCAGCCGCCATCTGTCGTTTCTTTAATCATGACCTGATTTCGAGGCACGCTCGGGCATCGCTGCAGCAAAATCTGGTCTGGGAATAGTCGACGCTGCTAATTAATGGCGTGCGCGGATTAGTCCGTCAGGACCGAGATCTCAGGGACGCACTCAACGATCCCTCTCAGGGCGTGAATACATGATCTCGGCCTGCGCGTGGGAAAAAAAGCCTTCGCAGGGACTGGATCATGCTGGAACGCAACGTATCTCTGTCGTCGAAAAAGGAACATGAAAATGGTTTCGCGAAATTTTTTTGGTGGAAGTGATGCCGTGCGTATATTGCAGACCGATTGGAGGAGGTTGCCAGGCGAACAGCGCAGCAAATGTTCGCCGATAGACGGAGCACGCAGATACGCCTGATTACAGATTAAGAGCGCTAGCTTTCTCATTGGTTTGTCCACGCTTCTCAACTGTACTTTCTGAGAATTGAAGCCTGAGCTTACCTGCCGCTAGGTTGTCTCAAGACCACTGATCCGCATTCACAGTGCGGTAAGGGGAGTTTGTGGACAATTAAAAAAAAAACTCTATTAATCGATGCTTCCATGCTCTTCTAGTTTGAAGTTCTTCCAGACGCCTGCATTCAATCTTGAACTTCCAAAGCATAGGAGTCAGCACGGCGTCTTTCGCTCGCTTTCCGCACCGTGAAGCTCGATTGCAGGGCCGCTTGCTCCTGACATGTGACGACTGAGAGTCGTTCGTGAGGCAACGGATGCCCTGTTATTATACCTGAAGCATTGCAAGTTAAGACGACCTCTGCGAAAAGCGTATCGCCCGCTCCGATCTTCTCTTCCAGTGTCCCCAAACTCCAGTTTCTCCCTTCCCCCCCCCCCCTCCTCTTTAGTACCGAAAAACTTGTCGTCCTCTGACGCGTTCCCCGGTCGTCGGAGTCACCTGGTGAGATGGCGTAGTCTTGCCCTTTCCGTGCTTTTCCCCCAAGCGCAAGTGGCGGAACGCTGACACGTATGGTCTGTAAGCCGGTAATCGTCACTTCGCTTGGAGCGGGGAAAGATCGATGACCTCTGCCCAAAGACAAGTGGAGCATTTGCTTTTGCTCTCCCTGTATCCTCGCCTGCATGACACATGATAGCGTCCTTCGTGGCGAAAACTGCCCTTAATTTTTTTTTCCGCCGGGAATGGCCTGCCGACTCCTGCCGGCGTCTCGAAAAGAAGTCGTTCAGTCGCGGCTTTGACATCCCCTTTGGCAGTCGAAACTGTTACCGATGCTTTTCAGCCTTGCGCAAATGGACAGCCTTGCCGACCATATCCACGCTTTCCACAGAATATATGCTTTCTTTGGGGGACATTGATGGTCGACATCACCTGAATCGTTGCACCGAAGGAGTCTCTTCACTTCCAATGACAGCACAGCACGCTTTACAGATGGATAACACGAGTTTAGACCATCTGCAGCTACCTGCATGACCAGTCCCACTACGAATCTCTGCGCTAAAAGGGCCCGCTGCAAGCAACCCAGCAGCGAACTCCAACCACCATTGGATAGGACGTCACCGAAGAGGCTGGGCTTGGGTCTTCCAATCATGTCCGAACTGATGTTCCCGCCCTTGTTAGCCCATAATACGACCTGGGCCCGCTGCAGCGACCTCATTTGTTGAGCTGCTACCCACCCTCTAAATCTTTGTGCCCGCTCGTCCACAGCAACTTCTCATCACCTTACCACTGCCGTATGCGAGCCAGCATAGAAATCAATTCACATGACTGAACGAGCACCAGTTCGGTAACGGACGTGCAGGTAGCAAAAATCAACGTCGGCTCATCTTTGCGCGACGAAGAACTCGAGCTGCGACCGCAAATGCGGCCATGCAAACAAATGTTTCGGGCGTCATTTCACGTCAGAAGGTCTCTGAGGGGGCTCATGCACTCTTTGATCTGATCATTGGCTCTTGTGATTGTGTTTATTTACTATATAATGTCTAGACCCCTGTGGGCAAGGCAAGAGATGCACAGCTGGGAAGTGGCGTCTTGACTCGCTTCAACGTCAGCAACTGCGGTGCCCAACCTCCAAACTCGGATACACAACGGTCACCTTTGTGAACGTTTTTGTGGCAGGTTCTGGCGGATGAGTTGCGCAATTGGTCCCAACAGACCCTGCTGAGTCGTGCTTGGAGAAGTGTTCCAAGTGACAAGGCGTGGTGGAGTGATAAGGGATTTGCATCATTTCGCCACCACTTTGGTCATCGTAGTGCGAACAGCGAGTCTCCGCCATTCAATTTGCAGGCAAGACAGTCTTTGACCGGTCAAAGGGACCAGGGAGAGTCTTCTGACGTGCAAAATCTGCTGTTTTGCGACACAAGAATGTACGGCGAGGCCGCTGGGCAAGGATAAACACACAACCTAGTATGCAGCGAAAATGGAGATAATCCCTAGCAAATTGTCAGTCTGCGCATTAAAATGATGCTGGAACGGCGTTAGCCATTCATATGTTCAACCAAAGGCAGCTCGCCACGTAGCCTGATCTTCGATGGACTCTTCTTCGGCCTCACTTAGCGTACTAAGACACCCGAATGATCAAGCCGTCATGCGTGGACGGAAGGGAAGTCCCACCCAGAACTTCTGGGACCAGAATATGCAATGGCTGTGCATGGGAGAGTGCATAAACAGAACGATTGACCACTCATTTCCATATTTCACGGCACATTCGCCAAAGTAGAGGGCATGGGACATCTTCTGACTGGCCATGATTTACCAATGAACCGATGTGCTGCATTAGTTCACCACCATGATCAGCACTGTTCAACACATGGCCTTCGACGGTGGAGCCCATGGGTGCATCGGCTAAAGATAAGCTGATCGAATACCGGGGAAAACGTCCAGGTGTAACGTAAGGCGAATTGATTCCAGAAAGCATAGGGCAGCAGATGGATCGTCTATACGTCTCGCAAGAGAACAATGGTGGGGGAGACCTAAACGTGAGCTGAAACAAAAACCCTAAGCGAACACGGATTTGCTGCGGGGGTTAGGAATGCTGCTCCATGTCGATGGTTGTTCCCGTAAAGTTGAGAGCTGCAAACACAGGCTGAAGAACTAAGGCCGTACAACCTGACGTGCCTCATTCGGAAGAACGGTGAAGTGATAGGTAACAGGCCCTTACTATTCTCGGTATCGGTAGCAAGCCGAACAAACGTGGACAATACCCGCCAACGCTGTCGAAAGCACTGGTAACTTCTGAGGACTTCTCCAAGTAGTGGCTGCAAGGCGGGACGCGAGGTTGCCTCGTGTCATTGGATGGCCATTGATATCCCGCACGTGACGGCATCTGGAAACCTCAATTTGTACAAACTTCAGGGTCCGTGAAGCTGGCGTTTCTACAACATGCGCAGGAAGATGTCCTTGACACAACCATGCGACAAACTGCCCATGACCTTGAGGCATTTTCGATGTCTTGTCGTACAATAATTGGAGCGGCCGGGCCGGAAGTAGTTGATCTTCGCGAGCTGTGATATCTTCCTGCACACGGACAGCGCCAGACAGGGCCTAGGGTCGTAGCACCATGTGTCTAGGGCGGTCTGGCGGTCAACAACGAAGCAGGCCGAGCGATCGTGGCATCCTCGTTGGATGATGAGAAAGTGGGGTTTCGATAAGCCGGCATTGTCGAGGCGATGAGACGATGAGAGGGCTCGTGCCATGGCTGAAGGACTACAGTCGTCGCAGTGGCATTGACCACCTTGCTGGAGCATAAATAGGAGGGCTCTCTCTGGAGGAATCCTCAGACAGACAACGAGCTCGAAGAAGAACTCCTCTTCCCTCTTCCAATCCAATCTTGTTTGAAACCCGAAGCCTCTGACACAGCTCCTTCACCATCACCCGTCCAGAGCAGCTAAGACCATCTCTGTTTGAGGGATAGTTGCGATATCTATTGGTGAGAACACCGTTCCAGCCTGGCGCTTCAGTGGAGGAGGCTGAACGTTTGACCAAGGTCGACAAGGCTAGCCAATAAGATCAAAAGATCTCCAAAGCATCAAGGTCCTCGAGGTGTGAATGTCCCAGCCTGTCGGAAAATTTGACCAGGGCTAATGCAGGTACTGCAGGAACCGATCCAAGCTCTTTTCTAAAAATGTGCTTCTACGAAATGTACAAGTTTGAGTGCGGCGACTGGAAATGGGGTAACTTCAAGCAGCACTGCAACAAGGAATATCGCATGGGTGAAACCTGCGGTATGAAGCTTGTGCTCGAGACGTATCACCAGCCAAACAAATGCAGGCTGTGCGAGAAGTACCACACAAAGCTCCGTAAGCGAGAGGCGGAGTGTGAGAGAATCAAGCGCTGGCAGAGCGAGGGGAAGAACCCGGCGTCTGTCGAAAAGGCGTATGCGAACGTTGCGTCGCTTGACGACGAGATCCAGAACATCTATTCGGAGATTCACCGGCGACGAACGAACATCACCAGTCAAAGAGCGCCGGATTACAACTACGCCTAGAGTCCGCACCAATGAAATGCGTTGCGGAGGGGCGATCGGAATGTTGACGCTGTTGAAAGGGTGTTCCGAAGGCGAGTGCTTCGTGTTCTACCTTGTCTTATCTCAAACGTCGGTTTGGTGAGCTTCGAGCGGTTGCCGGGCAATTTGTGGAGGGAAAGGAGCCGGAATTGATCCAAATCGCCAGTTGGCGATTCGCTCATTTGTATTAATTCTTCGTCGGTACCGTGATAACGAATGAAATGACTTTTTTCCTTGCTCTTGATTCGTTCGCCCGCCGTGCCCGTGCTGCAATAGCCGCCAACGCATCAGTGCGTCGATCATCATTGGACCAGCTTTCTTCCACGATGACCAAAGCGCCCGCGAAATGGAACAAGACAGACACGATCTCGCAGATGGCTCCCTGGCAGCAGCCGAGAAGGGGAAGGAATGGTGCGGTCTTGGATGTGGCCAAAATACTTGGATATTGAAGGTTCGTTGACGTTCGCACGGGAGGGGAGGGCCGAACCCAAAGACCTCCCTAATCGGCCTAGCGTGGTCACGTGGCGGACCGCTGCCCCGCACCGGATGGGGATTCCAGTGCATACTCGCATTCCGGCGCAAGCTAAAAAGGCAGGATGGAATTTCGGTGCTTCATTCTTCCATGCCAGTCCGCAAAGCGAGCATAGACAGCCGTGCATCCTGACATCGCTCTTGAGCGTCGTTTTGTTTCTCGAGTAGCATCGTAGTGTTTTGCCTCAACCTCTGCATGGGCTGTCGACTCACAACCGGACCTTGCCAACCTTTTTTTTTTCGTCGACATTATCCCGTGTCCGGTCAAGCAAAGCGAGGTCTCGCTATTCGTGACGGCGTTGTCTGCTAAATATCTTTCTGAACTTGCTGACGTAAGTGCTCTACTCGAATGGAAAATTTGAGTTCGCGTACCTTGTTTGCGGCGGCCTCCGGTTCGTCCGCATGAGATTCAAACCGCTGCTTATATGTCGTCTGCGGCAGGTTAGAGAACATCCAACGATCGCCCATAGACGCTATTAATGCGATTTGACCGTGGTTATACCCAAGGCTGAACGGGCTGATCTAAATGAAGCTTGTTCGTTGATATAGGAGATTCGAGGTCTGCCCTTTATCCCACACGTGTCGCTATCTCACTGGCCTGTACGTATGACTAGCTTGCAGCGTGGAATCTGATGTGTCTATGAAGCAAAGCTTCTGGGGAATGGCCCGCAAAGAGGTTTGAAGACGCGGGAAACGGTGTATGTTCCACTAACCTGCTGACAAGTCAAGCTCCAGCGGAGCTAATTTGACCGGACAGCGCGGCTCCCCGTGGCCCGAGAACGTCCGATATGTCTTTCGATCGATCGACAAAGCATCCCAGTGAGAAAACAGAATTTCGAATGCTGCTTGCCGTCCGACTGTTTATTCGATTATGTATGGTCGTTGGTTGAGTATGTCCGTCACGCAGGATGTTCAGACGACACCTCGAAGATGCATCTTTTTCGCTCATGTGGGTCTTGGAGCTCTGTCTCCCCCCCGAGCCCATGAACAGTTAAGAAAGAGATACCTGTTACTTCGCATACGCAGATAATCCGATCACTTGGAAATGAGGGCCGACTCGATGGGCGTCACAATGCGTGCGCTAGTGGGGAGCCTTGGAAGGGAGGACACGACACAGGCTGAGTGAACAGGTCGACATGACAAGTTCAAAACAGATATCCTCGTGGGCAGAGTCGTTTTGTAGTTTATCGAGAGGACGACTAGCATCAGAAGCAGATAAGAAGAACTTTTGAATCCGAACGCTTGCCCGCGGAGGACCAGCTGATGCCCTACGCGCTATTGAAAGTCATCGTGGCTCGCCATATGCTCCAACCAGTCCAGAGTTGTTTCCTAGGCTGTTACTGCCTACATGCCATTTGCCATGTGTTGCCCGGATTGCGCGCCAACCGCCAACCAATCGTTTCATTGGAACATCATATCACGTGCAGGATTCCAGACTTTCGTGCTACAAGCATATTGCAGAGCATATGGGGTTCTCGCTGGCTTTTGGTTATCTATCCCCGGTTAGAAACGAGCATGTGTTTTGCCGTTTTCGCGGCTGCGCTTGCACGGCGACCAATCGATGGGCTTTTGGTACGTATCCAAGATGAGTTGGAAAATTATTCGTGTCTTTAAAGAATTGCATCTTCACCTGCCACGGCCTAATATTGCCTGTACTGTATGCGTGCGCTTGCAGCTAGCGTTTCTGACAGTAAAGTCCAATCAATCTTTTGAGTGAGGTGCTCGGGTAGAACGACGTGCAGATGCCACATCATGCTGTAACGCCACTTGATGGTCTGATGAATAATTTAGCGCCGCTTGGAAATGAACCACCATTGTGAACTTCATTCGGAAGAGCGATAAGAATAGCAAGTTTGTACTCTCCCTGATCTCAAAATCTGCTTCCACGCTCTTGATTGACTCCAGAGGAGAAGCTGAGACGCTAAGGAGCGAAGAGGAAAACAGGCGCACAAGGATTGGATGAGGCCGGAAAGGCCACGAAGTTTATACATGACGTGTCTAATTGGCTAGGACTGCTGAATGCAATATGTGTCACCGACCATCAGGTTTCGGTATCGTACACCATCACGCTACTATTCCAAGGATCGAAACGCCGTCGCCGATATTCTCTGTTCATCTGTCGCCAATGGCCTCCTCATGCTGTCGCCTACTCCTCAACACACAAGTCTAGATTTCGTCTTGTTTCAATCATGCTGCGATTATATGTCTGAGCATACGAATCTCGTCAACGTCGAAGAACCTTACCAGCTTCGAAGTACTTGTATGCGCCGAAAGCAAGGGCACCGCCAACGAGAAGGATGGCATACAGGCCGACTCCCATTCCTGCATTACCACCGGAGGACGAGGAACCGCTGCTAGAGGTTGGGTAGGCCTGAGCTTTTGGCTCTGGGTCGCCAGGCTGAAAGGGTCATTGGTTAGCAATCGCATATTGTTTGTACGAATCAAGTTCGATGATGAACTGAACAAATCAATACAGTATCGGAGCCGAGGCCAATTCTTTCTGTACTCCAGAGAGCGCTGAGTAAAGCCGAGCTCTTATTGGCCACAATTTTTTTTATTCAGGCACATCTGCCGAATCTGTACATTTGGCGATTTCCGTCGTAGAAAGGAATCTTGGCACTTACCATCCTCTTCAATGTCCCGATAAGCAGGCCGGCTAGGACCTCGCGTGCTTCATCGCTGTGACCGACGTCCTCAAATGCCTCTGTCGCATCTTGGCCGCCAACGTCGACGAGAACCTCCTCGCCACCACTGGTTCACATATCAGAACTTGGTCCCCTCAGATTGAGTGACGTTCAGGCGGCCACGCGCGCACGAGGTGCACACCGAAGTCGTATCAGAGCCGAGGACAAGGGCAGTTTTGCTAAAGAAGTCACTTACGGATGCTCGTCCACGAAGCTCGAGGCGTCGTAGACTTTGTCGTGTATCACAAGATACAGATCCTTCTTTGTGGCGTGGCCCTTGACCTCAGCGTAGGTGAATTCCTTCGACATTTTGCGGATATTATGGAGGAGAGTTGGGAGGTTGACGAAAGCGTCGGTCGGAGAGGAGAAATGGTTGAGGCTACGGTTTCAATAAGGGCGGGAGGATCAGTGCGGCGACGTCGCAAATGTCTCGGAGATAGTCAATCTGAACGAGGAAGAAAGACTATGGGGTAAGGGAGCGGTATGTTGCGGGGGCGATGAGCGGTACTTGTTTGGACAGTAAGTTTATGGAGAAATCTCGCGGACGGATAGATTATCGGGAGCTTGTGAAGCTCAAAACGGATGGGGCGAGGGCCCGGCTAGAGTGCGGATGCGCCAAGGAGCAGAAATCGAACCACCAGCACGCCGAATGCTCTCAGAATGCTCTGCTATGCCCTGTCCGACAATCTTATCCGACCGTGTGCATTTTAGTCCTCCCCCCGTCCACACTGCTATACACATGCGTGTGTCTCCCCATTGCGGTTCGATTTTCCGGCCGCCGTGTCGCGACAACCTCGCCCGGCCGCCGGCGTTCCGAACGTTCTCTGTTCCGGTCGAAAAGAGTCAAGAGTTCATCCCCAATGCGCAGGGCACCAATCACGACGTCCTGATTTTGCGTCGACAAGTACGAATCTTCCATTCGCTCTTGTTCTGCGCTGCTTTGCGACCCTGCTTCCCATCGGCAAGGGTTTTGCGCTGGTTGGCCCTCTGAGCCTCGGGACGTTGGCTGCCTAACTAGACTCCGCTTGTCGGTTGACGTCGATGCTGGTATGACGGGCTGTTGTCTGACGAAGCGCCATGTTCGTCGACACCGCGCTCCCGTCGTCGCGGGCGCTCTGGCAACGAATGACGGTCTCAAGAAACCGTACCACACACACAGTAGCAGCGTCAGCAGTGTTGTCGTCTCTCACACCGTTCGACTGTTCTGTGCTTCAGTCATGATACTTGCGAAGGTGCTCACGGACATGCCTGAGTCAGTGCAGCTGAGAACCCAGATCTCTGGCCGTCTCTACCAGCAGAGGTCAGACAATTGCTTGAATCATAGCAGTGTTCCGCCTAGTTCTCACAGCGGCCGTGAGGAGTGAAAAATTCCCCTCTTGAAGACGCTAACGTCCAGATCCTGTGATATCGCATCATTCCTCATCTTTGATGTTTGAGCGCGAGGAGTGAACGGAGCAAACTGTGCTCGAGCCGCTCATCTCCAGAAAAAAAAAAAATGAACGTCTACAAGTATTCCCATTCCAGATCTATCGCTTGCCGCGGACTCAGGGCGGCGATGTGAACTGTTGGACGAACTTCACGAGGCTCTTTCAACGTCGGCTTCCTCTGCGTCAAGAACCACGGAGTTTCGCAGGAGTGCGTCGAGGGGCTGATTTAAGTCTTGTCTGGACTATTCTCGCTACCAGCCCAAGAGAGGCAGAAGATTTCAAAGCAGCAATCGCCTCATTTCCTGGGCGACGATTCTCTTGGAGAGGAGCCCACCTTGGGTCAGAAGGACAGTTCGATTATGCCACGGAGCTCCCGGTGATCTATAACCCCAGACTGTCGGACTTCGTTCAGAAGGGCAAGACTTTTCGAAGCTGTATTGGCGACTACGAGGGCGAAACCAATGGCCAAGCGATCGAATTCATGGCTTTAGGGACATCCTGACAAAGTATGTCAGCAGGTGATGAACAGCCCGCAGACGCAACGGTTCGCTCAAATACGCGCTGCAGGTACTACGTTGCCGTGGCAGAGCTTTCCTACCGATTGTCCATCTGGTAGAGGAAGCGTTTGGAATTCCGGTCTGGACTTTTGACACGTTTTTCATCTCTTCTGAAGACTACGGAAGCTACCAGGCACTGCCACCACAGCATCATGTCAAAATGCTTCGATACCCTCCAGCGCATGTCTCGGCGGCAAGCGTTCAATGTGTGGGTGCCCATAAGGACTCGTCGGCATGGCTGACCTTCCTGTACCAGCCTCCGCATCCTGAGGCCGGCCTGTACGTGTTGGGCCAGAACTGCGGGTAGATTGCGGCACCGCCAATAGCTGGCACGTTCATTGTGAACATTTGGCAACGACTTCGAAGCCGCTACGGAGGGCGCAATCCATGCCACGGTCCACAAAGTGGACGCCCCCTTTTTTTTTTTCAAGTGCATTCTTCCGTGCCGTTCTTCATGGGCCGCCCCGTGGATCTGACCATGCGTGAGATCCCCGACTTCATGCCCGAGTACGCGAGGCGCCTCGCCCGCTAAAGAGAGGGGAACGACGGTGGAACAAGTCTTTTTCTCAATCGCAGATGAGACAGCCTTGGCGAAAGCCAGCTCAGGAATGGGATCAGAAGTCACGACGTAGCGGGACGCGCGTGGTACGGCGATCAGGCTTGCGACTACTATCTATCTTGATGGGCCCACGGATGTGTGCAGATTCCCTGAATCTTTCGCACCGGTTTGGCCATTGATGCGGAAGTCTTCAGCTCGATTGTTCTACAGCCAATGTGCTTTAAGTCGGAACTAGCTAGAGACTCTTTCACGACGTTGTGGTCGAAACCTCACCAATGTTAGATGATGGTAGTATCGAAGAAAAAACGACTAGGCGTCCAGGCTCACGACGGTCCACGGTCGAGTACTCACCAACGAACGAGCACCAACTGCAGGAGAGCGTAACATCGCAAAGCTAGGCTCCAACATCGCGAACCAGATTCACACGAAGAATCGCGACGGGAGCGAGCAGGATGCTCATCCGCAACCATATGTCAGGATATATATTCGCTGAAACTGGCCGAAAGAGGCGCGACCTTAAGAGCGTCCATCTGAGAAACAATTAAGGAAAAAAAAAGAAGTTGGTTTGCATTCGACGCAGCCACGTAGAGCCTAGAGCGCGACCTTTTTCCTCACGCGAAGCACTGCCAGCATGATTTGATTATAAACGCGGCTCAGAAAAAGGCTCCGTCGTCCTTGGGATAGCTGGGACGCAACACACGCCCGTGGTAAGTGGTAGGCACCCTCCACCTCCCCTCAGAAGGTGTACATGATTCCTCCGATGAGGGTGCCACGTAAGAACGTACGCGGAACGAAGGAGAGTCACAGGAACCGAATCCATCACGCTCAGTCATCGTCGTCCTTCTCCAACAGCCATCATCTCCTCGTAAGCACTACCGGCTCCGGTGGTTTGCTGTCGATACCCAGACCGCGTTCCAGGTCCCGAAGGCTCTTCTCGTCGAACTTCAGGTGCCGATAAGCTTCAAACTCGTCCATCTTGGACCCTTCCATTGATGCGGCATCGAGTTCGGGGAAGTCGCCTTTCCGACGGCGCACGTGCAGTAGCCACATGAGAAGCGCCATTCCTCCCACGACCAACAGGGCCCCGAGTATGACGAGAATGTTGGCGCCCAACGACATAGTCTGGGCGGACGTCTCGGGCTCGGCGGACACGCCGTCGTCGCGTTCTTGGATTCACAGGTCAGCTACGGCTCCCTCGAGCATCGACTACACATCAACGTCGAAACTCACTAGCGAGCAGCACACCCTCCAGCCGTGGCCGCGTGGTCATTTCGTTCTCTCTCTCCAAACACCTAAAAGCGGGCCGATGGCAAAAGGGCCGACGTGTCGCCTCTCGAGCGCGTAAAGCCTTCGTACGAGAGCTGGCCAAAAGAAGATCGACGCAGACGAAGGGCGCAAGAGCAGCGAGAAAAATCGGTAGAAAAGAAGAGGCCAAAAAAAAAAATCAATACAGAAAATGAAGGTAAGCAGTATGCACCGGGTTCAGCATTTCCATGTCGCTCTTTAAAAAAAAAACATTCCAACACCCTCCCGCCGAACCGCACTTCTCTTTTTGTTTCTTTCTTCAAAAAAAAACTCCCCTTCCTTCTCTTTTCTCTGAACGGACCTCAATCTACGCCCGGGACTCCGCCTTTTCATTTGGCACGGAAGCACAAAACGCGAGCGCAAATCTCCGCTCCAAAAAGACGCAGCGTCAGCTCAGCGAACAAGGCCCCGGGCTTCTCCAGCTCGACATCATCCTTGGCCGAGATGAGCGTGCAACAATATTATAATAATCTTGATGGTCGAGGGCGAACGCGGGGGCTGGCGTCTGCGTCTCAACACGAGCAAAAACGTTCCCTCCCTTTTTTTTTTTTTATAAAAGAAAAAAAAATCTTATCCCCCATCCCCTTTGCGCCGGCGACGGAGCTTCTCTACAAGAGAGACAGCGCGAGCGCCGAGCCCGGAAGCGTTTGGCGTCTGGGGTCGTGGAGGAACCAAAAATTCGAAAAAAAAAAAAAAAAAAAATAAATTCGACCTTGCAAAGGAGGGTCCGGATTCCGGTTTATGGCGATCCTCCGCCGCGGACAGCAGGACCCTTGCGGGCTCGTATGTAGCGGAAGCCCTTTTGTCGTGACTTGATGAGAGGGCGCGCGGAGATGAGACGTGATGTCGAGCGAGATTGAACGCGGAGATCTTCCGGCCAAGTTGCTATCGGGTGGCCGTCTCGCCCGTCCCACCATACGTGAAGTTTGGGTAATGTTGTGCCCCTGTCTGATCTGGCTGGGGCACAAGGTCGCAGGCAGCACGTGCGTCATGATGAAAAAAAAAATACAGAGATACCAACAGGCTACGATGATACTTGAGTCCTTGAATGATTTTCGTATGATCTTTAATTTTGTTGCTCTCTTTGAGGTGGTCATCTGCATATCTAGCTGTTCTCCATTGACCTTTGCACTCGCACGTCGCTGCAGCCCCTTTCGCGAATCAACAGTTACAAAGGGGAAAAAAAAAAGAACGCAATGATGCTCTCCCTCGTCCCCGCGCGTGTTCGCGTAACAAAATGCAGCAGCAATATAGTAAGGGGGTATCACCAAGCCAGCTCCGCCGTCTGCGCCTCAAGCGTCGATTGAAGTGAATGTGTGAAAGATTCGAAGCTGGAAGAAGCTTGGATAGTGGTAGGTTGTCTTCAACGAATGCTTGGAAAAAGAGGAAATAAAAGCAAATCCAAAAAGCGTCTATGCAAAAGCTGATCGTGATGAAGGGGCATAACGTGTTGGGCGCCGTGATTCGGTTCCTCTCGATGACGGCTCTTGGTGTTCGTTCCAAGGCATGAGGGTGCAGGCCTGTTGCACACCTCTGCAGGAATGGGCGCGGCTCGTGACCAGCATAAAGATAGGTTCCATGGGTCGCGAAGGAGAGGATACACCGTGCGCTCAAAGGCCATGGGTATTTACAGAAGGATATACAGGGCTGCGCCCGCAATCCCGGCGAGCGCGACGTCCATTGCGCTTCGTGGGGCAGCGTTGGTGACCTGAACAGGGAGAGCGGAGGTGGCCGACGGGGAAGTGACGGCCTTGGTGGTGGTGGTGTTTGCGTGCGTGAGCGGCGTGACGAGCGCGCTGCTGTTGGACTTGGTCATGGTGGCCGTGACGACGTTGGTGACGGTGCCCGTGACTGTGGAGGTGACGTGAATGGTAGTGGTCTGGCCACCGGCGGCGGAACTGCCGCCGTAGCCGTTCTGTGCGAGGGCCATGCCGGGCACGACGGCGGCGACGAGCAGAGAGAAGCGCATTGCGAGCGAGTGAGCAGTCGGGCGACTATCAAAAGAGCGTGGGTTGACAAGCGAATGCGACGCGGTCGGAATAGGAGCGCAAGTCTGTTGTTGCTCTAGGCAGGACGACAAAGGCGTGCGAGGTGGGCCACGATTCGAACTCCACGCCGCGGATTTATATACTTGGCGTATGCGAAAGAACGTAAACGATTCCTCGCCGGACGGCGGGACCTAGAATGCTGTGAATTTTTTTTTTTGCGGATCCGGGTCCCAAAGAACGGGGGCGTGGCGAACGAGAGGAGTGGTTGACAGGGTTGCTCTTGGGTGCAGATAGGCTGGCTCGAACGAGCGACTGGAAAGGCACGCGGCGAAGGAGCGCGACGGAAGTTGGGAGACGAACGGAAGCGGACGAGCGCACGAAGAAGGTTTCGAGGACCAGCGAAGGAGAGCAAAGGAACAAAAAGAGGCAGAGGCCAAGACTGGGAGGAGAGACAGCCGGAGCGGTGGTAGATGAGTGAAGGAAAGGCAAAGAGCAGCCAAGGCGAGATGATCCGGGGGGCGGTTCGGAGGTTGCTGAGGCAAGAGTCGAGCGCGGACGGGGGAAACTTAAAGCGAAGGCACCGCGCCGAAGAGAGCGCGCGGGCGAGGGGGCGGCAAGGCCAGGGCAGGGCGGGACGGGCACTGCGAGTCGCTGGCGACGTGTGCGGGCGACGCTGCGCCGGCGACGTGTGCGTGCCTGAGGTTAAATGACGGGACTGGGCGCGCGCACGAAAACAACAAGGCCCCAGCGTCCACGTTTGAGGCCCGACGCCGCGAGTCCTGCGCCCACGCCCGCTGGCCGCCGCCCGCCTGGTTGGCCAGCAGCCGGGGCGTTTCTCTCGCTGTGCGTCGCCCGCGCCCAGGCCCTGCCATCTGCCACCGTCCTTGGGTCGCCAGGAACAGGAACCGTCCTCATGCGCGCACCCGCCCACCCGGCCGGCAGCTGCAGCGCGCTGCCCTCCCGTTGCTCGTTCCTGGCGCCGGCTCGCCCCAACACATCTGCAACCATGCGAAGGTTTTTTCCTTTCCTTTCCTTTGCTTCGCCATCCGTCGTGGCCGAGCTGGCTAGTCTCCGTACACGGACTCAGCCTGCGGGCCTGCCAATGCGCGGCCGCGTTGAGAGGGGGAAGAAAAATCTCTCAGCACGAGAACGCCGGCCGCTGGTGTGCCAATGGCAGATCGTCGCGACCACACTCATTAGCCAAGATCCTAGTGGACGAAAAGTCAAGCTTCGTGGCCTTGTGAGAACGAACCTCGCATCCGTCGTTATTTCACCGCGGGCCACACGGAGCCGTCCACATGTTCAACGATCGCAAAAGCGCAGCACGCGACAGCTCCGACGCTTTTTTCCCTCGGAGCCACTTGCGACATCCACCAGCCGGTCCTGGGACGGGCGACGTCATGTCGCCTCAACCCGACGTCTGTGGAGAGATAGAGATTCCGTCGACGAAACCTCCCGGCACGAAGATCCTGTCATGCAAAAGAAAGAGAGAGTACAGGGAGAGAGAGAAAAAGAAAGAGAACCTACCGAGGGCTTAACGCCAAAACGGGTCGTCGAACGAAGTCAAACCTCTCCAGGGCCAAATCAACAATTTCCCGCCCATGTCCTGCTGTCGTGGTCCCATGTTCCGTGAAATCTGCTGTCGTGATCAAGCCAGGCTTAGCGACGACTGGACAGTTTTGGTCCTGACAAGCATAGCAACGTGACGGAAGCAGAGCATTGTCGGGTGTTTCGCTGCACCATCTTGCGATGCATTCTTGTTGCCAGTGTCTCTTGTTTCGCTATCCATCGCCGGATTCGTGGCCACCCCCACACCCTTTGTCCGCCCTCCACCAAAAAAGGCAAAGGAAAAAAAAAAATAAGACAAAATTAAAAAAGACAAGAACACAAAAGGTTCCGCATAGAGTCGGTCGGCTCCACTTGTGTTTCTTACGAATCCCGCTCGTCGAAGGAAACGAAAAAGTCAAATCATAAAAATGGAAGCAGAAAACGGCAACCAGAGTTCGCGCCTGTCAACCCGTTCTCATGAGTCCGAACGGTGCGCTTGCTCGTGCGTAACGTGTTTATGTGAAACCAGCGTTGTTTCCAAACAATGATTGCGCTGCGATGGTGAAGCGCTCCCGTCCTTATTCTCTGTCTCTTGGTTAAACTCGTCCTAAATTTTTTGTAATTTCCTTTCCCCTTGCCTCAAAACTCGCATTTCCCCCGTAAGCCGTTGCGCGACCGTTGGTCTCACGATGTCCTTTGGATCCCGCTAGGAGACGCACGCCTACTTCAAAAGAAAGTACTGGACGTTGGGACAAAAAAAAAAACAAAAAAACAAAAGAGCGAGCCGTCGCTTGACACTGGGGCGCAGACCTTTCCTACAGACGGCAGAACAATGCCGTTTCGCTCACCGCGGCTCGGGAGAACTTGGTTGGCTTGTAGCCAAAGCCTTGTTGATGATCAAGTAACAGGTGTTAGAGCCTAGATGCTGTACCTCCCGACGAGTCGCGGCCATCCTTCGCGACATGTTTACTCGAAAGTAGAGAGCGTCGAGTGACGCAGCACTTTGTCCAAGAGCCACAGCGCACTCGTCAACACAAAAACTTTTTGTCTAAGCATACGTATCCTGTAATTGACCATCTGTCGTGTACGTCTATGCCCGTGCAATTAACTGTATCGTTGCAGACTGATAGACACGCTGCGGCTCATCCAACGAGAGATACGCTATACACGTCCTCCTTGCTCCTGGCCTGGGCCAACAGGCCCTCTAGCACTGCTCCGATACATCTGTAAGGCCCACCCCGCGCAAGACATGTCGAGGACGACACGATGGCAGCTCACCACATCGGTCACGTCGTCTTCTAAGCTGCTTCTTCGTTCGGCTCCCAAGAGCGACAGAAACGTCACCAAAATCGCTCAGCAAATATCCGACCTGGCCACAGCTTCATAAAAATACATAAGTTGGAATAAAAGAACGCACATTATCCTCATGCTGCTGGTGCCAAAAAATTCATCCTTTGCAATCCGACCGCTTTGATCCCATCTTATTCAAGGCTAATTCCATTCTAGTTACGCTTTGGCCCCTCTAGAGACCACAACGGTGATAGCCCGTGCTACCATGTGCTAGCTTCTGCCCCCTGATAAGTGGGAATGAGATGCGCAGATCAGGATTCGGAGGTCATCTGTTCAGTAAAGACGACAAGCAATTGCTGCGCCGCGCGATATTCTCTCTTTTCTTTACCCTCTTGAGCCTCATCTACGGGTCTTGCGAGCAATGTAACCTCTGGCTCCGCTGTCGACCGCGAAGTTAACATCACATTGAGGATACGTGGACGTCGCTACACTGTTTTTCGCCGTTGCCACACGTTTCAAGTGTGTGGATGAATAAGTCGATGAGCTGCTGGCTGAGTAACCCCCAGCAATTGCACCAGGGTGTGCATCGAGTGCCTGAGCAGTGAACGCAATGTGCCCGAATGCGACAAGTTTGGATGCCGTAGTCATATCTATCTTCCAATTGCTCTCGAACTCCGTCATCGTGGAGCCTGCTGTTTAATAGCAGGAAAATGTCAGCCTTCATGCTGGTCGTATTATCTGGCTATCTCGGGTGTGTGCCGTGATGTGTCGTATCATGTGATCATCTCATGCAGGAGTACGTCTCGTTGTGGGGATGGAAGCATTTCAAGATGGGGGCAGACGTCTCAAACAGCTAGACCCTCGGGCTCGCCCATCTCCCACATTCTCCTGCACAATTCATACGTTGCGTCGCGTCTCACTGCGCCCGTTCTTAGCATCGTGCCGCTACCACCGTCCTCTTCATCCGTGTCCTCCACCCTTGCGCTTGGCAGGTCGAAGCTTACGCGCGATCTATGGCCTCTCTCTTCACTCTTCGACCCTGCCACAGCCCTCCTCTCATCGTGCTGCGGGGCCTGATGTTGTCTCGCTTGCTTTGTCCTCTCGTCAAGCTTATGCTCGTCTTGCGGGCGGACCTTGAAGGTACCCTCAGGATTGCAGTGCCTGTCGAGTGGTATGCTGCCTGATTTCTCATCATGGTCAACCTGCTTTGAGGACTTGGGTGTATGGGTATCACGCTCAGGATGCGGAATCTCTCTCAGACGTGAGACGGCGTCGGCGACGGGACTGCGATACCGCCGCACGACGTTGTACTCCTTGTTGATCTGCGCAAAAAGCGCGTGGACTTGGGCAGGTGTGCCGCCGTCCGTCGATGTGAAAGACAAGCCGTGGCCCAGTAACTGTGCAGCCCCTGGACGGGGTAGCACGGCGGGGATGTGTTTGGTCGGCTCGATCGCCGAGGAAGCGCGTTGGAGGAGCAATTTTTGCTGTGTTCGGCTCGGTGGAAGATCAGTCGGTGTGTGGGTGCCCGATCGCCGCGACTTTGCCACAGTGGGAGAGATAGGGCCCTTGTCCGCGGCGGCCATGTTCGGTGCGGATCTGTTGCGCTTGGAGGCGTCGAGGTCGCCCGTGTCCTTGGCGGGCCCAGCTCTTCTAGGTAGCATGTTTCCTTCACGCGGCGTGCCTTCGTTGCTGTTTGCATTGACGAAGCGTGAGACCAAATCACGCCCAGGCGTGCCTTCCGCGAGCGTCGACGCCTGGCTGTGGCTGAGCGAACGGTGATCATTTGCATCTGGCTGCACCGTGGCGGACACAGAGGACACCAATGGTTCGGCGCTGACCTTTGGCGTCACCTTGCGCTGCAGGAGCCGCGAAGTGATGGCATCAGCGTCCAACGTGGGGACACGTGTCGACGCCTTGTACGAGCTCTCGCCATTGATGTGCTTCGTGGTCGTCGTGGCGGCAACAGAAGCACCTCTCTCCTCCTCTTTCTGCTTCGTGGGAGACATCCCGTCGGCGCGCCCCTCCGGCGCGTGTATCACTGTCGACGTGGACTCGTCTCCGGAAGTGAAGTCGTGCGCACCGTGCTCGGATTCCCTCGGCATTTTGTCGGGGTCCAGCATCAGAGAGTTGCGTCTGGTGTTGTCCCTGGTCACGTTAGGACTTACGCTCGTGCTCTCCTCCGTCCACTCGTTCTCTTCCTCGTTGGCTTCGTCTTCGCTATCGGGCTCGTCGGCGAGTGCGAAGCGTACGGTGGGCTGCGCCGTGGGCGACACGGGGCTGGCGGGCACGCTTTTTTCGCTGCGGCCGCTGTGCTTGCGCTTTGGATGCGGTGCGCGATGCTGGCCGACTTTGCTAAGAGCCTTGCCGGACAGGTTCCGGGGGAGATGGCCGCTGGAGTGGTTCTTCTTTAGGGCGGTGTGCGAGTGGTTGCGCGAGATGACAAAGGCGCTTGCATTGCGCTTGACCTGGGGATGCGAGACGCGCGGGCTTGTTGGCGCAGACGTGTCGCCGCCGGCGCCAATGGCGGGATCGCCGGACTTTGAGCGAAGGTGATGCGGTCGTGAAGCTGCAGAAGAGCTGGAGGGAGTGGCGGGAGCGCTGGTGTTCGTCTGTTGCTGGATGTTGTGGGCGTGGCTAGACTGGCTGGCAGCATCGTGCGGCATCTTAGCTAAGCTGGCGTGGCCGTGAGAGAGCTTGTTCAGATTGTGGCCAAAGCTGGTGTTGCGGGACCCCAAGCGGCCATGATGTCTGGCTGCCTTGTGCTGTCGCGAATGATGGTGATGATGATGATGATGAGGGGGAGGATGGTGGTTATTGTTGTGATTGTTGTTGAGGTGAGGGTGATTGTTATGGTGGGGAAGCTGTGACTTGATGGAGCTCGATGCGTCCGACAGACTGTGCGAGACTTGGGACGAGGCTGAGGAATGCCGGTGGGCGAGAGGCGGCCGCTGCGAATTGGGGGATGCGGCGGTTGCAGTGGGTGTCAAGGGAGATTGATGGGTAGCGATGGTGGCAGTCGTTGTTGTTGCAGCTGTCGATGTCGCGGCGGTAACAGGATCGGAATCAGAAACAAAATCAGAATCAGATGCGATATTAGCCGTCATGCTGGTATTGCCGGCGGCAGGATCGGCAGCACAGTCGCCAGGACCAGCACTGCCAGCAGACGCAGACGCGGATGCAGACGCACCGCCCGTGAAGGATTCCGTAGCGGTGGGCGTTGGCGGCGCCTGCATCCTTTCCTATGGCGGGAGGTGTACGGAGGTACAGGCGGTATAGGTAGGGCGAGGAGCAAGGGGGAAGGAGGACGTTGGGGGGGCCCTAGGGGGGAGCGATAGGGGGTTGTGTTAGGGGGATGTCTTAGGCGGGGCGGGTTAGGAGGGGGTTTGGGCTTCTGACTCCTTGACCTGTGCTGCGCACCGCCAGTGCGATTGATGGCCTGCGACTGCGCCGTGAAAGTTCGTGATGCTCCGCGATGGTCTGCGCGGATTTGTTCCAAAGCAGTGACTTGGACAGCACGTTAGAAACTCCGTCGCTGACGTTGTTGCGCTGTGTGCAAGCAGTAAGAGTGTGCATCCACCCGTCTCTGCGCCTCTCTTCTGCTCTGCCTTCCACGCTGCCTCCTTTCGATCTCTTCCTCCCCGGACGACCTGCTGATTTTAGCGACACCTCCCCCCGTTGGTGGCCTGCTTTCCTGCCCGCCTGTCGAAGAACCAGAAAAAAAAATGACCGTCGCCACACAACTCTTCAACTGACGCTGCCGGGTGCCTGCTTTGCCTGCTTTGCCTGCAATGACCAACTCTTGTAGCCGCTCCGAAGAATAGGCCGACAGATAACGTCGCCCCACCGATCCTGTATGCGTGTCTGCAGTGTACGGACTATGGTGCTGCAATGCACCTCGCGGATTCGTGCGTTTCGCTTACGCCCGAGCAGTCACTCGATCACGGCGGCCGTGCAACACTGGACGGGAGCTGCAGAAGCTCTCCTCGGAACGCCCCCCAATCGCTCGTCCATCAATTGCGTCATGCACGGAGAGATGGCAGACGACCGGGCCTGGCAGAGTGTAGGAGACTGAGAACTGCGAGAGGTCGTCGGCGCACACCGAGAGGTGACGATGTAATAAACTTTTCGGCCTTTTGGGCCCGCGAACTGGAATTTGTGGAGAATTTCAGCCAGCTAAAAGACTGAGCAATGCCGCCGCTCACATTGGCTGCCTTTTCGCGCCCGTCCTGGCTCCTGCTAGGGCCTTGAGCTAAGTTCACCTAAGTCAAGTCGCTCTTGTCCCGTGACCCGCTTTGGTTGACGCTCTTTCTATGTCGCCCGTGACTCGACCGTTCTTTCTCTCTCGCGCTCGCTCGCTCTTTTCTCTCGGTCTCCGCCTCCCCGCAGTCGTCGACCTAAAACGCCGTCCAATCATTGATCGCCCTTTGCCGATCGCTTCGACAAGCCATCCTTCGCTAGCCGTTGCTTGATCCCAGATCGCCCCGTGCACGCCCGCTCATTGGCCCCTTGACGAGCGCCAGGCTCACGTCAACCTGCGGCACGTGCCAAAGTTCGCCTTGGCTACCTCCTCACCTCGTTCGGATCAGGACTACAGACCGCTTGATCAAAGTGTTTGGTCCAGCCGGCAACACGTTAGGGCGCCTTGTTTCTTCTGTCCAGGAAGACCGACGCTCTGGTTCACAACGCTCTCGGTTCTGAACCTTTCGAGGCAAGCGGAAGCTCAATGCATTTCTGCATCTGGTAGATCTGAAATGGACCGGTATTCTTCATTCGATTATGCGAATCTACGAGAGCTCACTTGTCTTCGTCTCGTGTTGAACGCGTCATTCGGTTCGCACACGATGTGGAACGCAGTTGGGACTCAAAAGTAACATTCGCAACCCGAAAACACGGATACATGTAGTCGTCTACTTCTTCATGCTTGTACCCCCCTTCAGTTCATGCACCTTCAACACCATACCCCCTCGTGGCTTGGCCTCCAACCCCAATTCCTGGAACACCACGTCCCCAAAGACTGTGTCCAGTTGCGTATATTTGACCCTCGGCCTCTCGTTTGGCTTCATGTGATGGTATTCGAAGTCAAAGTCCCGGACTGTCATCAGCAAGATGATACGCAGCTCGTCGATCGCCAGCTCCTGGCCTGCGCAGCCCCTGGGGCCCCTGCTGAACGAGCGAAAGGTCGCGCGGCCAACGGTGTCGGCATCCATAAATCGCTCGGGAGAGAACGACGCCGGATCCGCGAAGTACGCTTCGCTGTAGTGCATGTGGTGCCAGAGGGGCACGATGGCCAGGCCATTGTCGATGGGCAAGGGGCGTCCCCGAGATGTGATGGTTGCGCCTGGCGGCGCCGCACGTACTCCAAAGCCGACGGGGAAGAGCCGAAGGGTCTCTTTGATCACGGCTGTGGTGTATTCCAGCTCGTTGAGTTTGTAAGGGTCCGCTTGCAACATTTGGACCGTCTGGTCGAAGTCGGCTGCGAAGACGCGAGTGTGCTCCTCACGCAGTTTCGCCATCACGGCCGGGTTCTTTGAGAGTAGCATGTAGCAGTACTTCACACAAATTAGCCGAAAGGCCCGTCAAGGATCGCAAACGTCCTGACTATCTTACACATAACGTATCGTTTGTAGTTCCATGTCCGCCGAGTAGCAAGCCCTTGATGCTTTTGCTCACGTTAGTCCCGTGCGGCCCTCCTGCTCAAATGCTCTCAGAATGTCACATCAAGATCTGGAAGACGTACTTGCTCAGCAACAGTCTGTCAAACTCCAGGTCCAGGTCCTTCAGTTCCTCCTCGCGCATCAGCTGCTCGCGCAGCATGAGATCCAACGTGCTGTACGGGTCCTTCCTCGACGGCACGACCTTTTGCTCCCGCAGCATCTGGTACCTTTCCAGGATCTTGGCCTTGACCTCGCTATTCAGACGCTGCGTGACGGCACCGCGTCTCCACCAGGCCCGCAGCCTGTCTAGCGGATTCATGGAGAACCCGGCCTCGACGAGGTGGACGAGCTCGCGAAGGTCCGAAAGTGTTTGGGACCCTCGCTTCTGGGCCGCGAGCGGGAAGTTGAACACGATGCGGGCGATGATGTCGAAGATGAGCTCGGCGCCTTTGACTTCCATGTCGAAGGGCCGGCCAGCCCGCGCCAATTTCGACAGCGTGGAGCGGAAGGTGAGACACTCCTCGATGATGATCCCGCTGAGGTTCTTCACATGGCCTGGCGCAAAGGACGGATTCATAGCTGTGGCCGAGCGGTCAGTCGCATTCGACCATCGGCGCTGCGCCTGTGCCAAAGGGCCACGGCAGAGGCTACGGACATACCGTTTCTTAGCATTTTCCACGTTGGGCCGTTGACCACGGCAACCACATCTCTGCCTACCATGGGAGCCAAAAAGTCATTGCTGGATGGGTGCTGCTGAAGCGGCTTCAAGACCTGGACGTAGTTCATGTCTTCCACCTCCGTAAGCAGGACCATCGGATCTGCCGCCGGCCACAGGTCCATGTAGAAGACCGGAGGCAGGTCGTACGTCCGCTGGATCTCGGTCAAGAGCAGCTGCGGATGGCAGTTCGGCGGCAGCTTGCTGGACATCTCACCCATGATGCCCAGATGGCCCAGTATCCAGGAATGCGGCGGGCAAGGCTGGAACGTGCACGAACAGGTTCATCAGCGATGCTATCCATGGAGAGATTGGCGTGGAAGGGGCAAATACGGGGCAGTAACGGGACAGGAAGGGCTCACAAGGTTCCTGAAGAATTTCCTGCGCCGATACACGAGGTACATGAGATGCAGGCCCAATGCCGCCGAAGTGGCGAGCACGAGCTTCGCGAGCGAGGACAAACCCATCTCCTGCGACGGTTCGATCCAACCCCACGCGACCGCTGATTGCTTGCAAAGGCCAAAAGACAGGCAACGCCAGGTACGAATTCAATCGGAGACGTCAAGACTTTTGGGAGGAAAATTGTCGTCGAGGTAACAACGTCGTCTATAGGCTGCGAAAAATGCGCCCCCAAAAAGTCACTATTCGGTCTTACTGCTTACACATTGTGGACTGTCCAATGAGGAGGCTCGAAGTACGCCTATGCGCTGTTGAGACAGGGGAGATAGGAATTTTATTTTAAACTTCATAGGGGTCACACTGTTAATTCACTAAGAATCGAGACAGCAAATCAGCTTGGCTGGATCTTGCGAAACCGTGTGGAAATGAGGACGTTTAAGACGGAGGGTGAAGTTCGTCTTACTTAGAAGGAAGTGGGTAACTTAGTGGTTTCAGCAGAGTGAGAGTATCACGTGATATTCGTCTTCTGGACCCCTGGTGCATGTTTGATGGAAACCATCATTTGGCCCTATTTTCGTATTCCCTGTAACCCGATTGGCCACACACTGTCCACGAAGACTTCCCGCAGCGGACGGAAAGGCTTGTTGCGAACGGATGTCTATGCACCGAGTGACGAGCTGAAGAAAGCAGTGTTTTTTTCTGGGGCGACATATCGAGGTCGTGATTTGTTGTAAGAACGTCGCCGCAAGCATAGCTGATGGATAGTCCAGATTTGCATGTTTCACATCCTCGCTCTGCTTCTGCTCCGAAGCAGCGGCCCAAGGACGCCGTGAATTAGAATTCCGTAAGGCAACGGCGATCATAGATGTAGACGGCCCTTGAACACTGTGTTGCCGTCCTGCGAGGACAGGCGACAACAGCAGACTAAAACTCGTACGTGGAAGATGGAGACGGGCGCAAGTGTTTCAGCCGAGTATCTTTCTGAACCATCGACCAACATTCCAGACCTCCTCCAGCCACTCGCCGTCCCTCGCCGTGGCCCATAGGCCGACGCCGCGAAGGATGTGGTACTCAACCTTCTCCTCTGCAGTTTCCACCGCCATCTGGAGCCTCTCGGCCTCGGTGGCGGCGGCGATGTCGTCGAAGCGGTCAAGCATCGCCTGGGTGGTCGCGCGGCTCTGCGCCGTGCGGACCACGCTCCGGCGCAGCAGCTTGACGAACTCCTCGTTCTGGTCCAGCAGCGGATTTGCATCGCCGACGCTGAGACGTACGTGAGGCAGAACCAAGGACGAGTTGGAGGGGGGGAATTTGCGCAGCGACTTGCGCGGCTTGGGGGCGCCGTCGAGCGCGGCGAGCTCGTCGGGCTCGACGGTCCTGTCGGCCGGCACGTTCACGCCAGCCGAGCGCAGATAGTGGATGGGCGTCGCGAAAGGATCGAAGTAGTTCTCCGGCTTTCTGAAGTACGCGCTGCGCGCCAGCTCCAGCTGCTTCGTCGTGAGGCCGGCCGCGTGCCCAAACATGTCCCAGCTGGGACGGCCGGCCTTTCTTTTCCGCCTTCTCGGCGAGGCCTTCTGGATCGTGTGGCCGGACGCTTGGGTTTCGGCCGTGGTGGTGTTGTGCTCGCTGCTCACGTGCTCTGGAAACACCCAGTCTACAACGGGGCTGTTGACGGCCGCTGCAGCGATCCCGTCTTCACCCAGGCGCGACTCGGTGAGCGCAAGCATAGCTGCTAGACTCCCTCCAACCAGCTGGCCGCACACGCCCATACGCAGGTGCGTCTTTTTCGGCCGGGCAGCTCTGGCCACGCACGTGTCGATCGCAAACCGGTTCTTGACGTAGTCGTACCCGGCCAGAACGTCGTGGACCGGAATTGGATACTGGAGGTCGCCACCGAGACGGTAATTCACGCGCACGATGGTTGCATTAGACGCAGCCGATAGCGCTGCGACGATCTCGTCATCGCGTGCGCCAAAAACTTGGTCTGCAGGAGCGACGGTTGGCAGGTACAGAATGACAGGCGGAGTCGGATGCTCCCCCACCGGGGGCTTGAAGATGCTACGCAGCGACGTCAACCTCGTTCACGTACGGGCAGAGCACAGGCTCGGCGTTTTCTGCCGTGAGACTGCTTACTTCAGGCTGATTTCCCCATTCGACCGACAGGCGAGCTTGACGTCCTCGTCGGGCGCTGCGGTTGGAGGCCCAGCTGCTGCGGAGTAACCTCTGCAACTTCCCCGGCTCGTCCACGCGCGAGGTCCAGAGCTGGAGCGAGCTGCGATGCGATTCAGACCGACGCTGCAGGTCCACGTACATCGCGGGCTGAGCAACGCATGTGCGGGGCTTGTCCGTTTGCGGGAACGTGTTCGAACAAGGAGCAAGCCTCGAAAGCTTGGAACGGGTTCGAGGCGGAATGACATAGGCGCGGCGGGGAGGCTCGACACCTACAACCGCAGCGCATCGAGGGCGAATGTTGTCGCCGGCGGCGAGACGTCGCTGGGTGCGAGCGAGCGAGCCGACGGACGGGGGCGATGGCTATGCACCGCACAGCCGACGGGGCGGCACGAGGAGACGCGAGCAGCGAAGGGGGCGAGCAAAACGACCAGGCAAGCGGCAAGGCGACGGGCTCTTGCTCGAGCCTTCGTCGCGCTGTCCACGGAGGCGAGAACGGCCACGGGCGCTGTGGGACGCAAGCGGCAGCAGAAACGGGAGGAAAGACGCAGGCCGCGATTCCTTTCGGAGCGATGCTGCGGAGGGGATCAGCGCTGGCACGACGAGGTTTTTCAGCGTTTTTGTTTCGGCCTTTCACTTGGGCGGTTGCCGCACGCTCGCGCTGAGGCCCTGGCCACGAGGAAACAGATTGGGCGGTGCTGAGACGCGGCGAAGGGGGCTAGGCCGGGGGGTCGCCCCTCGTCCCGCCCGCCAGTCGGCCGGCGCTGTGCCCCCTTGGGCGTAGCCCCAAATTTGCGCACGCACGCCTCGTTCTCTGCATTTCCCTCCCTCACGCCTGGAACTCTCCTCCACGACGCCCCGTCCTTGCCTTCTTCTTCTTCTTCTTCTTCTTCTTCTTCCTCGTCTTGGTCGTCGTCGTCTTCTTTCTCCTCCTCTTCTCTGCTTTGCGTTGGGTGTGGCCAGATTCTCGTCCTCCTTGGACTGCATCCTTTCCTGCCGTGTTCCCAGTCGGCAAGGCTTTATCTCGTCTCCTTCACGTTGGTTGGTGCTTGCAATTCCTCCGTCTGGAACTGAGCCCTCCACCTCTCCTCGTGCCGCCGCGCTGCAGACAACGCCCTCCACGCCTTCCTTCCGCACGTCGATTGTGCCTTTTGTGCAACGGGGCCTCTGCCGGCACTCCTGTCGTGAAGTGACGGCCGCCTGCAGCGTCGTGATTGCTCCCGTCGTCCCCCCCCCTGGCCCGTTCGTGCGAGCGATTCGCCGCCAAATTTCCAAGCCTTGACCGTCGCAATACCAGCTCGCGCAGGCCCGCCTGCTCCAATCTCTTCCCCTCCCCGAGGTCGACGACACACCGGTCGTCGCTAGCAGATCTGGCGACAACAGCTCCGCTAAGGTAGCAGCAATTGCTGCGAGTGCAGAGCAGCTTTGCTGCCTCACTCATCCTACCCCCCGCCATCCATGGCTAAGGAGCCCCAGAGTCGGCTCGCCAGCGCATGCACGCTGATCAGAAACCTTTTGCTGGCTGGCTTCTTGTACAGCGCAATCTTTGGAGTCATATCGCTGGCGAGGAAACCGGGAACCGTCAAGGGGAAGCTTGGCATCCCTGCCTTCCTGGAAAAATCAGGCCCTGCAGACATCATCAAGACCACAAGCAAAGGGGTAAAGGTCAAGTTCGCCGCGTCGAGCTCCCTCGTCACCATCAATCCACATGCAAATGTGTTCAACCGGCCAAAGAGCGCCGTTGTCCCTAGGGACGACTACCTGGGCCCACGTCCCCACGTCGACACGGAAGCGGATCTGCAGATGTTGGTAGAGGAGTGCAGAGGGACGTACGAGGGCTTGGAGCGGATGCGAAACGTGTTTGACTGTTTGCGGTTTTTGGATCAAGGGCAGGACAAGTACCACTATCTCCCGGCAGAGAAGGATCGTGCCAGCAATCAAAGTCCCCGCGATGCCGAATACAACGACGCGGACGGTCATGGCAATACCAAGGCGGTGTACGTGGATGTCGCATCGGCCAAGAACGCCACGAAGACGTCGAGAGGGGAATGTCCCGGCCCGATCATCCCTTACCACACCTACTGGACCGGCCCGGCCACTTGGAGACTGGAGATTTTCGTCAAGAGCTATCTGTACACGCAAAACCTTCCCTGCTCAAGGCTTTACATCTGGATCGACGAGGACAGAAAGCCCGACGGCGTCGAAAAGATGTTGACAAAGGACCCGCTCTTCGCCCGCTTCCTGCCATTCATCGATCGTGGCGATATCGTGCTCAAGTCCTGGAAGTTCCCCAATCGTATTCCGCTCCCGAAGACGGAGGACAACACCGACGGTAACGGGTATTACAAGAATCGAGGAAAGCCAAACTTGCAAGGCGAAGTCGTCGTCGCCGACGGCATCGTGGAGGACTCCTCCGGCCAGCACTGGCTTGCCCTCACCCCCAAGCAGATGACGTTCCTACCACAGGCAGTATCCGACGCTGTTCGCTTCGTCGTCTTGCATCTGTACGGTGGCGCGTACTTCGACATGGACGTTCTGATGCTGCGAGACATGCGCCCGCTTCTTCTCCCAAAGCACCATAGCTTTGCTGAGCGATGGGCTGCCCATCCGCACCCGGGCGATTACAACACTGCCATCCTCTCCCTGACCGCCAACTCCAGCCTGTCCTCCTATCTGCTGCGGGGCGGTGTTCGTATGGGCCTCAACTTTCATCCTCGCGTGATCGGTCGTATGGCCTGGAAGGACGGACGAGACAAGGAGTTACTGATGCTTGAGACTGCGGCCTTTGACCCGATTTGGACCGAGTTTAATTGGGATCGTGAAGGACGCTGCACAGTTCCTTGCCTGAAGGACTACTCCGCCGTATTCAAAGGTGGAGCATCTGCGCTAAAGGACGAATGGGAAAGCTACGACGGTGCTCAGTTACCCTTTGCGGACCAGACGGCGCCAAAAAGCACCGCTTCAACCGAGACATCACCTGTGGACGAGCAGCGAAAGCTCAGCAGACGAGAACAAGATCCTAGCGACCCTCACGCGCCCGTCAGTTCGCCAGAACCAGAATCGACAGACAGCTTCCATGCTACGAGCGCTGAGGAGGCGGAGCTGCGCAATGCTGGTGTGATTGCAGAGTATCGCCTCGATCAGGATAAGTACCCGCCGAACAACCGCACGCTTGAGAACTTCTTCCGTGGTGCTTGGACTTATCACATTCACAATCAGGTATGCTCAGATCTTTCCAACATTGATTCAAACTGCGGTCACGACCTAACCTTGATCATATAGTGGTTAAGACATCCCGAACCTTCTTCCTGGCTCTCTGTAATTGAGCACGCGCACGATGGTTTCTTCGCTGGCACTCGCCCCAACATGTACGGTGAATTCTGGAACGGTCCCTCGCTCATGCCTTACAACCATTGGCCTGAGTATGTTTAGCTCAAACGATGTTAAGCCACTGTTCTTTGCTTTTCTTGTTGCTTTGCTTGAACGTCCAGCTTTACTTTTATCGAAGCAGGAGCAGCGCCGACGTTTTTATTTTTCCATCTACGAATACTCTTGTATCGCATAATGGGACGGCGTTTTAAATGCGGCACGTTCGTGCGTGAGCGGTCGAGATTACGGCCTCAATATCAGTCGTTGCTAGGGATTTTCGATGTGTTGCCACCTTTCCTATGCCTCATCTGGTGGTCCGGAGTGGGCCATTTCTGGGTTTTCTTCCCCCTTTTTGTGTAAATATATTCTCTCACCTTTCATGAGGAGCTCATGAAGACTAGGGTCAAGTCCACTAACTTGAGGCAACCTAGTTTAGATACAACAAACTAGAAAGAAGTTCATCGCGCGTTATCATTAACATTATTATTATTATTGTTGTTGTTCTTGTTGTTGTTGTTACCATCATCCAAGGGAAGTGTCTTTGGCTGTGTGGAAAATCAACCAAACCATCTTTGGGCATTTCCAAACTTAGAAGAGTTGTGATCTACGTACAGAGGGGAGAGCTTCGACATTTCGGGCAGCTGGAACTCGTGTCAAATTATTGGCTAGCGGAGGATCTATTAAGCCAATACCTAGGCGGAAAGGCTCTTGAAGCCCGCTCCAGAGACGACCCGGTCACTTCTGCATTTGAATCATTTGTTTTTATTTTTATTTTATTTTGGGACGCCGGGGTCATAAGCGTTGCCACCAAGAACCCGACGGTCTTTACTTCATTCAGTCATCAACCCTCTTGCAATGAAGTGGGGCTCTGCATTTTTGAGAAGGCTTCTCATCCATCCGCCCTCCGACGACTCGTCGCCACGCAAGGCTATCCACGCGGTTGATGTAGCCCAGTGAAAGATGGGTGTAATGTTCGCACCAGAGAGCGATTGCGCCTGAAAGTAAGCAGGAACGCAATTGCAGATCTCCAGCGCGGCGGCGCGAATCGCGAGCCCCCGTTCCTTCGACGTCATCCTCTTCGCTCCGAGGCCTGACGGAAGCGAATTGCCCTCAAAGACCAGATCGGAAAAGACGCCAAACTCTGCCACCGGGAGCGCCGAGAGCACTTGCAGGACGTGTATAAGCGCGGTGTTGTACAGCATCAGCATGGGGGCGGCCGAGCGATCTGCAAAATCTAGAGGTGTAGCAAAGCTGGACCAGTCCTCTTCGTCGACACCGGACGACGATTCAATCTTCGTCTCCGCGGAGACCGATGCTCGGTAATGATTCTTACTGTCTTTCATCCACCGGTCTTTCCAAACTTGAAGTTGTTGGAGTAGATTCAGGCTTGTTTGCTCGACTTCCTTACGCTGCGTTATGGATGCTCTAGGCTCGATGCCTGACTTTGCAATCACGAGGTTAGATCTCGCAACAAGAACTGTGCAGTCGGCTAGAATATCCCACAGGTCGTGTTCATGCTCCTCGCTCGCAGAGCAGCCTAGCCGCAATACGGATTTCCATTCTGGTCTGGCTAGCAGAGAAGCTTTTCCAACACGCAAGGCAGCAAAGAGGACGAAGTGGCGAACGCTGCTGTAGAGGTTCACTGCGCTCGCCGAATTGTGAATGGTAGGGTCGCGAAGTCCTAGAAGGCGTTCCAATCCGAGCATGTGCTGCAGATAGGCCCTAGGACTTTCTCCCATGGGCACCACGGAGGACTGTATCGCCAGAACTGCTACGGCGAGCAGTACGTCATCATCGCACCGTCTGGTTGGGTCCGAAAGTGCTCGATTCAGCTCTCCGAGCGCGTTTACATGGACTGCATGTCCCTCCGTGACCAAAGATTGCTGGCCGTGTTCTGAGCCAAAGGTGAGCATGGAAAAGCCAAGCAATGCTTGGAGAAAAACACGGCCGCTGCCCTCAGCGAGAAAATCGTCAAGCGTACAGCCTTGCAACGCCAGGTCAATGGATGCTCCAGACCGGAAGAACTTCCGGCCAAAGCAAATGTATCTTTCCAGTCTTGCGTCTGACGTGGGCTGTACCTGTTGCACTATGGGCGGCGTGGTGGACCTCACACTTCGTGCGTCGCGCACGACTTCGAGCGCGCCTTTTGCGGAGCTACGCGCCTTGACGGCGCCCGCGTTGATGAAGACAATATCACGAGCTCCGTCGCAATACAGGTTGCTCCTCGCACATCGAGCGCAGAGGGGTCGAGTCTGGTCTAGAACGGTTTTAGTCGCCTCGGATTCCGCGCCGCACAATTCGGGATAAAGGAAGACCATACCGCACTTGACCTTCCTACGACGACATGTGGAGCATCCTTTCGATCTTCCAGCAACGTTTACCATACCTTAACGGCTCTACACCTCATCAACGAGCAAGAGGCGTTCAAAGCCTCCCAAATGGAACAGACAAACGTCATGTCCGGCGGGCAGTCTTTCTGCCGACAAACAAAAGCTCAACTTTGCCCGCACTGCGTGTCCCCTTATCAAGCAAGCCGACGCTAAGCCAAACATGGTACTTTGTGCGAACTTCCTGGTTCACACGCGACTTACGCTCAGAGTTCCACGCCCAACTCTAGATGTTGAAAGGAGCATTTGGTAAGTAAGCTTCCTGGCGTGTGTTGACGTCGGCGAGCCTTTGATGTAATGGTGGATGAGTTTCCTGCCGGATGCGATCGGCAGTTTTACGAAATCAGAACGAATTTCATTCCATTGCTGAAACCAGTTTATCCGCTTCTTCCATCGTCGGCACGATGCGCAATCTTTTCCGCGGGCCACTCCCTGTAGCTTTATCGACGAGTCACCATGTACTGGTCTGGATGGCTGTGATATGTAAAGAGTGGGTTGAATCGACATGGTGCCGTATTTCTGCGTTGCATCGAAGACTACCGACTTTTGTCTTGGGATTCTCCCTTTCGCCCAGCCGTAGAGAAGCAGACATCGACGCCTCTGCAGGTAGCCCCATCTACTACGCTTCTCCAAAGCACACTTCAATATGTACTTAGCGTAACCATTGAGATCGCGGCGTCTCCCGAGATTGTGCGGACAAAGACAGTACCACGCAGACGGCATCTTCAGACGAATCGGCCCAAGAAACCCCGACGACGCCGTCGAGCCGGGAACGGTGTTCCACAACTTGCTGGAGCTGATGGACATGGAGGCCACGATCGTCGCACGCCGACAAGCCTTCCCCTGCTCCCTCCTTTCTTGGACGAAAACGCAGAAATAACGTCTGCCCTCCCTTAGTATAACGGCCCCGGACGATTGCAGTGCGGACGTAGCACACCGGGCCCTTTTGACGGGACAGTGAGTCTCATTATCCTCTCTCTCTCTCTCTCTCTCTCTCTCTCTTTCTTTCTTCTTCTTCTTTTTTCGGCATCTCGTATACAAAGGTACGCTGCTGGCCATATCGATTTTGTCTCCCGCGCAGGCACGATTTCCTGTCCGACCCCAGAAAGACGACGTTGGGAGGCACGACGTTCACGCAGCGAGAGGACTTGGGCGATCGATTCATCGCTAGATAGATTGTGTATACCGAGCGGACGAATCGTGGCAGAATTACAACGAGGACCTAAGGAGATGGTGCGAGCGGCCAGGAAAAACCACAAGCACACAACTTTTTAAAGAGGGCTTCTTGTCTTGCCGGACCTGGCTTCTTTTTTACACTCTCGGTTGAAGCACCCTTTCTAAACTATCGGGTTTGCATATATGTGATTCAAAGCGTGCATGTTTGCATTTCGTCCTCAAGAAGTCATGCCATCGTGTCAGCGAAAGCTCTGGATCGGCACAACAAACGCAAATTTGCATCACTTTTTCCAAGCGGCGTTGCGCTCAATCAGATACGTCTCTCTCTCCGATCCCGTCTTTATGCAACATCTGTGATGCGACCATATGGACAAATCCCAAGTAGGTGATGGACACGAGTACACATGTGGGATTTATACCTTCTTTCTATCATCTCATAGGGCTCCCAAACCCAGCACTGCCTTTTCCAAATGGAGCCTTTCTCACCGGTGTACCCGCTTGACTCCTCAACGGACTTCCACTGGCAACCTCGCTGGCCGTCGCACCGAGTTCTGGCGTTGCTCTGCCTGACGTATTTCGTCCTGGCGTAAGCATCCCAGGTGGTACACCAAGCATCTCGTCATTGCTAGCACCTACTTTTCCAGGAACCTTGAACCTTGTTTCGGCTCCTCGACGGTATATCCACTCCAATTTCTCTTCCAAGGTATTTTCCCGCCTGTAATCTTCGTACTTGCGCCACAGTTTTAGTGCTGTGCGTGCATCTTCGACGGAATCATGTGTCTCAATTTGGATATCCTCCTTGAGCAGGAGCCAAGCAAGAAAGCGTAAAGAGAGCTTCCGCTGTCTTGACGCAATGTAGAACAAATCAACGGTGTCGATGACCTGTGACTTCGGGACATGAATGTTGATAGTCCGGAAATCTTTGGTAAGGCCATGTCCAACAAAGGTGCAGCCTAAGTTCAACAGCAGCCACAGCTTCTTGTAAGCTACTTTGAGAGAAACTAGAATGTGTGATGAAGTTTGACGATCAAGATCTCCCGGTGCAATTCCGCTATGCTGGGTCAGGTAATCCACAATTGGCTCTGTGATGGCGATATAGTCATCTATGAACGGCAAATCTGCGTCTGGTCCCGCTCCGCGTAGCACACTGACACGTGCAAGGCCCAAACGACTAGGACGAATGGTTTCTCTTGTGCCATCGGCCTTGATCTCTATTTCTTCGCGTTGCAGAGCCACAAATTCAGCATCGATGCCGACAGGTGCGCCTGGCTGTGGGACTTCATCGGTCGGGTTTAAGAGCCTGAACTTGTCGAGATGCTCTGACTGCGCTGCGCTCCATTTCCTGTATAAAATGCTCGTGTCAAGGTTAGTTTTCCAAGAATCATCAATTATATGCGAGTATTCTTTGAGCTGGTAGCACAACACACAGGGCAGTTTCCAAGTCGGCTCAAATCTTAGAGCTTCCGTTGTTGAACATGGCGTGACGAGAAAATCGTTGAAAAGGTGCCATTCATCTTTTGCATCCGTGTTCGAAGAGCTCGGTGAGACGTTGAGCATGCCGACTAAATGACTCTTTTGATTTTCTCCGCTCTTGACGTCGCAAACGACTCCAATAAGTTCATACACCTGGATCTGATGCACCTTGCGCTGGATGTGCAGTTCCAGGTCCTGGCCTTCGTAGCAGAAGAATTGACCATTTCCCGTGATGATACCAATCTCCTTGGGCACCCAATTGGGACTAGACCAGAGTTGTTTGGCTTCATTGGTTGTCACGTTCGCATTCATCACCATGACGGCTGGTACGCCTTGAACTTGTTTTCGCTGACTCATTTGCTGATAACGACGACAGCGGGAGCACCACCCACGGGTCGGTTCTTGTCGCTCAACCGAGTATTTGAGAATCTGGGAGAACGTTTGACGGTGATGATTCTGTGGATTGTTGCTGCGATGGTTTCGTCCACCCATATTTCGCTGAGGCTGCGGATAAATGAGCTCATGACTGTAAACATCGTCAAGCCTGGTCATTTCGTGCATGCATTGCCCACATTTGAATGTTGCAAGCATCTTCGTTGCGAGTGCTTGCTCCAAGGGGCGATTTTGGGCATGCGTAGAGACCATCATATAGTCGGTGCTGAATTTGTTGAGAAGGTAGGTGTTAAGTTTTTGGACCATTACCGTAAGACGCTCATTTGGATTTCGTTCTTCGAGCAGATTCAACGACTGAGCTGCTGGTTGTGAGCTCAGCGTTTTGAGGAAATTGGTTGCTTGGCAATTCATGCCTTCCGCCTTCTCAAGCATATCGATTAAGAAGCCAAGTTCGCAGAGCATACACTGGTCAAAAAGACATTCGGTTGCCGTGTGCTGGAGGGCAATATTCCGGATCACCGGCGTGAACCGATATAGCTGAAGCAAAGGGTTTGCATATGAGTTTGCAATGTGAGTCTCTAGTCCAGAGAAAGAGGTTTTGTTGTAGTAGCTGCTCCGCGTTAATACATGTGTTCACGTATAAAAAGCCACAAAACGTACCGGAAGTCGAAATCGTCTACACCAAACTTCGAGTACTTAATCTCCACATTGCCATATATAGCTGGGACATCCTTTCTTGTTGCACTAGTGATATTCATATCTTTGAGATGCTCTAACAATGCATCACTTGGACGTTGCTCGTCATCACCTGCTTTGGCAGACTCCCTGGCCTTCTCAGAGAGGAACTTGGGAGCTCCAAGGGCACCGCTTGATTTCTCAGACAAAGCTACTCGGGTTTGTTGGATCTGATTGCGGAAACCTTTTCGCGGATTTGGTGCATATGCTCCCATATCTGCGCGTTTCTGGTGAGCTGTTACAATGGCCTCAATCTTTGGTGGTGGAGCGCCCACTTCGAAGGTCATGTGAGAAGGCCACGCAGAGAGTAGAAGTTCACGATAATATGGCATACCGATTTTATTCAGAGGTCTGTATGCAATATTTAGAATATTTGCTTTAGGCTTGAAGAAAACACTTACGTGTCAAGCGACCAGTCCATGGGCGGATGAGGAATGATAGGGTCAGGGAAGAGGGTTTCTCTGGGATGATCGGTGAAATGTGCCTTTGCGGGTGAGCCCCACAGATGGATTTGATTCAAAGTGGTTGCAAAAGCAAGGGCTTCTCCGGATGGTGCGAGCTCAAGAGACGTTATAGCCGTATTGTCGAATATTTGAGCTTGTTTGACGAGTGACACAGCACCGGAATTCATCACATCCACGACTTGTATCTGGCCATTAAGGGAAGCAATCACGCATGTGGTGTACATGCGGGGATGGATACGAACGAATGCGGCGCCAGGTTGAAAGGGTATTGGGGGTAATGGTTGAAGCGTCTTAAGTGAGAGGAGGTTGACCATACCATCGAGCATAGGACCGAGCTGCTGCCGATTGGAATAGCCGCAAGTGACAAGGAAATCAGTTTTGACATCCATATCATTGATCCATCCCATATGAGCTTGCCATGACTTAATCAGTTGAAAGGTTTTAGAATCGAGGATGTGCACAGAGCCCGTGTGTGTTGCAGCACAGATGTGCGAGCCGCCTCGCTTCATGATTGTGTACATATCGTGGGCTGGTATCTGCAACTGTTTGGTGAGACTCTATCCTTCTCCTAAGCGTCAATGAAAGACTACATACGATTTCAAGGATTGCCCCCTTCTCCACGTCTATTCTAAACATGGTATTCTGCATGCCCGCGACCAAAATCTCGGTGGCGTCCTTGCTGGTGAAGCTCATACATTGTAGATCCGTAAAGTTCTGATCCCTGAAATAATGTGAATTCGAGCCCTTTCTCATACGATGCGTGACCTACGCCAAGTGCCATATACCTAGACCCCTCCTCGACGCGTAGTGGACGCTCCTTGAAGAGACGGATAGCACGCCTTTTTCGGTGAATATTATCTGCTTGACATGCTCGCTAGCATGTGCTTTGAAACTCGTATACTTCTGCAGCTCGTGGCCGTAGAATGACATGACGCGGCCCTGGCATAGTCATCAATGAATATGCGTTTCTCACTGCGCGCTTCATATACGGACGGAAGAAAGTTCGGGTATGCCATACATATTCATTTCCCGTCCACAGCAGCTCTTGATGAGGGTCTATAGCAAGCGTCGTGGCCCATGTGGGCATCGCATGAGGACCTGGGCCGGGATGAGGTACGAGGCAGATCTATGAATGCGCTTTACGTCAGTATGTATTCAACACGTTCAGACAACGCAATTCCGAACTCGTGTAGGTAGAACAGCCATGTGTCGAATATTTCCGTCAGCCATTGACGTTGCCTTACCTCCTCAGCGTCGGTGTCCATGGTCAACAGGAACCAGACTCTTTCCGCCGCCAAGGAGCTCGCAGCGCTTTGCTCATGTCTATAACATGGAGCGAATCTTTTCTCGATGACTTGTAAGTTGAGATAGTCACTGGCTTGTACACTTCGCGCGGAGTGACTGTGGACAGTGCAGGACAGTCGCAGTGGTCGATGATGTGGTGAGCGTGAGCTGAGACCGGGATTGACTTAGCCACCGTCCCCAGACAGTGGGGTTTCCATAGTTCTAGTGGGACTGAGAAGACAAACTTATCGTGCTTCAGCCTCGCTCACAAGGCCGGGGTTAATGGATCGAGGGTCTTGACCATGCTATATATATTGTTTATGAGACTACGAAGATTAATGCTATGCGTTGTGCTTCTAAGGGATTCCAAGCTGACTACACGAAAGTGACTCCAGGCTCGACCAAGCTCCAAACACTTCACATTCCGCAATATGTACATAATCCTATCACCATTTACATTCTCAAGGCAACAATTTACTCAATAAGCAGTCACTTCCAGGCCCAGGACGATACCTCTCCAACGATACAGGAATCTCACTTGAGTACCCAATGTCTCCATGTGCCGTTTCCAGATTGGGCCCAATCTTGCCCATCAGCTTAGCGATCCAACGGTCATTCACCAGAGACCCTAAGACTGCCTTCTTGACCCCGTTGCGCATGTTCTGATGCATATCTTGGATGAAACTACGCAGCGTGTCTTTATCATCGCGGAGTCCCTTGGTCAAACGATTCAGGCGATTTTTTGATGAGCTACCGAGAGCAGTGAGATCGGACAGCATGCGGTTGCGTTGTGACAAATCAGGCGGAGTCGAAGCTAAAATATCGAGTGTGTCGCTCGTGTTTATTCGTGAGAGTGGCGCTGATGAAGTAGGGGTGAGAAAGTCTGTCATCGGAGTGCTTCTGCTCAGAATATCTATACCGTCTTCCGCAGCCTGTGGCATTGACTCCATACGGTCGATTTCCTTATCTATTTCTATGATTTTGGTGGCTTTGACAAGTGCCACAACGAACGCGACGAATTCTTGGTTGAATGCCGCGGGGAGACTTGCATGTGCAGTAATTCCAATGGCAGCTCGTCCTTCTCTGCTCTCTTCAGATCCTGCTCGGCTTGGACTGTTTTCGGAAACCCATCGGCCTGCTCTAAATTTTCCTTCACTTCCATAAAATGATGAATCGTTGGCCTTGGTGGTAAGATATGTTAGTAATGCAGACATAGAAAGCTTGGGACACTGACTGTGGCATCTGCGCAGCCAAGTCTAACAACTTGTGTCAGTACACCTGATTCTGATAGGGTGCGGCAGGCAAGTATATCACTGGAACTAGTCAGAATCAAGCTTTGTAGGATGATGCCTCACAGTGTGCACCTAAAATGAAGGTAGGAGATAATGTCGAAGGCTGTCAGCAGCGGTATCTTTCCCACGCCGTTGATATCAGTAAGTTACAGGCAGAAGTTCGTCACCGCCGGCCAATCCATAATACGTTTCTCGATACGCCGTAATTGCTTCGATTTTTCCGTATGCAGCTTGAAGATCTGGATTCTCGGCAACTGTCGAAGCCATTGTCCTGATCCAGCCACCGTCACAAAGCTAATGCTAATCGGATGAAAGTAGCTCAAAGAGCTCAGAAACAGTCTGAGCAGGACGGGAAGTCTGTACATAGAGGCTCTTATTTTAATATTGCTTAGATTACGGAGAGCAGTGACCTTCACTGAATGAGATGGTGGATGCAGGACAGAAGGGAACTCGTGAAGTTCAGCACGGATGGCAGCTCTCACATCTTTTTCATCCTCAAGGTTCGTCCTTGTTCTTTAGCTGCTTCACGAACGAGGGCTGGACATTGATAGACTGCACAAGTGGTTCGGATATCGTTTAGCATCTTCAAGTACTTTTGCTTCTCATTCTGATCATTAGGCGAGAGAGCTCTGATGTCATCGAACCCTGCTTGCACTGAAAAACCTTTGATGTACGATCTGCCTGCCAATGACTCTCGCGACTTTGGCCGAATTTTCAAACCTTCGGATCCTGCAGCTGCAGCACGCAAGAGAGGAGTTTCATTAAATAAAGACTCCTCGTCTGCTTCGTTGTCAGAGTCTTTGACGTCAGCAAATGTCATTTCTGTAGAACCTCCTTTCACATTTCCAAAGATATCGCTGATCTCGATTTTCCTGAAGAGAGAAGCACACACTTGCTCAGTATAAACCGCAAGCTCGATGTCGTCGGTCACCTTGATCCCCACTTCGACTCCATGAGCAATCAATGTTAGACTTGAAAGACAAACCGTCACAAGGCGGATGACCATCTGCCCAGAAACCTCCATGTCAATATCTAGGGCCGGTAAGTTGAACAGCGCGATTGTGTATCGGGTAAAGGATATATCTCGAAGGACTCGACGAAGGTTACGCTGTGCTAGTTCTGAGGCGGATTGGAATTGAAACAGGCAAGTGATGAAAATGACTGGCCAACATGTTGACGCGAAGAGACCATTGAGCAGTCGCGACGTAGAGGCGACAGCGTAAACGAGATTCAAAGTCGTCAGTAGCGTCCACAGCGGCACGGAAGGGAGGATTCGAGTTCCCAGACTGGCAGCATATGTGACGAGGAGCGACTCGACGCCCGCTCCGGAGTAAAACCAGCCGTCTAGGCCAACTCAAAATTACCAGCAATAGAGTAATGACGGCGAACAATATCAATGGCGCCGTCAGACCAAGCGGTTCCTGTGCCTTTTCAAGCCCACTACATGATCCCGGTGACTTTCGCTTCTTTGGGGTCATGAGAGGATTCGCAGCTATTCTACTTCAGAGACTATGCGCGCGGCCAAGAAAGTGTCTTGTAAAACGCCTTGTCAGTAAAGTTGCGTGAGCAAGGAGTCGAAGAGGGTCTTCTAGCAGAAACCATTCTCACCAACGCTTGCGATAAATGTTAGTTACAGGCAATGACTTTGCTGAAAAAAAAAAAAAAATAATAGCAGTACCGAGGATCCTTAGAATAAGGAAGAGTACCCATGTCTTGGTCAACATTGTTCCTATTTTGGATTTTACTTGCTTGCGACGTCAAAATTCGTAGTAAAAGCGAGCTATTCCGCGAGGAGTCTAAAGCAAAAGATCGAGAGTGTCTTAGTTAACCTTCTTTATTGAATAATGACTGGCCAGAAGCATCTCAGAAGTGCCATAGCTTCTCCCGCCTTTAACCGGAGCTAAGAGAACCAGTTTTGAATCTTCATTGTTCCCTTCTCCACGAGGTTTTTATGCAGGTCAAACGTGTTGAAAAGCAAATGCGGCTCGTGTCCCCAACCTTTTCGAAGACATTCGAACTCGGCCCTTTCGAAGTAATCCATCAAGATAGGCTGGTAGTCGGGATGTGCGCAATTCTTGATAATGACGCGCGCTCGTTCTCGAGGTGACAAACCGCGGACATCTGCGAGTCCCTGTTCCGTGACCACGACGTCTAGATCGTGCTCCGTTTGATCGACGTGCGTGCACATGGGCACGATGCAAGTGATGCCATTGGGATCTGTTTTTGTTGGCCTTGTTGATGGGGTATGCATAATACTGTATTTGGCGGAGCGAAGGAAGTCTGCACTGCCACCAAGACCATTCAACATACGGGAGCCCATCACGCAAGTGCTGTTTGCGTGGGCGTATATATCAACTTCGACCGGCGTGTTCATTCCTATGACACCAAGCCGGCGGATGATTTCAGGTGAATTAGATACCTGTTGTGAGCGCAGGAGTAGCTTGGGAGCGTATTGGTCCCAACGTTCGTAGAAGCGCTTGAATCCATCAGGCGAAAAGCGAATCGAGGTCGCCGTCGCAAAGTCCAGATGACCAGAATCGAACAGGTCTAGGAAGGAGTCTTGAAGAACCTCCGTCCAGACCTTCAAATTTCTGAATTGTGCACCATGAGACAGACCACCGATCACGGCATTGGCAATGTTACCTATTCCGCTTTGAATGGGCAATAGATTTTGTGGTAATCTGCCATGGTCGACTTCGTGTTTGAGAAATTCGATTAGATTAGTGGCGATAGCTGCAGACTTCTCGTCTTCGGGAGCATTCGGTTGTGTTTGATCCGGGTAGTCCGACTCAACGATGGCAACAACACGTTCGGGGTCAACCGGTATATGTGGGGTGCCAATTCGATCTTCAGGTGCCATGATGAGATATGGCTTTCTCCTTGGTGGCAGGTCAGTCATCGTTATATCGTGCAGTCCTTCAAAAGACGGGGTCGCTGTGTTGACCTCGATAATAATCTAGGGAGTCAATATCAGCCTTTCCAAACGATTTAAGATCGGTATACCTTTTCAGCCATCTGGATGATTTCTGGACTGGCACCAACGCTTGCTCCTGGAATGATGCCGCCATCCTCCGTGATTGCACTCGCCTCCACAATGGCCACGTCAAGCCTATTCGTTTTCTTTGCAATGTCCAATCCATTGCTCTGCCCTTCTTCGTGTTGGCCTTTACGATTCATTGTGTAGAAACCGTACATCAAATCAACAGGGAACATGGACAGATGCTTGTCAAAAAACTTGATTTTCCCCGTATTGATGCCCTTTGCGATATCTTTGCCAACTTGATGCGGAGCACGCCTCTCAATCATATCGTTTCGAGCCCATCGATTCTCTGTTTCAGCTCCAGAGGACGCGCCCACGAACAAATTGAACTTGAGCTTGCCTTGCAGACCATGTTTCTCCACGTGATCCGCCAGAGCTGTTGGAACTTTTCTACGATGATCGTGTCAGTGCTTCGTGTTCGTCACTTGCATAGTACGTCAACGCACTTTGGATACCCAACTCCAGTAAAACCGCTCCATCCGATATAGCTCCCATTCGGAAATAAGTGAAGCAGATCTTCAGCCTTGGCCAGCTTTGAGAGGTACGATGGCCTGCGGACGCGGCTTTTGAGCAGCTGGGACGCCGCCATGTATGATACGAAGTGATAGGGCAAAATGAGCAGAAAGATGAAAGTGAAGATGTGGTCTTCTAATATATTTAAAGCTTGAGCTTGAGATTCAGTTATGAAACTTGGTGACGAAGTTATGATCCACCCCAAATCGGATCTATCTCGGAGCTCGGTCATGGGCTCCGCGAAGCCACAGTATCAAGCTCAGCACTATTTTAGGACACATTACAGTATTTTCACCACATTTTTCTAGCTCCAGGAGATTTTTCAATTGATCTTATCAACAGGGAAGAAAATTTTGAAGGCCAAATAGCTTGCCCAAGCATATCCCATCACGCCGGATTGAACTTAATCTCTCCGTCCCCCATCAAAGACTAATACAACTTCTTGAGCTTGCGACTGTTACAACTAAGAAAGCGCTGACATATATAAACACCTTATGCTCAAACTCGTCTCCTAAAGTTGAGCTGTGCAGGTCAGGCTATGTCGATTTTCGCAATGCACCTTGAAAACGCACAATGAATCTTTGTAGGGCGGAAAGCCTTTGAGGAAATTGGATTGAAAGCAGCAATCTTCCGTCTTTCTATTTCCCGAAAGTACAGAAAAAATCTTGCTATGGTCCTGAGAATCAAAGGGAGATCGAACAGAGCCTGCCGCACGAAGTGAGAAGTAGAACACGTGACCAAGTGTGATGTCTTAAGTTAGCGAGTATCCGGTTTTCGTGCGGTTACGAAAACTCTGAGGTGACTTTAGTCAATATTCCGTTAAGATTATGGTCGTCAACCTACGCTTTTGTATATGTATGGAATTTGTTACTGAGAAGCTCATTGCGGACCTTGGCCAGAAGAACTTGAACTTCCTCAGCTAGCCAACCATTGCGTGTGAACAAAGCTATGCTGTAATGTTCCATACCTAGAAGGGTCAGTTTTTCTTGGCCATTATATTGCTCTTTACTTACCGATCAATAAGTGGACGAGATAGTACATTCCGATTTCTTTCAGACGTTTGTCTTTTGCCCACGTTCCAATAGGAATTAATTTCTCGACCTCCTGAATGTCTGTGAAACCGGCCTCTTTGACCCATCCTGACATTTTAGGCATCTGGAATGGAAGAATGTTATCTCGTAGACCTTTTACCAAGGAATAAAGGACGCACCTGATCAAACTCAAGACCTATTCCCTTTGCAATCTCATGAAATGTTTCCTAGGGTGGATTGGAACTCAGCATAAATCTGAATGGGATACAAAATGCATACCTCCCACTTCACACAGTTCGAGTCCTTTCCGAGAGACCCATCGTCACAATGGAAATGAGTTCGAATTTCGGAAACCTCGATCAAGCCGCCAGGCTTCAGATGTCTGAAAAGGCGGCATGGTCAGCAGCACGTCATAATTTGCCGCGTAAGAGAACGTACTTGTACACTTGAACCAAAAAACCTACCCAGTCCTTGATGCTTCCACCGAGAGTGCGGATATGAATGAAGTCGAAGCTGTTCAGTTCGTACGTCCATGGCAACGTAACGTCATCTATTTCAAATTTGACGTTGGGCTACGAGAACAGAATATGAGGATCCGTCTCAAATGCCTAAATTTTAACTTACCGGTGTCCAATTCGGTTGGATGGGACTAAGATCAACCCCAATCACTTCTGCTGAAGGGAAGAGATCACCGGCGTCGATAGCCCAAATTCCAGTGCCAGTGCCGACGTCGAGGATCCGCTGCGGATCCTTCAGCTTCGAGATAGTAATATCGCCACCGAGGACTAATCTGAAGATGTGATGCTGCAGATCCAGGCGGTCTTGCTCCTTTTCGTCGTTGGGAAGAAGCTAAAGATTAGATTAGAGGGACGTCCACTCGACACGCTTGCAATGATCGTACGTATTGGCCCGCGCGATACGCATGATACGTATGGCCATTCTCGTAAACGTATTCGAAAATGGATGAGCGCGTCGATGTTGTATCCGAGACTACGCTCTCATAGTCAGAGTTGATGCTCTGGGTATCGGACTAAGGCCGAGTGAGTGTTGCAGGTCATCAACCACGGGACGAAGGGTACGGGCGCACATCGACCTCTATTGTCGTTGCATCCATTGTGGCGCTGTGGGGTGAACACAGCGAATTTTGAACACAACGTGGAACGCATCTGCGGGGAAGATTCAGGATCAGGATCAGAATCAGGATCGAGTTGGGTTCATGCAAATCACCTTCCAAACCCTGCTACTCGCTTGCACACCACGCCAAGCACGGCCCGTTCCCCATTGAGACAAAGCGCGTTGTGATGCTTGCATCGGGACTAACTGCTACGGTACAAAGCTGCGCAAGCCGACAACCGGGCCAGTCGAATGGTTATCTATTTCTATTATTAAGGCGGGCACGTCCTTTGATCCGATCGACCACGTTGGCTTTGTGACACCTGAACTACGAATCGTGAACCAAGCTCGCCATGATCTCCTCGATCCTTCAGCGGCTCGCGCTGGCGGGCGGTGGATTGCTGTTGGGCGTCATCATCAAAAGACGGTATTTCTCGCCAATCTCGGATATTCCTGGTCCTTTCGTAGCCTCCTTTTCCCGATTGTGGCAGCTCTACCACATCTTTGACGGTCACACGGAACTTGCCACCATCAAGGCGCACGAAAAGTATGGCCCGTTTGTTCGCATCAGCCATCTCGAGGTCAGTGTGAGCGATCCAGATGCGATCAAAGCTCTCTTGGTCGCGCCTCTTCGAAAGGGTTCGTGGTATCAGGTCTTCAATCTCCCTGATCGCCGATATGTCAACCAGATGGGAGAGCTTGATCCAAAGCGACACATTCAGAAGCAGCGCAATGTTGCTCCTGGATATGCCTTCAGCAATGTCATCCAGTCTGAGCCCTACATCGACAACCTGATCCGCAAGATGGAAGAGAATTTCGACAAGTACACAAAGGAGGGAAAACCGATAGAATTTGACCATTGGTTCAACTAGTAAGCTTTCTTTCGTGAATGAAATTTCTTCTCAGCTTTTGCTAACACCAAAAAAAAAGCTTTGGCTTTGACGTGCTCGGTGAAGTTACATTTTCAAAAGCCTTTGGATTTCTCGAGCAGGCCAGAGATATTGGTGGTGCAATCGCAAATACCAGATTTCTGGGACTGTATATCGCGGTGATTGGACACTACTACTGGCTGCATGACATTCTGCTTGCGAATCCGCTCATCAATTACTTCAATCTGGCACCCAGTAACCATATCTTCGATACTGCACTTGCTGCGGTGGAGGCGAGGAAAAACAATCCAGATGTTCGAAAAGATATGATGGAGCAGTGGCTCCAAGTCCGCCGCGCCCACCCGGAGCGCATGGAAGAGAAAGAACTTCTCGCCGGGGCTGTCGTTAATGTCGGAGCTGGCGCCGACACCATCAGCACCACCTTGCAGAGCTTCTTCTACCATTTGCTTCGCAATCCTGAAGCGATGGCAAAGGTTCGTGCTGAGGTTGATGCAGCAGCAGCAAAAGGAGAACTATCGGGTATTCCAAGTTACGCTGAAACGCAAAAGTTGCCTTATTTGCAGGCTTGCGTAAGTGGCCTGGCTGCCCTCGCAAATTTTTACATAACGGCGCTTAATATTGACTTCGTCTAGATCAAAGAGACCTATCGTCATTTTCCTCCGGTTGCATTCGGCTTACCGCGCGTTGTCCCAGACGAAGGCCTGACCATTGGCAATCACAAATTCTCCAAAGGTGTAAGTAGTAGTAATTATTAATGCCTTTTCCAAGATAAAGTGTATATTGACATCTCGGTGCTAGGTCATTCTTAGCATCAACCCACATGTTATTCACAAGAACAAGGAAATATTCGGCGCTGACGCCGATAAATTCAATCCGGACCGGTGGATGGTGGACACGGAGCGCTGGAGGGCTATGGACAAATACATTATAACCGTGCGTAGCTTTGAAACATTGGAGTGAATCAAGTCAAGCTAATATTTTACAATATAGTTTGGGGCCGGATACAACCAGTGCCCTGGCCGGCATCTGGCTCATCTAGAAGTGTCTAAGGTAGCAGCAACTCTGCTCAGAGATTTCGACGTCGAACAAGTCACGCCAGGCCAAAGCTGGACGTTTGAGACTCATTTCACGGCCGTTCCATACAATTGGCCATGCCGAGTCAGGCGCCGACGCTAGAACTTCCTGCTGGCTTTGAAAATTTTTCCTTCTTAAGCTTTGCGCAGAACACATGACTTATTTTGCAGCGAAATACCCTTTGTAGATAGATTTGCGTCTATGTAGTACGTAAAATTGGTAAACTTATGGCCTCTGACGGCCAGATTCGATCACATGTTCTGAATTTTAGGACGGTGACTGGAAGTATATTTGCGGATAATAGTCCAAATTCACCCTATTTTAGAGATTTTCTTCTGCCAAAGGACCTATCCAAGGCCGCTATGAATATCATTTCCCATTAAGAGTATTTCAAACTTGCCCATTGAAAGTCGCCTTTTTCCTTGGCTACGAGCATGATCATTATTACTCATAATTTGCTTTCTCGTACCCGACCTCCCACGCCTATAGGACGCTTGTACGTCGTCCATGCTCGTCTATTCACGGCGCCAATGGTTGCCAATTAACTAAACATTGCAATCTTCGGCATTGGTTTCACCTCCTTTGAATAGTGTTCAGATGGCGAACATATCTTTGAGTAGAGAGAGCAACGGTCTAGTTGACAAGTCTTCGGCTCCAGAACTTGCTACATTTTGTCGGTGGGACCTGAGGAATCAGGAAGGCAGCTCTTGCAGAGCTGACATGACGCAGGATAAGCTTCAAGGAATACGTGAGCGCACTGAAAGCGAGCGAGAAAACGTTCAAATTCTTTCCCGTAGAGATAGCAGACATGCGGAAGTTGCTTGGATCGAGTGCAAGGCATCTAGCCTGGCGGAGGTGAAGCAAGTGTACGACTATGTCAAGCCGCTTGAATCCAGAATCGACCTGCTATTCATGATGAGATATGCGCCCTTTGGGGAGAGGGAGCGCATGTAGCCCCTCCCACCCTGCCATGAATGTTCCGCCGACGGCTGACAACTTGACCAAGATACGCCTGAAGGCTTGGACAACCGTCATACACTGAGCTTTTACTCCCGCATCTGCTTCATCGAGAATATATGGCCGCTTCTTCGTGAATCCGAAGAGGCGCGAATAATCAGCGTTCACTCTGGGACATTTGAGTGCGAGAGCAGATTCAACGTCGATAACTTGAATCTGGAAGAGCCGGGCGCTTTTGGTGCAATCAAGTCTCAGTCGCAAACGGGCGTCATGAGCACCTTCGCCCTTGAGCGTCTTGCGAAAAAGAGAACCGATCCATTGTGATCATCCACGGCCATCCCGGCATCGTTCGCACTGGCAATCTTTCTCGCGTTGGGAAGGATGGATCGTGGGGCCTATGGATTGCTAGAGTCTTTATAGACACAGTGTGTTGAGGTTATTGTCTTTACCCTTCAGGACTCAGCAGATAGACACATGTATTAGGCGATGAAAGGTACGTTTGTAGGAGAGCGGCCCATTTTGCTTGGAATTGAGAGGCGAACGACAAGAGGGGATACGAACAAGAGCCTCTTCGTCGTTAATATGTTTTGTGATACTGTTTCAAAAGAGAAGGAGATGAAAAAGCTCCGTGTGAAGGCGCACTACATCGCTTGGGCCAAATTGTACCTAGTACTTGGCTCGCATATTAGGATTTTCGCCATGCTCTCAGAGCTTGTGTCGATTCTTCACACGTCTAGAACTAGAAGAGAAATGGAATTTGCACAAAAATTAAGAAATACCCTTCCAGCATGTCAATTTTCACAACTGTGCAGATTGATTATAATGGATGCTATAACGATGAAATGTGAAGAAAAAAAAAAAACGAGAAGTGACTTAGAAATGCTGTCGGAGTAAACATGGGTCAGTGATGGTCCGCTCAGTGCATAAGATCATAAAAAGGTTGATTTTGGTTTCTTCACGCTCTAATTGTTGATGCTTTCGCTAAAATTCATGCGTAGAATCATTCACCCGCGAGCGAACGGTTATCGAACAAGGTATTCAAAGCTGGGAACCCAAAAATAATTATATCCACCACGCTAAACGCCCACACACCTAAGAACTATGTTGTTCAGGTAGTTTCCTCTCAAAGAATACTACATAGGCCTCCCTCCCGCCGACCTTTATCGAATCATTTCCTGGGTCGAAGTCACTTGTCTGTGTGTCATTGAACTGCCTCCAACAGCCTCTTCCCGGGTCTCTCGCCATGGCAATGTAGTGCCCAGAGCTCAGCGAATTGCCAATGTGACGTACGACGCCGTATGCGTCATATAGGAATGGAGGCGTCATGCTCTCTTCCGGTGCTCGAGACAAAAATGATGGGTCGTTGGTCTCGCTCGCGACAATGTCGCGTTCTTGGCTGGTAAGGGGCGGCAGCACGAAAGGTGTAAGGTCAAAGTCACGGAGAGGGAAGGTGATGGGCGTGCTGATCTTTGCGAGCTTGGCGGTGAAGCGCTTGAAATGAACTACTAGATACCGAGGCGCGCGAGTAATTGTGATCTGCTTGGTATGCTCCCTTTGCTTACCACACTTTTCGCATTTGGGCATTTCTGCTCCGCTCAACAGCTCCTCCCGACAATAACTCTTGAGGCAAGAGTATATATCACTGGAGCCAGACTTCGGAATTTCCACGCTAATACTGAAGAATGTCTCGTACGTTGTGCTTGTATGTCGACACTTCATGCATGTGATCTTCGAGAAGTGCTGCCCTGCAAATAGGTCTTGTATGAGCGATTTACTTCTCTTAGAGTAGCGGGACCATTCGATCATGGCGGCATAGCCTTTGGGAAGTCGCTCGCGTGTTTCTTCTTCGGCAGGAGACAGAACGTGTGGCGGATTGTTCTTCCAGTGTATGTTCAGATCCTCGTGAAGGTAGTCTAACGCGAATTCCAGGAACTCCTTCGCGTCCTGTTGCTGGTCGATACCGTATTTAGAGTCGAGACGCGCACAGAAGCCACGAAATGTCGTTGGCCTCACAGCTTGCACGTCGCCAACCCATAGATGCTTGATCAAATTTGCAAAGTGCTGCGGAAACAGCCCCCTTGCACCTTTCCAGTTCTCGCGCTGCAGATAATTCATAAAATTATCGTTACGGAACTGCGTGCTGAGAGGCAAAGTCGCGTTCAAGCATTGAATTGTCGCATTCATATAGCACGTAACTCCGAAGTTGATGAGTCCCGTCCGCGGAAGCCGGATGTTATGCGGCATCTCTCGAGGAGGCACGTAAGGTCGCAGTGATTGGCTCCTTGAGTGTTGCCCATTAAGCGCCTCGTGCCGCTCGTGCGCGCCGCTGTAACTGACCCTTGGAGCAGCAGGCGCAGGCCGTGAAGGAAAAACAGGCTGCTGATTCGCGTTTGCGGCATATGTGCTGGCGGGCGGTGGAGGAGGCCTTAATGGAGGAGGTTGCACAGGATACTGGAAATCTTTGCGTGGTGGAGCTTGTGACATACTTTCCTGAATTGTACTCACCGCAGGGTATCTCCGCAAGAAATCTTCCTGTGTCCTGTAGAAGGCAACATCTGATTCTTCGTCATCAGGCAATGCCTCGTCGGACTCAGGAATATACACGCTCTCCTTGCGTGCAGACTCTTGCCACCTTCTCTCCTCTTCGGCATCTAGCGGATTGTATTCTCTTCGTCGTCTCCTTTCCATCGCGAGCAGAGCTGCAGGGGACGGTGCAGGAACCGGCCGTCTTGTTGGTACTCTACTCTTAATTCCAGTCATCTCCACCGTGTGACTCGTTCTGAGTGCGGCATGACCTAGTAAATCAGACCACGCATCTATGCCTCCTGTAAGCAGTAATGGTGGCCTCTTCAATGCTTTTGCTACATTCAGCTCCCAAAGAGCATCGAAAATGTACCGAAGCGCATCTTCCTTGGGCGTACGCGATGCTTTCGTCAGAAAAGAAGGTGTTTGTGTGTCCTGGTCATAATATACGACTAGATCGACTTGGTCACGTTTGGCGAACAGGGCCATCTCCGCGTCTGGCGAAAGCAACGTTGCACGCTCTAAGTCCTCATCTGTCATGTTTTCACGGAGGCTTTCAGGAGGTATGCATATTGTGCCCATCGAATCGATATGGCCCTCGTCAAAGGCCTGTCGATCGCGCACGTCAATGACGAGGATTTTGTACAAGTTCATATAGTCGAACAAGATTTTTGCCTCTATTGCCCGCCCTTCGCTTGGTAGTCCGATTGAGCCTTTGCGTTTAGTGAGAATTTCGGCAGTGTTCGCACCATTTGTACGGGGGAAATAAGAGCCATTTTCAAAGTTGCCTGGTGCAGTTACAGAAGCGCTCGACGAGGCGCTTCTTACTGTGCTTCTGACTGTAGTCCTAGGAGGAATGACGCCATGCGGAGTCTGCATGTTTCGCGCTGGGCTATAAGCCGGATCTGGCGGTTTCGGCATACTAATTGTGACTGCTGTATCAATTGGGATTTTTGGCGGCACAGTTGGTAAATCACGTGGTCCGCTTGGTCGTGGAGGTGAGATGGGCGAGGTTGATCGCAGTCCTGCTAAGCTTTGGGGTTGATAATACACGCCTTGCTGAGAACTAACCAAGCCGGCAGGAGTGCTCGAAGGACGTAATCTTGCAAATCTAGCCTCTAGGTCCGCTGTTGCATTGCTCGCCGATATCCCAGTCCCGGAAGCAGCCGTTACCGCACGACTATGCAAACTTTCAGGCTTTGGCCGAATCTGTGGCTTCAATTTCGGAAGGGATGTCGTCGAATTCGAGTCCATTGATGTGGTAAAGTCTGAAAAATCCGAATTTGACAGTGTTGGGTCCGTTTCAGTGCTGCTTGTCGGCGCAGGGGAGGGAGGGTGAGGATCCAAGAACATTTCATCGGGCCTTGTGGCCAGTGTACGCGATGGCGGCCTAATGCTTTGCTGGCTAAGCGGCCTCGATACAGGAAGCACATCGTGCTGGCTAACCGGCCTCGACGACGGCGTAGAGGGACGACTCCCAATCTCAGGTGCAGCCATCCTCCCCTTTTTAGGCGATATGCCATACCTCTGGTTCTCTAATCTGATTATCTTCTTGATCTGGTCGAACTGGTCCTCCATACTCTTGAGTAGAGTCAGAGTTTGCCGGTACGACTTCCATACATTGCTGTGCTGATTATGGGGGTTTCGAAAGCTAGCCCAGTCTCTGTGACGGGTGATCACATCGGTGGCAAGATTCATGGCTAGCAGGTACTCTACGAATGCTTGATCACGTCGTCGGAAGCTGACCAGGGTGCCAGCATAGCGCGCGGATTCTGCGGCCGAGTTCACTATGTGTCCTATCTGCTCGATATTGGATCGCGCCGTTAGCAGATGGGAATACTGAGCTTGTGTGCGTGTGCACGCATGTTCATGGTAGGTGCCAGGCAGGGAGAGCAGGATTAGTTCGCTTGACGTACCGGATATTGTAGCAGGCCTTCTGCGCGGCGGTTTGCATCGTCGACCAAGTCGTCGATGTGTCTCGTGCCATCAGGCAGCATATCACTACCCATAGACGACCTTTTGCTTTTGGGCCCGCTGTCGCCGGATACACCCTCTGGCGGCGGGGGAGGGGTTGCCGCAGACATGTTGCTGGTCTGAACGGCTATCTTCTATGTGTAGGAAGCAACTTCATTATCGCGAAAAGAAGTGCCGCGTCTCTCCGCGTGGGCACGAAGGTGGTGTCTGTCGGTGGTGCCGGTTCAATGCAAGTTATATGATCGAACGGTGGCGGTGCTTGCTTAGAGTAGATTGTGCGGTCTGATCCCAGGCACACAGCAGAGCAGTTCTCTCCGTCGGCGAGGACAAAAGGCTAAAGGAAGACAAGATTGGGGAGGAGCAGGAGAATTAGAGAGCGTAGAGAAGATATCGCCATATACGGTGAGTTCAAGGTAGCGCGGGACTGGGCAGTGAGATCGGGGGTGCGCGTGTATCAGGTGTCAAGCAGGCGAGTTCTTGCATCAAAGCTGGTCATGTCGCGGTCGACGGAGACCAGGGTTTTGCCTCAGCTGGGGTTAATGCTCTACAGTGGGCTTTTGGGGGGGGGGGGCAGGAAGTTTGGCCAGAGGTTCGCTAGCTGGGCCCACTAGAGTCAGGGACGGGGCACAAACTACTGTCTTGGGGCACAAGGGGCAGCATTTCCCAGTACAGGCCCGTATAACACAGCATTGCGCAGCAAAACAGGCGGCAGTGAAGCCTAAGCGCGTAGATCGTCGGCAACCCCGCAGCACCTTCGCCGCTCGGCAGCTGGCGTGCGCAACCCACTAACGGACCAACTAAGTTTAGTGATCGACGCTTCTGGCTGGCCCGCCTGAGGACGCCACGCCAAGAAACGATGATGCATGGCCTGCATGCATCAGTTATCCGCAACCGCTTCTGAGCTTCACTGTTACTGCTCTTACCTGCTCACCTTCATCCTTCCATCTGTCGGCGCTTTCCCCTAAACCCCCCCCACTCGCCTTCTGCTTGCTTCTGCTTCTCGCCCCTAGTCCTCATCTTGTTGGTGCTTCTTTGATACCCCCTTCCTGTACGTCTCCAGCGCATACTCCACTCCTAACCATGGCGGGCTGGTTTAGCTCGTCGAACAGTGCCTTGGATGAGCAGATTGAACGGGCGACATCGTCGAGTCTGTACGTCCAGTCCTTCCAACATCTATCTAAGATGAAGGACAGCACTGATACACGCGCATAGAGAGGATATCGCGCTCAACCTCGAAATCTCCGATGTCATACGCTCCAAGACTGTGCAGCCTAAAGAGGCCATGCGCTCTCTCAAGAGGCGCATAGGCAACAAGAACCCTAACGTCCAGATCGCGGCCCTCAGCGTAGGATCTCCACCTATACCTCCACCTCTTCGACTAGATGCTGATATTTGGACAATAGCTGACGGACACGTGCGTGAAAAATGGTGGATCACACTTCATGGTCGAGATAGCCTCGCGAGAGTTCATGGACAACCTCACTTCACTGCTCAAAGCCGTCGGGCCAGGAGAAGTGAACCAGGAAGTGAAAAACAAGATCCTTGAGCTCATCCAGAACTGGGCCTCTGCTGCCGAGGGTCGGCCGAACCTGATCTACATTGGCGAGGTCTACAAGAGTCTGCAGCACGAGGGCTTCTCGTTTCCGCCAAAACAGGCGGTTGCGAGCAGTATGTTCGACAGCAGTGCGGTATGTAGAACTCTTTTCAATCGTAAGAACTATGTGAGGGGACATGTGTGCTGACTGCGAGGTGCGTACAGCCCCCCGAATGGGTCGACTCGGACGTGTGCATGCGCTGTCGCACAGCTTTCACGTTTACAAACCGCAAACACCACTGCCGTAATTGCGGAAACGTCTTTGACCAGCAGTGCTCGAGCAAAACGCTACCTTTGCCCCATCTGGGAATAATGCAGCCTGTTCGCGTAGATGACGGTTGCTATCAGCGTCTAACACAAAAGGACACAAGTGGCAGGACTGTTCCGAAGGCTTTAGACGCGGCGAAGCCTGCGAAGACACTTTATCAGGGTATGCAACCAAGAGAAGCGCGAGTGGCTGAAGACACATTTGATGCAGACTTGAGGCGAGCGTTGGAGATGAGTCTGGAGGAGAGTAAAGCATCTGTGGGACAAGGTTACGTGCCGTCTTCGCAGCTGCACAGCAATAAGACCACGACCAATGGCACGTCGAATAATAAGCCTCTACCCCAGCCGAAAGCTGAGCCGGAGGATGACGACGATCCGGACTTGAAAGCTGCCATAGCAGCATCCTTGGCAGAAATGGAGGAGCAGAAGAAAAAACATGCCGCGGCATTTAAGCAGCAGACGTCGAACTCAAGTAGCGCTCCTATCACAGTGATTGCTCGGCCGGACTACGAGCTCACTCCTGCTGAAGCTGAGAACATCAATCTTTTCGCAACACTTGTCGAAAGACTGCAGCATCAGCCTCCAGGCACAATCTTAAGAGAACCGCAAATTCAGGAGCTGTACGAAAGCATTGGAAAGTTGAGGCCCAAACTCGCCAGAACATATGGTGAAATCATGAGCAAGCATGGTAAGCTCAGATGCTTTATCTCTGCTTTCAGAAGCATATGCTGATGTGAAGCAGATACGTTGTTGGACCTTCACTCGAAACTTGCATCTGTTGTGAGATACTACGATCGCATGCTCGAAGATCGTCTCAACAAAACCTATAGTTCGCATCTTGTTGGCTTCTCGTTACCACCACATCTGCAACAGCCCGCCTCTTCGAATCCGTACCCGTCGTTACCATCAGGCGGTTCGGAGTACAATCCTACCGCAGGCGCAGAGTCCTTTTACACTGGTCGGCCCGCGGCTGCGACTGCGCCATCAGATCCATACCAACATCCACAATCTACATACACAAACTATTCCGCGCAACCGCAATCTCAACAAGCGCCGTCACAGCCTTATTCACAACCTGCTCAAGATCAGTCGTATCCATCGCAAAGTCAGCCATACGCAAGCCAACAACCCGGATTCCCATCGCAGCTGCAACGCGCGCCGAGCGTCACGTACGCAACTTCGCAACCGTCTGGATCTCCTCAAATATCGCGTCGTGTCTCCACACATCAGTACCCGTCACAGCCTATTTCTGACCAGTATACTCCTCAGCAACCACTACATGGAGATTCTGCAGCAGCGTATTACCTTCCTAATCAAGCAGCGCAAACACATCCATCAACATCCGTGGTGCAAGATACGACCGCACCGCCATCGCAACAAGCACAAGCGCAAGCACCGCAAACCTCCCCCCAGATGTATCATCAGCCGCAGCCCCTTTCGCAGGCCCAGGTGCCATCCCAGCCACCACCAGTCCAACAACATATTCCACCTCCACCTCAACCGATGCCCACAAGTCCCCCAACTAATTATGGGAATACACCGTACCCTCAAACTCCGACAGGGTACCAGCAGGCATATGCAGCGCAACAAATTCCCCCAGCTCAAGGGTGGCAGCAGGGAGAGTTTGCAGGCTTGCCCAATGTTGCACAGTCAGCACCGGCAGCACCAAAAGTCGAGGAAGCGTTGATTGAGTTGTAAGCAACTTCATGTGATATTTGGTGTAGTGTATGAGTCGAATTTCTTTGTTGGCTAAATAGCAACTTTGAGAGAAAGAAGAAGTATTATTCCCTTTCCGCCATGCTAGCTCATTGTGCATGATCGCGCCATGCCACTTTACTTATCTCTCGATAAGCAATTAGGCAAATGATGGTTATGTGCGCAATGGAACCAAACAAAAAAAAAAGAGCCTGCAGACCTGGGAGAAGACAACCTTGTGCTTGCACTGTAATTTCCCACTTCCATATCTCCCGGCACAGTCGTCTCCCCTAGCTTGCGGGGAAGCAACATCATAATTCGCACAATTACAAGTTCAAACTAACGCTAATATCTGGTCCCGAAAATCCCTGGAGCGTTGTGCGGAATAGCTCACTCTTCGGGAGCTTATCCTTTGCGGTCTTAAGCGCGTCGATATCCCAATTACATGACACCATGCGACCAGCCGTAAATGCGGCTTCAGGAGATGCAAGCCAGACAGTGAAATGAGCAGGTAAGTCGACTAGCCAAACCATTAACAAGAAGCAAGCTTTTCACTCTCCAAGAAATACTGCTTACCTCTGTCGGCAGGTAACTTGCCCCTCATACCACCCTTCTCTGTCATCTCTGTCTCAATGACTCCTGGATGCAGAAAGCGGACTGATATGTCTTGTTCTTCGCTAGCGAGCACCTCCAAAAACTTGATCAAGCCGAGCTTGGAAGCCAAGTACGATGAATTTCCAGCGGACAACGCCGAGGGCAACAGAACAGCGGCTGTCGCGGTGCCGATGAAGACAGCGTTTCGGTTTGCCGTTGCGTGGAAGCTTTGCCAGACGACCATGGTGCCTTTGATATTGATCTATCGCCTTCATTAGTATCTAGCCGCTCAGGATTTCCAGTCTTGACCTATTAACCTCGAAACCCTTCCACCATTCTTCGAGATTGGAGTCCTTTGCGAGCGCAGGCCCGGAAAAGTAGCCAGCATTGTTGACAAGCACATCCCATTGTCCAATGTCAGTTGCTACTTTCTTCATCGCGACAGGGTCTGTAACGTCAGCAGGAAAGACGTGGACGGGCACACCGTACTTGGATTCGACGTGCTTCTTGGTCTCCTCGAGAGGCGGCACCCGTCTTCCTGTGATGAAGATGGATGCTGCCTTTGCAGCCGCGAATGCTTCAACGGTTGCACGACCGATCCCTGTGCCACCTCCGGTTATGATGATTTTCTTGCCGGCCATCGACACCTCCGGCCGCGATGGGTCAAGAGCATCATATGTGTCATTTCGCCATTCTTGAATGGCAGATGGAAAAACTGGTCGCATGATTTCACCTAGTCGTTCTTGAAGACTAAAGATCAGGTCGATTCTGGGCTCTGAAGAATGTTTCACTTGCGACACTTCAAGTTGAACCGGTAGCATATGAAGATATTTATACTGCTATCGAGAATAGGTCTACGCTCCAATCTCCAACGGCATTCATTTGCTCCGAGCATGCGGCACAACTGCTTGTGCAAGCCATTACAATCGTACAGTGGTCCATTGATATGCCTCGGTTTCCCCTAGATGCCATGCCTCAGAGTCTAAAAGTTAGCATTGGGAGTGTAGGTGGAGAGAAGTTAGTCCGACAATACTTTTGGTCTCAGTAATGCGACCGAAGTGAGCGGTACGCAGCATTCAAAGATTACTGAACATTTCTCTTGTTTTGTCTCACTATGTGGAGTCCATTCGGTTGCTGATTAATGCAACTATCTTGGCTGCTCCACACTATATCAGACACAACGAAGTACGTAGCTCCATCCTCTCCTGAGCAGACCCACAGTGATATGGCTGGAGCGGAGGTCCCATGCTACAATTGCCGCTTTCAACGAAATTATGTTCGGAAATTCGCAAATACTAGAACGACGCCTTAGATTTGTGATCATAATTCGAGCGCATTGTAACGGGTGGAAGCACTTTCGGTTCAAGCACACGGGAAATTGATGCAAGCAGTAGCGCTGTGGTGTCTTCAGCTTCGGCTTCTAAACCGAAATGCCTCTTCTCGCAATACAGAACAGTCTTAGCGCCCATCTTTTTGGCCTTTTCCTGCCCATTTAAGCCGGAAACATAGGTTGCTTTCCTTGACTTTATGAACCTATCTGGCATAGATTTGAGTAAGTAGTATCGCTGTCTGCACCATCTTCGCTGAGCACGACAACATGAAGCACAAGCGAGTGGTGGCGGCGTTCAGCCATTAGAGCTTAGACTGCTCTTCCACCTTCCCTCTCTGCCCATCTTCTAATTCGGCGGCTAGCGTCCCCTCGGCTACATCCTCGCCATCTTCGGCTTCCAACAGCCATACTACCTTGCCACTTCTGTGAGATCGTACTTCCAACTCCATCTTCATTTGTCTGACAACGCATATCACGTCGCCTTCCCGCACGAGATCCCCGACATCAACCATGACTTCTATCAATGTGCCTGCGAATGGTATGACAATGTGATTGGGGTTCGCTGAATTTCCTTTCCTGTGCTGTGCTGTCGCCGAGGCAGCAGATGATGACGTAGAACGTAGATTTATTGTATACGGAACTGGGTCCCGCGACGAGGGCGTGGTGTAAAGTACTTCTGCTGCAAGCTCGGAGGGGAATTCGTTCCTCAAAACTTTGGACAATTGGACGTGATGATTGATAGGAGTCGAGGCTTTGTTTCTCGCATCGGATAATGTGATTGTCCAAGCATCACCCTTCCGGAATAGCATTGATCCAGCTGCTGCCGCAGGCGAGAAGCTCTCCATACTCCATGTTTCGGATAGCAAAGAATTCGGAATCGCCTTTGTCAGAGCCTCGCCTGCATCAAGCAGCGCTTTGTGATTAGTTTCCAGCCATCTGGTATCGCAGTCTTTGCGCGCAAAGTCAGGATGTGCTACAATGCCGCGCAGAATATCCAGATTGGTTTTTATTCCCGTTATCTTCGTGTCCTGCAAAGCTCGTTGGGCCTTTCGAACAACGAGTTCCCATGAAGATGCCGTAATGATGAGTTTGGCGAGAAGGCTATCGAAATCAGAGCCCACAACGGCTTGGTCTCCGTTGACGAGGTTGGTGTCTACACGAATACCATTTCCAGTGGGGAAATGGAACGAACTGATCTTTCCGATTGACAGAGAGTAATCCGAGCGTGCATTCTCGGCCGTGATACGCAACTGGCATGAGCAGAGGGCTGGAGGCTCCACGGGACTGTTAGGGAGATGCCGTGGAAACACTTTTTTGAGGGGCGATCCTTGGGATATAAGGAGTTGAAGGCGAACTATATCTGTAGAGCAAATGGACTCGGTAATGGTGTGCTCCACCTGTAAACGTGGATTGATCTCCAAGAAGTAGAACTCTTCGGTTTCCGGATTGGCGAGAAACTCGAAAGTACCGAGCGAATAGTATTTGACCTTGACATCGTATCAGCTAAGATAAAATGAATTAAGCAAGTGTGTTCGACGTACTCGTTTAGCCATACGCACTGCCGAGTCAATGATCTTTGCAATGAACGTTCGCTTTGCTGTTAAGCTGGGGGCAATCTCGACGACTTTCTGGTAGCGTCTCTGTATGCTGCACTGTCTTTCCCACAGGTGTCGAACATCACCGGAACCGTCCCCAAGAATCTGTATCTCAATATGCAGATAGCCTTCAACCGCGGCCTTCTCCGCAAAAACCGTCTTGGATGGACTTTCTCCGATAGCTACTCTCGCGTGTGACTCTAGCTGATCTTCCGATCTAACAAGTCTGATGCCCCTCCCGCCACCACCATCAACGGCCTTGATCATAATCGGGTAGCCAACGTCAGCTGCAAACTGTCGCAGCTGCGATACATCGCTGGTGGGCTTACGCAGGGCCGGTAACACAGGCACGCCGCATTCCTCGGCCAGCAGCCTGGCTTTCAGTTTATCACCAGTTCTTTCGAGAATTCCCCAGCCAGGGCCAACAACAGCTACACCGGCATCCCACATTTTTCGAGCAAATTCGGCGCTCTCGCTAAGGAAGCCGTAGCCAGGATGTACTGCGTCAATTCCATGCTGACGAACAACGGAGATAAGCTCGTCAATGTTGAGATAGGATGCGGGAGACGAGAGCTTAATGGATTTGTTTGCGCCTAGAGTGTGCGATGTGTCGTCATTGGTGTAGACGGCTATGGTGTCGATATCCAGTTCGCGGGCAGACGAGATGATACGTGTTGCTATTTCGCCGCGATTCGCCACTAGGAGTCGCTTGATCTGACGAGCCTCTGGCCGCTCCATGCTTGAAAGAAAAGTCTTTTGGAACGTCAAATATAGATCACTATCTTCTATTTGGCTTCCTTTCTCCGTGATATGCTACAGATGATCACCCGTGTAAATTCAAACATGCGTGGTCTGAGATAGGACGGCTCCTATGATCAATCGTTTTCGGACGTTTAAATGAGGCTGGAAACTTATTTAATTTCTAGTTCAAACAATGAATCGTTCTTTATTTCACATTCGGCGGTCCTCGGTCCTGGGGTTCTGCTGGTTTACCTAACGTGGGGTAAAGCAGTGCCTGGACATCCTCGGCATCAAGACTCGTCATGCAGCCTATGCATGTCGGCCAAAATTCTAGAAATACAGACGTGAAATATGCAATTGACGCGCAACAACGCGCTAGCAACTTATCTTACCATTTGATGCTGTGAACATGCCTTCGGACGATTCAACTGCGAAGGCACAGGCCCGCTTGTCGCAGGTTCAGTCACATGTCCAAAGATCCTCTGAACGTGGAGAGGTGAAGACACGTCAACGTCGGAAGAAGGATCGCAGCGGTGATGATGAATTACCTGCAGACTACTCAGATATTTTGGGCCAAATCAAGACATTGCAAAGGATTGCTGCGACACCACCTACTCAAAGCAGGGGCTACATCCGGCAAAAGCAAGCTGGAAAATTATGGGTTCGCGAACGAGTGGATGCGCTCCTTGATCCAGGGAGCTTCAAGGAGGTTGGCAGTGTCAGTGGAGAGGTCAAATGGAAGAAAGTGGGCTACGCGAGAGAGGAACCGACAGATTGTCAGTTGGTGCACTGGAACAGGCTCTTGATTGAAGATGGGCGACTAACGTGGCGCAGATGTGCCCTCGAATAACGTTCAAGGTTTTGGCACGCTGAAGGGACGGAGAATAGTCTTTACTGTCGATGACTTTTCCTTACGTGCTGGTCATGCCGATGGCGCTCTCTACGCAAAGACTCTCTTCATTGAGGATTTTGCTCTTGCACAAAAGGTTCCTATCGTCAAGTTAGTTGACGGCTCGTCTGGTGGAGGATCGGTTACCACAATCGAGAAAGAAGGATGGTCATATCTTCCGGCCATTAGAAATTTTAACGTCGTTTGCAAGCAGCTCAACGCTGGAATTCCTAACCTAGGTGCTGTAGTAGGTCCGGCGATTGGACTGGGGGCAGCACGAGTTGTAGCATGCCATTTCAGCGTTATGGCCGCAGACATAGGGAGTCTTTTCAATGCTGGACCAAATGTCGTGGCCAATGCCACCTTCGAAGAGGGCCTCGCCTTTACGGATCTGGGTGGGCCTATGATGCACTGCACTAATGGTACAATTGACAACATTGCTCCCAACGAGGCAGCCTGTTATGAGCAGATTCGGAACATCATCCAATATCTTCCAAACCATGGATTAGAGGCGCCTCCGATTATCCCATGCGACGATCCAGATGACAGGTCTACTCCGTCAATGCGTACTCTGATTCCAAGGCGACGGGAACGCATGTTTCCTGCGCACAAGCTCCTCGAGATTGTAGACAAAGGCTCGTGGTTCGAAATCGGCGCTCTATGGGGTAGAACAGCGATATGTGGCCTGGCCAGACTGGCAGGTCGCCCCGTTGGCGTGATCATCAATAATAGCGAGGTCAACGGCGGAGCACTCGACACGCCCGGCTCGCAGAAGCTTACGCGACATCTCAAGTTCCTAGATGTTTTCAACATTCCGCTAATCCAATTTATTGACGTCCCCGGCTTCGCAATCGGCACCAAAGCTGAGCGTGAGGCAACAATGAGGCATGGAGTGAACCTTACTGGAGCATACTGCGGGACAACGATGCCTGTTTTCAATGTGGTCACAAGGAAAGCGTACGGCGTGGCTGGTCAAATCATGATTGCCGCAAGGGAGCCGAGAACGATGGTCGCATGGCCGTCAGGGGAATGGGGCTCGCTTCCACTAGCTGGCGGCGTTGAAGTAGGACATGCATATGAACTGAAGCAAATTGAGAAGGAAAAAGGACCAGAGGCCAGGAAGGCGAGGTATGACGAGTTGATGGAATTATACAAGTGAGAAAACTCTAAGCTTCTTGTATTTTGTGCTTCTGCTAACACTGCTTGTCAGGCGACTGCAAAACCCCGTGCGTACTGCCAACGCATTCGGGGTGGAGGAGATTGTAGATCCGGCTGATACTAGACATATTTTGTGCACGTGGATAAGACATGTATACGACACCTTGATGCCGATCAGAATCATGGATAGGGCGAATGGCAAGATTAACCCTGTATTCTACTAATTATATACCGATAATAAAGCAGACTTGCGGTGTTCCTAAAGTGAAGCAGATATTAGTTCGAAAACATTGCGTGCTCGCCTGATTTGAAATCTTGTGAATGGGAGAGTTTTCGAAGTAACAATTGGTATCATGTAACTAGTGTTGCTTTGTGCAGTAATAATGACGGTATCATTTAGATCCACCCTCGATTATGATTCAAGCATTTTTCAATGCCCATATCTCTTGAACAAACTGAAGGTTTGAGATTGCGCCGCGAAGATATGCTTCTCGTCAGCTCTGTCCTTTTGATTGATACCTTGGTTGCTTGCTTACTTGCTCTCAGGTAATATAGGCTCAGACTTTAGTACTTGTACAGTAATAAATGCAGAGCAACAGGGGTGGATAGAACTACACCAACCCACTCCGCAGTAATTACAGGGGGGCAAATTCGTACTCGAATCCTATGCAAGCTATTTGATTGTGATCCTATATCATAGGCCGTGCGAATATCCTATGAATTGTGTGCGTGTAGATAGTATGTCTTCGTATAGTTTAATGTACGGCTCACGGTGGACCTAGATATGCGATGATGGACAATTCCTTTCCTCGCCAAATCATAGAACTAAGAAATTTGTTACGAAATCAGTGACGTCGCAGTTCTTTTAGACTTACGATACGAGCAAGCAGATGGTATATTGGAAAATCCACTGATTGTACATTTGCTGTGCCGTTGCCAGCAATGAGGAGAAAGCTCTCCTGCTGGCTATTTGGCCTCAGGTTTCAAGGCGTGCACTAGTTCTAGTACTGTAAGCTCGTCTTTTTGCCTATTTTGGGAAGTATCTTACTTCGATACACAAGCCACCGAACACGTAGCAGAACATGTCGGTTGGCATTCGACATGACGACGTCCCCTGTTCATGACCTGGGAATTGCAAACGAAGTTGAATCATATTCAATTCGCAATCTGCCGAGTGTTCTTATTTTGCGATGAGCGAGCTTTCGAACATGAGCCTCTGCATCTCTCGCCATGACTGAAGATAATTTCAACGAAGGCTTTAATGATAGCGATTGTGTGAATGTGAGGACAAAAAGAACACGAACAGGTGGTCCTAGAAGCAAGACGGGCTGTATAACATGTCGGCAAGTCCAGTCCTGCGTGTGCTTTTCGGGACTGTAAATCAAGCTTTCTTGTCGCATGCGTCCCGTATAAGTATCTTCTTTGGGACAGTCACTGACCTCTTGATAGCTTGCGCCGTGTTAAGTGCGATGAAACGAAGCCCTTGTGTATGCGGTGTCTGAGAGCCAGAAGAGAGTGTGAGGGTTATCCATCAATCTTTGCCAGTGCAAAACCATGGGAGGTCGTCAAGCTCTTTTCTACTGGAGCCATGATCAAGCCATCCGCAAATCCAAGGATCGCGTCAAATAAACACGCTATCCATAGTTTCCACTTTTTCGAAAAAGAGAGTACCAAAAAGCTTGCCGAAGTGTGGGGCAGGGAGCTTTGGCTCAAGGCGATCCCAAGAGCCGCCATGTACTCGCCCGCGATGTGGCATGCGGCCATAGCTGTTGGCTCAGCTCACGAAGCTCATTGGCAAAAGAATTTGGGTGCAGGTGTGCACCAATCAAAGATAGAGTGGACTTTTGGACAATATAATCGAGCGATCCGAGCGTTGACTCATCCCGATGAGAACGGCAACCCCCCTTCGCTGGACATCATGATTTCTGCATCCATCATGTTTATGGCGTTCGAGGTATGGTGCCGTAAACTCTGTTCGGAGCTTGTAGCTAACTCAAGGGAGATGCTGCGACACGAACATGGAAAAGCCGTGAGCCACGTTAAAAGTGGAATTTCTATGTTTCAAGAGTATCGTAGACAAATACGAGCTGGTAATTCTGGAGAACAAGAGAAGGCTCTGATTCCAATGAGTTCCCTCGAGCAAAGTCTGAGGCAAGTTGAAATTCAAATGTGTGAGCTAACGCTCGATCATTTTCCGGCTTATCCGCTTCCTGTAATGAGCCTTTTCGATCCTGAGACGATGCCATTGACTGCAGCTCACAGGCCCGCTACGTTTTGCAATTTCGTCTCCCTTGAAGAAGCTCGCACAGAGCTCGGATACTACTGGCACAGTCTTATGGATAAACTGCATACAGAGTTTACTCCACGATTTCGTGCTATTGCTGAGTATTCGGAATCACTGAGTCGCGAGTGTGATGTATACAAACACGACGTCACTGTATGGCTTGATAAGTTCAAGAAGCTTGTGGAAGGTTACTATTCGCAATTAGTACCCTTATCTTCGTGTCAGAGGGGGGATATTGCTCGGCTTGAAACATATGCGCTTCTCATCCTCCAGACTGTGGAGACAATTTGGTGTACTGACGAAAGCGTATGGGATAAACATCTGAATCGGTTTGATCGCATATTGGAATTATGCCGAATAGCGGCTAGCAGTGACCAGTTTGGCGATCCACAATGTGACATGAAGAAGACTGACGCGTATTGTGGATTTCAGTTGGGGAATGGCATAGTCGCTGCTACATTCCACACAATTTGGAAAGCACGAGCGGCCCGCATCCGACAAAAAGCCATTCAATTACTAAGAGCATATCCTCGAAGAGAAGCAATGTGGGATGCTCCAATGGTGGTAACAATAGGCGAACAGATAGACGAGATTGAGAGGGGATCGGAGAATCTATACGATGCAGCTCTACGTGATGCACCAGCGGACGATATTCCAATCTGGAAACGAGTGCGAAGCATCGGCATCAAATTTGGAGCAACGAGCAGAGTCGCCGAGCTTACATACTCAATACCAAAGAGCCCTGTCGGCGACACGCTTGTTGAGGTGAGACGCAGAATTTGCTGGAACATGGACTAGGGACAAAGAAAAACAATAGTATCATTATAACGGAAGCTCCGTTTCTAATGTTCATCAAATATCAGATCAGTCGAGTGCTACTAATGCAGTCCCTTCTCCTAGAGCTGATTCCATCATTTTCGCGATTGGCAAGGTATCGGACACGAAAAAAGCACCATTTCCCTTTCAGAGGCTACCTAACTTGAATCACCTTGATGTAAGCTGTTATGTAAAGACTTTGGAAAATTACAGCTTGTATATCTTCCACACTAAGTGGTGAAAACCAAGGAACACCTTGGCTTTGACACTAGCAATTCAGCAAGTGCTATGTAAGGATCCTATATCTTACGCCCAAATGGGTTTCTATTCCCTGGTATGCTGCTTCAAGTTCGATCATTGGAGCTTTTCATCTCAATAAGACCAAGGTTTATCAAATGATGAGGATACAAACAATGCAGTTCCATAGAGCTGTGCTTATTTGGAGCCTCTTATTCACATCTTTTCAGCAAACTTAACCTTCTCAAATATCTTCAGCACATCTCCACTTTGAAATTTACAAATATTCAAAGTTAATATACCTATGTATATGAGTTTATAGTAGGATAGGATATTTCAGAGCTATTGGCCTTTGGGGATCAACATGGCCGAACTAACCAGATGTGAATGGGTACCATTTCACAACCTCCTTCAAACTCAATATTTATCGCAAAATCTCACTCTCCCTATTATTAATGGCACTCTTCACACGAGTTCCGCCAACATGAAGTGTCTTCTATGGTCCTCTTGTGAATGCACGAAGCTATATTTCAAGGTCTAATATTTCATAGGTACTATCACAACCGAGTAGTCTAGTAGCGCCCGAAAAAAAAACAGTGTCAATGAGGGAATTGACGATATACTCGCTTTGGCTCAAAGCTATTCGAGCAAGCATCGCAATGATCTCTGTTCTCTCGTTTTCCTTTCATTTAGACTCCACTGGAGAGCTAAGTTTGATCCGTTGGTATAGCTTCTCATCGCTTGCACAGAGAAGTCCTGGAGCGGAGAAGAATTACAAGGCACGACCTGATCTAACAATACGGACGGTGTGAATGAACTAGTGTCCTTTCTCCTTGCCTAATCCACAAATCTCGTCATCCCACCAGCTGAGAAATGTCTCCATCCGGGCCGTCCTCTCCTTTGCCATGGAGATCCCTGTCTTGGTCTTCATCCGCTTCTCAATATGAAGCAACTTCTCGTATACGTGCTCCACACTGAAACCTCGTTCATGCTGCTTTGCGCCAGTAAACACAAACATTCGCGCAAGACCTACAGCGCCAATCGCGTCAATGCGGTCAGCGTCCTGAACGATACGCAGCTCCGGGATAGCCTCGCAGAGCTTCGCGACCTTGGCTTCATTACGTATCTCGTTACTGTACGATACGTTCGTGCAGATGAGCTGAACCTTATCGGCTACATGCTGCGGACAACCAATGCTGGAGAGAAATGTCGAGACCATGACGCTCGCTTCCTCGCCTGGCTTGAGGTACTTTCTGTCTCCAACATCATGCAAAAGCGCCGCCAGGGTGATCACGGACGTATCGATGGGAAGCGTAGGGTTATTCTTCCGCTCAGCCGCCTCAATAGTTTTAGCAATCTGCAAAACTCGCTGCACGTGGGAGAAGTCATGGGATGCATCATAACGGGACATGAAGTCCTTTACATATGCGACAGACTTTTCAATGATCGCGTCCATGATGCCAAATTATTGCGCTTTCTGGATGCCCTGACAAAAAGTGAGATTTTGATGCGATAAATGGCGGATGGATACGAGGTGTCAAAAGAGAAGCCTTTTCAAAATGATTTTTTGTTTGAGAAAATCTCTTTCTGACTCGCATGCCACAAATGACTTAACTCTTTAAGGCAGAAAATTTCTCTGCCTTGCCATCTTATCTACACCTTCCGTTACGGTGTATTTCTTCCGTCAGACGATTTTGCGGCCGTGGGCATAGAGTGGAATGCAGACTAACAAACGTCGGCGCCTAAAAGCGGGAAGGTTTCGACGGTTGACGCTAATGAAGTTAGTCTAGGAACTGCGTATCTTGCTCGAGCTTTGCGTAGCTGAGGGGAAATCTTCTGCGCCAAATTCTCTTTCGAATCTTACCGGCGCGTAGCAGGCCAAGTCCCTCTACAATGCTAGCATATTAGGACTCGTGAATCAACAAGCGAAGGCAAGAAAAGATGGCAAGACGAGGAAGAATGGATTCGGTCTCCAGCCGTGCTAACGAGGAGACTCCGTTGTTGCAAGAAGTGCTACCAGAGCCGATTGACGATGGCGCAGTGCAGCAACAACGCGCAGCGCAGGATGCAGAAGTGCAACAAGAGGAGGTGATGATTGCGCAGGAGGCAAAGGGAAGCAAGCTGGTCATTATTCTGGCCAGCTGCTACCTCGGCGTGTTTCTAGGGGCGCTGGGTACGTTTGTCAACATCCACATTCATGGCTGCGGGATTACTTGGGTGTAGCTAACATCGATTTTCAGACTCCACTATAATCGCAACGCTATCGGCGCCCATCTCTGACTCCTTCAATTCTTTCACTCTCGTCTCCTGGATTGCGACATCCTACCTGATCGCAAACGCTGCATTGCAGCCTTTGAGTGGCAAACTGACAGACATCTTTGGAAGACGTGCAGGGCTTGTGCTTTCAAACGTGTTGTTTTTTGCCGGCAATTTGATATGTGGCCTAGCAAAGAAGCAATGGGTCATGATTCTTGGTCGAGTGGTGGCCGGCATGGGCGGTGGTGGGCTCATGTCCATTTCGACCTTTGTTGCCTCTGATCTTGTGCCTTTGCGCAAGCGCGGCCTCATCCAGGGCATTGGAAATATTTGCTACGGAACGGGTGCCGGCCTTGGAGGAGTTTATGGAGGGTGGATAAACGACGCAAAGGGCTGGCGCCTTGCGTTTCTCATTCAGTTACCTCTCATCGCCGTGTCTGCTATGCTGGTTGCTACTACCGTGAAGATTCCGGTCAAGGAAAAGGAGCTGTCCAGGATAAGGAGAATCGACTTTCCTGGCGCCATCACCCTCGTCTTGTCTTTAGTGCTTCTGCTCCTTGGCCTTAACTCCGGTGGAAACACTGTGCCTTGGTCTCATCCTCTTGTCCTTGCTTGCGTACCTCTGTCCATTGCATTTCTGGTCTTGTTCATCATCATTGAAGCCCGGGTTGCGAGCGAGCCTATTATACCAGTGCACCTACTGCTCGACCGCACTGTTGCATCGGCATGTCTGACCAATTGGTTCATCACGATGGCGACGTTTATTTTCCTGTACTATGTTCCTATTTATTTCCAGGTCCTTGGATATAGCACAACCCAGGCGGGGCTCAAGATTATCCCGCAGTCCGTGGGTGCTTCCATAGGATCGCTAGGAGCAGGATTGATAATGCGAGCTACAGGGCGTTACTACGCTCTTAATGTTTTTATTGAAGGTCTCTTGCTCGCATCTGCAATCATTATCGCGGCATTGTTTAACCGCAATATGCAGGAAATGCCAACGTACATCGCATTGTTGCTGGGTGGCCTTGGTTATGGAGGCATGCTCACAGTCACGCTGCTGGCACTGATTGCAGCGGTAGAGCACAAACATCAAGCTGTCATCACCTCTGCATCCTATGCTTTCCGCTCAACTGGATCCACGATAGGAATCACCGTCGCCTCTGCAGTTTTTCAAAATGTTTTGAAGCGTGAGCTTTGGGAACGGTTCAGAGACGACCCCATGGCGAGGGATATCATTGCTAGATTACGAGACAGCATCGAAGAAATACATAAACTTCCGCCGCAATACTACGACGGCGCGATAGACAGTTACATGCTCGCGTTACGGGCCGTTTGGTACACGTCTTTGGGGCTGGTCGTGGTTGGCATTACCCTGAGCCTGGGGATGCGAGAACACACTCTGCATACAAATCTTGCCCGGAAATGAGTACACATGAGGCAGATTGCGCTTTACAGCGCTTGTTAGGTCGCTGGTTTCGCGAGCGGCGGTGGAGCGCATGTGGACTGGGCCGCGGCTAGAGCTTGACTAGAATCCCGGCTAAGACGCACGTCACAAGGATATACATGGGTGGGAGTTGTATCTTGCGGGAAGAAGTTGGGGGCAAATAAGGATACCTCTACAACATTTGATCAAACCTTCCAGAAAGCTTCTAAGATGGTTTAACTGATGCGCTGGCTGTTGGGCCGACGACTTTGTCACTCAAAGAGCACTAGCACGAATTTGGCAAGACCTTTTCCATTCTAGCCAATCAAGCCTTGCGCCTCCTCAAACAACAATTCCAAAGCGCCGACCATTCACGACGCGAACTTCCATATAGAGTGGAGGCTCCCGTGACCACTAATCCCTTCAGTGCCCGATGACAATCTGGATGCTGATACCACAGATGAGCCTGTAATGCCTGTCTGCTGCTACCCAACGCTACATTAGTGCAGGCGCATATGTACTGGCCTTGCCGGACAATCTTGATCCACGATAGTTCACCTGCTTAAAAGAGCTTGGTTCCCTTTGGCATGGGACTAACATCCATGGTAGTATGACTGCACCGATAAGAGCCAAGCAATGTAGATCGCGTGGAACGTACTATAAACGAGCGAATTCGTTGTGCTTGTTCTTCATTTCCAGCTCCATCTCATTCCAGCCCTTTTGCTAGTTCGTTATTATGATTTTCCGTTCATGCCTTCGAGTTGCTGCGCTCGGCGCTTCGCTGGCCAGCGCAATTCCACTGTCTTCTGCTCTCGGTCAGATTGCTCATGAGGTTGAAGTCAATAGGAGGCAAGTGGACAACTCGACGTTCCGATTTCTCAACGGCAACACCCAGCCTTTCCAAGTAAAGAGCCTGCCCGATGTACCTTTCAATCTCGGGGAGATGTACTCAGGACTAATGCCCATTGTCACTGGTGATTCATCCCGCGAATTGTTTTTCATTTTTCAGCCCACTACTGGTGAGCCGGTTGACGAGCTCACGGTATGGTTAAACGGGGGTCCGGGCTGCTCGAGTTTGGAAGGATTCTTCCAGGAAAATGGATTATTTCTGTGGCAAGCAGGTGACGTCACACCGAGCGAGAATCCATACTCCTGGGTTAAGGAGACGAACATGCTATGGGTGGAGCAGCCCGTGGGAACTGGCTACACACAGGGTGTTGCGACCGCCACTTCAGAGGAGGACATTGCTCAAGATTTTATCAACTTCTTTAAGAACTTTCAGACCACGTTTGGAATCAGCAATTTCAAGATCTACGTGACTGGAGAATCATGTAAGAACTCATAGCATCGATCAAGTCCTGGGCATTGATTGACGCGTTTTCAGACGCTGGAAGATATGTGCCCTACATCTCGGCCGCAATCTTGAACCAGCAAGACCCAACGCATTTCGACCTGAGGGGCGCTATGGTGTATGACCCATGTATTGGTCAGTTTGATTATGTTCAGGAACAGGTTCCAACCTACGACTTTGTCAGGGCGCACGCCGACATCTTCCAATTTGATAACGACTTCATGTCCCAGCTCGAGTCCATGCACGTTTCTTGTGGTTACAAAGACTTTCAGGAGAAATACTATGCCTTTCCCCCAGCTGGTGTGCAACCAAACGTGCGGACGAAGAGTAACTGCGACATCTTTAACACAGCAGCAAATCAAGCACAACAGATAAATCAATGCTTCAACATCTACGAGGTCAACCAGACATGTCCTACACCACAAGATCCTATGGTCGACAACATGTTCGACTCCTCTAATGGTAAAACTAACTACTTCAACCGAGACGATGTGAAGGAGGCACTACATGCGCCCTCCGACGTGCAGTGGACAGAGTGCAGCAACTCCCCTGTCTTCGTTGGGCGAGGCGGTCCAGAGGGCGAAGGCGATTTGTCGTTGGATTCTATCATAAAAGTCTTACCGCAAGTGATCGAGGCCACGAATAGGACGCTTGTTATCAACGGCGATCTGGACATGATCATCATAACCAACGGCACGCTAATGGCCATTCAAAACATGACGTTTAACGGATACATGGGATTCCAGCAAGAGCCAAATACGCCTATCAACATCGACGGCCTCGGTGAAGCTGGACGGTACCACATCGAGCGGGGTCTGCTGTGGGGTGAAACCTACAATAGCGGTCATATGGGCCCGGAATATCAACCAGCAGTTTCGCTGAGGCATTTGCAATGGATGAGGGGGGTAATAGAGGAGCTATGATTGACGAAGCTGACTGGAGGTGTGGGATGAGTCGATTGTTCGTCATATACACGTTTACCCTTTCCCATCGACATGCCGCACGTAGAAAATGGCTACGAATAAAGAATAGTATGAATGATTCGCCTCAGAAGGCACACACACACACATATATATATATATATATATATTTCGTAGTTCCTGTACACTCAAATCTTTGCGTGGTGGTATAATTCTCGACTTGCTTGAACGTAATAAGATCTTTTCACATCCTCAGCTTGGTTCTCACCGAGCTCAACACACCTTGAATGCCGGCTGGCTTTGGTGGTGCACCCCCCTTTCCATCGGTCTTCTTCGGTTTCTTGTACGCCTTCGAAGTCTGGATGTGAATTGCGACGGCAACGGAGATGAGCGCAATGAGGGCACCGATCCAGCCTAGAAGGTAGGCAAGGAGGATTGGATTCGCCTGAACAGTGGCGAGAGCGTTCGGAGTGAGGATGGGGCTGAGGAATTCCCAAGCCATTGTTCGTCGCTGAAGAGGTTTGGAATTGTGCTTCAGTCCGGACGGTTGGGCAGCGTACAAGAGAGACGGACAGAGTGTTTATGTGCGTGTGTATGTGTGACGAGCGACGTGCTCTTGGCGGCGTGATCTCTTTGTCGCGAATAGGATGTCTAAGGGTATCTTTCCGCCTGACTCAACGGGACCTGAGCGCTGTGCTCTGTGTGAAAGAAGCGAAGGACTTCAAGCGCAGCTTGAAAAAGGACTGGAGATCACCAGGTATAGACGAAGGCGAATGATGTACTCTCGCTCCACGAGACTCTTGAAAAGTGAACAGAATAATGAATGGCACACAAGAAAGACAGACGAGGGGGGCGATGTCACGATATGTGAAGCGAAAGGCCGTCAAGGGATAGTCGACCTCCCGTTGTTCAGTTTCAATACAAGTTTGCGCTTGGAGGCCTGTGATTGGCTCAAGCGTCAAGCCACAGGGGCTGGAGCTGCCTCGCTGCGGTTTCAAGACAGCGCTGAAACGTTGCGAACCAATAAGAAGGCGCGGCGATACGTCAGGGAGATATTTATTAGTACGTCCACTTAATGCATAAGGGCTGACTGCTTTCAAACTCATGGAGGGAGGGCGTCGCATACTGACGATTTTTTGGAACTGCCTTTCAAATTGCTATTCTGGCATATTTAGATCTGAGTGCGTCGCAAATCTTGTCCATTTGCATCCTCAAGCGAGGCGAAGAAGTGCAGCCACTCTGCCTATTCTGTGCAGGTGATACCATTGCTACTTCACACTCACAAAGTCAGGACAAAACGGCTCTAGTTATCTTAGTAGAACGCTCCCGTAGTCTTAGGACGCCTATCTATGTCTTCTAATCTGTCTGCTTCTAGCTGGATTCTAAGCTCTATAATTCAGGCGCTTTGCCGAGAAGATCCCGTATTGCCTTCAATTCCCTTATCCGAGCCTGTTCGTTCTCGCGTATCTTTTCAAGATATTCACGTCTCAGATCCTTGAACTCGTCTTCGAGCTTCTGGTGCCAAGGGTATAGCACAAAGACTTGGAAGCAGAGCGCTGAGGTCGCAATTGCGAAATTGGTGATGGAGAATCGACGTGCGATGATCATATTGCGGCCAGATGGTCTATATGGTACACCTTCAGTTCAAAATCAAGGCTGCGGTTGCTCGAAGGCGTCAAGAAGCGGGGGCCTTAGAGATGTAAGCTTGTTGCGGCCAATACCAGCTACTCTGTAGGGCAATCTCACCTTCGTTCAAGAGTGACGACGCATGTACGGCGAGAGGCACCGCGTGAGATCGGTGGTGAGTGGTCAAGCTGGAGGGCACTTGGTTTCCCAAGATCAAGGTTCCTTAGATCTTACCAGAGTGAGAGAATCTCCTCCTTTAACTCCAATCGAGATCCATCAATGAGATGTACATAATAGCAGTATCCGACTCTTTCCCGAACCTTGTCCCCGAATCATCTCCTAACTCCTGCGCTTCTCCGAACGGCACGTGCCAGAAAGGTCACTTATAGTTAAGTAGTCTCGAGGCAACATTAGCTCTTTTGATCAGACTTTGCGCGTCATTTGCCAATAAAATATGCTTCTACCCGATCTTGACCGTTCCAAGTACCAAAAAATAAGCGAGCAACTTGAATGCACGATCAGCATTGCTATTGCAAAAGGATACTCAGTCGAGTCTTCAACGCGTAAATGAGAATGCAACAAGGAGGATTATCATCTCCGTATTTTCGAAGTGAGCTGAGAATTATTATCGTCGAAGTCGTCAACTATCATGTGTCCTTGACCGATGCCGAGGCGAAATTCATTGAGACAAATGCAGCTAGGCACTAGCACGGAAGTCATTTTATCGTTCACATCTTCGCTATGGAGCACAATCAGCTACATCTAGACATGTTGAAATGAATTATCCAAAGGCTCTCACCTTATCCTTCATGATGTAGTAGAACATAAATCGAAAAATTGATGCTTCGCGCAGAAAACCAGAGTTCCCAAGGCCAACTAGACCCACTGCCAATATTCTTTGATTGATATATTTGAGAGGGAGAGGGAAAGGATGTCTTCAATATCGCATAAAAACTTCCTCTTTGTGATGTTGAGGGGTATTGGAGTATGAGTTTCGTACAACTAGTCAAAAAAAGGCTCTCAAAAAAAGTTAGACTAGGGTGAAGCGATTGGCGACGCCATAGCTACTTTTAGATTTGTTATCAGTATAAAGCTCTGTTTAGTGAATACATATGCCATGTAAGACCTGAATGCTTGGTTCGTTATGGAAGTAATGTATCCATGGAAATTGCATAAGTATCTCACTTGCTTTAGCACTTGTCCCAATGTTTAGCTTTTGAAGTAAAGACGCGAGTATCGAATCCACGATAATACCGTCTTTTCCGCTGTGAATGACGGAAATTCTTGCTATGCAGCAGACCCACAACTTAAATGGATCATTTTTTGAGTCCAGCTGCGTAATGATATGTCGGAGCTTGTCAGAAAGAAGTTGATATAGATTTTCGGGTTTTGGGCCAGGGTAGATCAATATTGAAACGATGAAGGCGAGCAATGCGAGGTAACAAGCTTTGTCGAAGACGTTCATAGTATTCGGCGTTTCGAGTGGATGCGCGCGGAGTAGACGATAGCCAACCGATATCAAGAACTCTTGAAAGGAGAATGAGTGCATCTTGTACATCTCATTTTCATGTCCGTTGCTACTCGCCGTGATTGGTCGCATGGATTTTGTATAGTGAATGTTCAAAATATATGAGATGTTCATGCAATCATTGAAAACTCCTCGAGTGGTCTCATCTCGAATTTCCAAGAAGCTTTCAGCACGATTCGCGTCTATGTTAGTCATGATGTGTTTTACCTCGTCACGAGGGAAAGAATCTCGATACAGACGTGGTTGAGCGCCTGTACGTAGTGCAAAATTCAAGTCGCTTCTATGGCTGCTGCGTTAGCAAACAAACTCGAAACGGAGTTGTGACGACCTACCGGCAAATCTTATGCAACAGAGCAGGATAACGTTCAAAAATATGTAGTCCTCCCTTGAGGTTTATCATTTTTTCGAGAGCTTCAAGGTGCAACTTTGAAATTTTTACCACCCCAAATAAGCTCTCATGCATTACAAGGGACATCACCGATGCGATGGTGCCATACGTCGGAACACTGTTCTTTGCGAGGTCGTTGGAGATTCCCCGATATGTATTTGAGAGGCATTTCAAGGTAAAGAATGATACGTTGAAATCCCCAACTAGCATGTGATGGTGGCCCTCGGCGATTGCGAGTAGGCAGTGGAAAAAAGTCTCATCTGATACGAAGAGTTCGAAGAATACGTGATGGGCGCGGGCTGCTTCTCTGCAAAATACCCTTGGATAAAGACCATCACCAGCGGTGGAAAGAACTGGTTACGGATCAGAAGATGGACATGCCAAAGATACGAAACAGGCTATGCTGACAAGAGTTCAGAATCGCTCGCATATACGGCTTCAACTCGCGTGGGTAGCTGAAGCTGTCGAAGTCACTCCAATGCTTTGATGGTAACGCTACCATCTGCCCCAAAGAGCTGCAGTCAGGCCCCGACGATAGTGGCTTCTTCTCGCTGGGTTCCAAGCTTTTAGCTGTCAGAATGGCCAATTTTCCGCGGCCATGCTGGACTCGTTGTTTTTTCTTCCCAACGTTTTTCCCTCTCATCACCTGGCTGCGGATCTGCTTGCGTGTGCGTGCATCGATATTTGAATTATCCACAAACGGAAACTCCATCTCTGCAGCGTCCCGGGTTTCTCGTCTACCATTTTTCAAAGTGCCAGTCGAAGTCGCTTATGTCAAAGATTTGTACTAGGAACGGGGCGGGAATGTATTCGGAGTAAAGACAGCTTAGCTCCGGGTTTGCGCTTGAGGGTCTTCTATAGGGACCCCTTGTCTATTGCACCACCCAGCTAGTTTTTCTCTTTGCAACGTGAAATTTTCTTCGTTTTTTCTCCAAAGTCGAGAGTCTTCCACTAAGAAGCAACCAGACCATAACTCGATGGCCATCCGCTTGTAAACAACGTCCGTTTCTGGCCATTTCGACGTTGGTTATGCACGTGAGTTACTCTTCCCTAAAGCTCAGAACAGCCCTCAAATGATGATTGCCAAATTTTTGTTTCAACCCCTAATGATCCTTTTGGTGATTATACTCGTGCTTATTCGAGAAACGCTGAACGAGACCTCTCTTATACTAGCGCGTACATTTTCTTTGACGCTCCGACGTTGACCATGATTTAGATGACGGTTATGAATTTTTGAAGTTGTAAACAACGACCAGACAGCAAGACTACCGACGGATGACGGCATAAAAGCAAATAGTGCCTATCGCTTTCTATGCTATTAGCATTGTGTTTCGCAGTACTAAACACTCAATTTGTTGAATTCAGTGAGCAGGGAACTATTAATGCTTTGCAACGCTTCGCGAAGCATGACTTGTAGCTTCATTGCCTTGTGTTGGAACACCCCGCTACCAATGCAAAGTGCCCAAATACAGCTGGTCAAAGCTACGGGTCTATAAGGCGAAATCATGCGATCAAGACTATAGTTTCTTGACGGCGACCATGTCGCGAAGGCATGATTAGTAGAAACGAGAAATTTGATTTAAAATATATCAACAGTCAGCAAGACCTTTAAACTACCTTTCTTCGCTTGACGATACTTTTCAACTCTTTCAAGTTCAGATTCATCTCAGCGTGTCCAAGAAGCCAAAGAAAAAAATGCCGTCAGGCAATCGATAAGTCCCACGTGCGAGATCGAAAAAGAATGGGGAATAAAGGAGGTATTTTTGGACGGACTAGCAAGTTTCGTTGACTTCATCGAAATCTCGTACAGCCCGCTGAAGTCGAGGAGTCGTGTCAAAGTATCGTTCTACATAGTGCAACGAATTCATAGCAGCGACATCGGACACGATCGGAGGAGACTCGTCCGAATTGCTCAAGCTAGGTATAAAACAAGAAGTTACAACGTCTCTGGGCATTCAGTAAAGGACACCATGGCTTCGCAAGTCTCCGATGGAGCCTCCAGCTGGAGCTCACCTGGAGATGAACCCACGCGTAGTGGTTTGGTGAACAGAATACTGCCAGAGATGGAGCTGTCCAGTGGCGGTGAGACGAGCCTAACGAGACCACCTGCACCGATTCCAGAAAACCTAGACGTAACAGCAAGAGCACTCTATAGATTTGCTGTGGATGGCAACGCTGTCAGTACGTGAAGATGTTGGTACCAGTACCAGACGATGCGATTCAGCACATATAACAGCCTGGATGCTGATCCTAGCCGAGGATAGTTACTGGAGGCGCCGGTACACTCGCTCTCGAATGCGCAAAAGCACTCTTGGATCATGGCTTACAGGGTTTGGCCTTATGGGACATAAACTTTGACCACTCACAGGCTACGATAGAAGGTTTAAAGAAGGGTTATCCAAATGCGAAGATTGCGACGATCAAGGTAGACGTAAGGGTCAGTAGCACCATTGATGTAGCCCTAGAGGATACCGTCCGCATTTTCGGTGCCGTAAACATACTGTGCTGCTTTGCCGGCGTAGTTGGTTGCACGCCTACGGTGGATGTCAAGGCGGAGGAATGGAAGAGAATCATGGACATCAACTGCAACGGAGTCTTCTTGTGCGCTCAAGCTGTGGCTCGGTACGTCAAAACTCTCATCCGAACCGTAGCTATGCATGCTGACGATAAAACTCAAGTGGTATGATCTCGCAACGAAGTGGCGGATCTATCGTTCTAATTGCATCCCTTTCCGGCCATATCGTCAACTTCCCTCAGCCACAGGCTGCTTATAATACATCCAAGGCTGCAGTGCAGCATCTCACGCGCTGTCTGGCTGCTGAGTGGGCAGTGCACGGCATCCGAGTCAATTCAATCTCTCCTGGGTATATGGACACGATCTTGAACGAAGGGGTTGGATTAGCTAAGGCTAGAACGATGTGGAACGCGAGGAACCCAATGGGGCGTATGGGGGTACCACAAGAGTTGACTGGTCCGCTTGTATTGCTGTGTAGCCGTGCAGGAAGTTACATGAATGGTGCCGATATTAAGGTGGACGGTGGCGCAAGTGTCTTTTGAGCTGTAGTTCTCACGTTGTCGAATCCTCGCGTGGGTCACATGTGCCGAATGGTTAAGTTATGCCGATCGAGTCGAGTTTTTTTTTCCCCAAAAAAATCAATGGCTTACGCTATCCTATTTCCTTTAATTTTTTTTTAATTTACATATTTATTTCAACCTCTTCGCGAGAAGAGGATCTGTACCTTTGTAGCCCTCGCGGGCTATCGGCGCCTGTCCAATAAGCTTGGCAGGTCTCGTGAGGTTTGAAGCTGAGCAAAGCGCCCATTGGACGGGTCAATTCATCCAGAGTTAGACCTTGCATCGTATACGGATTGTTTCCCTCGGCACGGAACACAGGTCATCAAAGCCCAATTGCATAGGCTGGACCTTTTCAGCGTCGTCGTGAGGTGTTTTCATAGTGCTTGCACAATCGCCGCATTATCTAACAGGTGACATCCCCTGGTTAACGCGTTTCTCATCGAATCACTCAGGTATGACGCAGTCATCGCGCAATTAGAGCTCCTTCAAGCTAGGCGACCAACGTGGTTTTGACTGTTCTCTCAAATGCAGGTACCAGACTTGCAGAGCCTTGGATTCTCCTTAGATTTTGCGACACTTCGGTAAACAAGCATCTCCAGACATGGACCCCACAAGGACGTCCCGGCGCACGTTCACGTCGTCTTTAACTTCGCATCCCGTACCTGACGACGCAGATCCGCAGTACAAGAGCCTTGCTGAGGCACTGCGTCGATTGCTTACGCTGCTTATCAATCATCCGGCCATGTCCAAGAACATCGGTAGGTGATAGTTGCTCATTCAGGAGCGCAGGCTATCCAAGCCATGGATCTGCGTACCTGGTATTGGGGCTTGGCTGATGGATTTGCTTTAGATCAAACTTATTCCACCCCAGCTGCCAGTAAAAATAAAGTTTACTTCATGTGGGACTTTGTAGGCCGAACTCTGGCCATGCTATTTGGACTGCCGCCCTCGATGCCGGGACGGCCAGCGCCGCCGCCTCAAACCATTTCCACGCCTGAAGGGGCGGAGGCATGGAAGGAGAAGCAGAAGCAAGGTTGGACAGAAGGTGAGTAGCTCCAATCCGTCCTTAGCTACGCCGTAGCGGAAACAAATGTTGACTCGATGGGGAAACTCAGTCATGCAAAGAGCGTTGTACGCAAGGGAATTAATTTTGGATGAAGGAGGCAAGCTAGATGCTATGATGAATGTGAGCTACGGAGATGGGAGCGGCGTTGAGAAGGCAGACTTTGGAGATGAGGTCCTGAACGCGAGCAGAGCGATCATGGAGCACGACCGTGGGAATGTGTAAGCGGAAAATGCGTTTCAAATCTAGCTCCGAGAACAAAGGTTGAAGTCCTTCTTCATAGTGCTGTGGCAAAAAACAATCCTAATTCATCCCCTTTTCATTTTCCTGTCCCGTGAACGATACCTGCTCTTGCTAGATACGATTTGATTGTCTATTCTGGGCCAGCAGAAGTGCTTGATTCACACTCCACGTTCCCACATCTTCACTGGCTCTGTGCAGTGTATGCTGAAAGAAAAATGGATTCGACGTCTTTCAGTTCATTTATTCATGATCAAGGCCTTTACTAGCATTATCTTTATTCTCACCATTATCGCTCGTCTCGTTGGCTGATGGCCTTGTCGTGGGAGCTTCCTTGACCCTGGAGATTGAAGCATTCATATTTCTCATACCTAAAGCAACGGATTGCTGCGAAGAAATAGATCCTGCCCAAGGTGCTCGTGTGGCAGGTAGGCCTGTCGCTCCAGATTGACTGGTCCAGCTTGTCTTGGGTCCGGGCATGGCGTTTGATCTGTGAATTGTCCCTGAGGTCAATGACGCTGAAGACACCGCACCGGATGGCATGGGTCGTGAAGTGATCGGCATAGAAGATGGTGGCATATTTGAGATGCGCGATTGCGGCTGTGATGGCATCCGTGCTGGTAGTATGGGCGCTGGAGCGTCTGGATTATGTTCCCAGCGAAAGAGCGAGCCGAAAGGAAAGTGCTGTACGACCGGGAACTTTGAGAGTACCTCTGCATTGTACATCTTAATCATCCCCTAAGGACTTAGGCTTTAGTCATGTGAATCTGGACATTTTGTGTAAAGGAAGAGCCATACTTTATTTATTTTTGCCCATCCAGCTGTAACACCTGATATGTCGAAAAGCATTGGACTGTGCTCCCAAAATGGCCCCTTCTTGACGTCATATATAAAGCCGATAGCAGAGAAGTACATGTTTGAGTTCCTTTCACGTTCGACAACCGATTGTTTCGTAACGTCGCCTGGTCGAGGTGCATTGTGTACTGAGCCTTCCTGCTGTATCTCTGCGGGTGACGCAATGGGCGGAGAGAGCTGTGCAGAGCCAAAGACATAGGGGACGAAAGAATGATCATCAAGTCCCCATACACCATGTGAGCCTGCAGGTTCAAGCGTGTATGTTAAGATGAGCTTCCGAATCAGTCGAAGATAGGGCTCAATCACACCGAGAACGATCTGTCGCTCATTCGTGCCAAAAGGACCATCTGTTACCTTTTCCGAAGTGAATCCGCCAAGCTTCCATATACATCCGAGAAATGCTATGAAGCTCAATTCATGGCCAGTACCATAGTCCAGTCTCTGCGCACTTCCGAAACTGCCTAGAAGGTACGCCTTGAGCTCGTCTTTCGGCAAAATCTCGTTGGCTGTCCTAAATCCCAGGACTTGCTCCGGGAGATATTTATCCATGAGGGTATCGAGGTTCTGTTCTACATGTTTGTACCACGTTCTGAAGCTGGCATTTCCAAACCGACGAGGACCAGGGTCTGGAGGTGCCTGTTGGATAATATTCTCCAGGTCTCTGAGCAGTTGTTGTAATCGTTTCACAGCGCTCGTGTACATGATGGAGGCATCATCCAATGTCCACACATGACAACCACCATCATCTTTCCTAAGAGGAAACATGGAAGCATTGAGTTGAAGCAAAAAGGTCATCAGGTCCGTATATGCCCATGATGTAAGCCAAAACGAAATATCCTCAACGTCGTGAATGCGTTTAGCAGGAATCTCGAAGGTGTGGTCCTGCGCCGGGTCAAGGACATCCAAAACGCCTCGAAGACTATTCTCAGTCATAACGAACGAGCGTGAAACGAGAATAAAAAAAATTTAGGAGTTCAACCTCTTGAATTCGACGTGTGGCGCTGGCACCTGAGAATGTTGACGCCTTAAGTCACGAGTGCAGGCGTTTGGTTGGTGATCGTTCAACCAACCACCTATCATAACAACAAGAAAACCTGAACCAGTTCGACAACTCTCAAAGTCCGACATACTACCCATAAACGAGTCCAAGACAAATCTTAGCCGCTGCTTGCACCTGTCCTCCAGATTTACAGTTTAAGGGCATTCGGTCACTCATGCTGACTGCTCGCGCAGCCGCCGAGCTTTACTGACATGGCTGCGAAAGGCGCGCGAGAGCAGCGTCCGCAATCGATTCGAAGCCGACGACGCGAAGGTGAGAAATCACCTCAACAGCTTTGTTTTCATGCACACGCATCCTCACTTATCGCTGAATCTTCTACAATAGATTCCAACCGCTAACTTGACGAAGGCATAAGCTCTCCAACTAATCAGATACACCAGGAAATAGCGGGTATAGGCCAGCACTCTTATAGAGAGATGGATGCTAATGCTTGAGTTTTAGCTGCAACGGACCATCTGAATCCAACTATTGATCCACTCGCGCGCAAAGGGAAATCACTTAAGGAATCGTCCAATATTCTGAAGCGATCGAGTTCTAAGCGACAACAATTAAAGGGTGGTAGCGACGGCGAAATCTCGCCTCAGACAGTACCTGTTGAAGGCAGTATTCCGGAAGAGGAGCTGTTAAACAGTGTAATGAGGGTGACGAGGAAGCTCCGGAGTGCTAGCGTGGATAGTACCAAAGCGAGGGAAACGAGAGCTAGATTGGCCAGCGAAGTCACCCACCCCGGACAGCAGAGAAAAGGAAGTAAATGGAAAGCATCAGATGATGGAATTCTTTTAATTATGGCAAAAAATGGAGCAAAATGGAGCGAGATACGCACTAGCTTATCGCGATTCTCAATACGGGAACTCAAAGACCGGCTGAATCATCTGGAACAGCACGTACGTTCACGACCAGGCAGTAGGTGGTCTCCAGAGGAAGACTACATCCTGCTCAGCATGCGGACAGCTCATGCAGACTGGAGTGATGTCCATGCCATACTTCTGCATCGAACGGAGAAGTCTATCGAGCAGCGTTATCGTGATCTGACTACAGGTGCAACGAAGAGAAAAGCGCTTGAAGATCATGTAGACGAACTACCGAGAAAGAAAATAAAGGATTCAGCGGCTAGCAAGACACAACAAGTAGCGGCTCGTAATTTCGACGTAGCACATGACTTTACCACTTCTGGTCGCTTGCGGAACAGTCAAGTAAGGAATGAAATAGGGAGTATGATCCGAGAAAAATTCATGCCAAAGAGAGTTACCATATTTGCCAAACATGCCAGAACTCCCCGTGGACAGGCGGCACTTGTTCCCGCACAGCAGAATGCCAAGGGTATCCATGAGCCACAAGATACCAGTGAAGACTGGGCTGTTCCGGACAATGATGAAGATCAGCCAACATCGATTCATGGTGATGGCAGTTTTGGAAGTTCAAGTCCTTATCAAAGCGAACAAGTCTCAGATGCTTTCGAAGACGATAGAAAAACCGACTGTGAGATAGTCATACCGAAAGAAGCAGCTGACTTGTTTGGGCAAACAGAGCCACTTATCAAAATTCTTAAAGCTGCTAAGGAGCACATGTCGCAAACCTTCAAAGGTGATTTCATAAGTCGTAGCAAACGGGAGCTCCCAGAAGTGCAGGCTGTTCGATTTAACAAACAAAAGATTATAGATCTTTATAATAGCTTGGCCACGTCAACGGAACCCGGAAGAGTCCGAATAGACATCGAAAGTGCTCTGGAGGAGCTTGAAAACCAAGTCAGTCACTTTGAGCTTCGCTCTCCTGAAAACTTCGGCACAATGGTCCAACTAGCACGCCAAGTCAACATACTCATGTTTATTGATCTACTGTGTGTGCTCAGCACCGCTCTAAACTTATACGCCAAGACTAAGTTCCATGAATACGAAGACCAGATTTGGCAGCTTCACTGCTGCATACGAATTTGCCGGATTATCGTCAATTTGTACACGAAGTCCCGTTCCAACGAATGGAAGTCAATTAAAATAAGCGGCATCAAAAACATTCGAAACTCTATGCTAGCGCCTCTTGTCAAAGTGTTAAAGAGTTTCCAGAACGAAATGAAAAGGCTGCAGTCCTTGCGTATGCAATTGGACATGGCTGCGAGTCAGAAGCAGAATGCAACCGAAGATGAGGACGAGAGATGCCTTGGAAGTGAGTATGATGCAAAGTATCGTCGCCTTACGAGATTGTTCCTACTTCGTGCCAAAGTTGCAAGAGTGCGCAATATCGCGCACAGCAAATACAGCATACATTTGAAGAGTTACACCGAATGGCGAGAGGATCGCGAACCGTACAATCAAGCACCAGAGCTTGACGCAAATGGCGAACCGATGGAACGACTGCCGATCTTTGTTGAACGACCGGCAGGTCGGCGTCCACCACGGTTGGCTACGTCGCACGACGAGGGAAGGACTTGGACAGGAGCTGAAACAATTGCGCTGTTAAAAGGCTTGAGAAAGTATTATGGTAAGTTACTCGGAAATTGCAGTTATACTATGAATGAACTGATAGTGGGGATAGGACCCAGGGTCTTTGACAACATCTTCTTGCATTTTTGCCAACCTGGAAAAGTTCTAAGTGATCGAACCGTGCCGCAGATTCTTCGGCAAACTGCGGCTGTTCGAGAAGGGTATTTAGAGCAAGCAGAACGAGAGTGCCAAGACATGAGTCAGTGCCCTACATGGTTGATGGACATTCATGACCTAGATCTTCTTGACTTGCTCTGACAGCTTTGATCAAATCACTTACTTCTTCATCTGGGCCTCTTTTCGTGCTCGTTTATCAAGCTTCGCTCACGATACCGCTGAGAAGCTTTTCTCAACTCTCAAATGTTTCATTGTTGTCACTGCATTGGCTCGTCATGAATTGGACAACGAAGATTTTGAATATGTAAGCTAGCCACTAGTATTGGCGGAATTTATCGACGATTTGACGCTGCAAAAATCAACCAATCTTAACGCCTTATGTTACATCGTCACTAATCTAACCTCTAGTCAAATTAAGTGATTTCGTAATCATCAACAGGGCACATCGATCTTGGTCATGAAAATGGTCGACCATGCCCGTTATCGAATGCCGAACAATGATCATTTTATCGAACATGGAGCGGAAAGACCAACTCCAAGCCGAAGTAGATATCTCATATACTGCACCTTTTGAACGCAATCAAGCTGGGCTTCCGCACGCTGTCCTATGTTCCTTTCAAGGCCATGTTAAGCCCTAATGTTTGGTTTTGAACGGAAATGAATAACAAAGACTTTCGAGTCCTCCCTCCCCCCCCAAATCCCTAGGGAAGATTCAGCACTGCTCCCTGTCCTCTTCGCTGAACAAGTGTACTACCATTTCGATCTGAATGGGCAAATTTTAAAGTAGGAGCAGTGGGAGAAGAGGAAAGAAAAGTAGGAAACTTGGGATCTGATACTCGAAACTCAACCATGCTCAAGGATTTCGTAACATTTGGGCGGATTTTGCCCGCTCGTTATGCCACGCTAGCTATACTTTGAGCCAATTCTGCGCGTTTCTCGAGTAGTTCCTTCATAACCTGCTCTCGATCAGCCTTTGCGTAGGCAGAATCGGAGTAGATATATCTGGTAGCATCATCTTTGTACTCGTTCTGAGGTCTCATTACTATGCTCTCGCCACTACATTCAGCAACCTGGCCCTGATACTTGCCCTCCTCATCTGCAAAAAAGCCCTCTACAGCACGCACAATCGTGCTCAAGGGCGTGACGAACTCCGGAGGTGTGGCATTGGAAATTGCTTCTGGCATGATGTTGGTCGGCACGAGACCCGGGCAAATGCAGTTGACAGTGATGGGCTCTTTGAGCTGCTCTAACCGCGCACCCATGGCTCGAGTCAACCCCACAACCTTTTGAGCAGTTCAGTGCAAGTAATGCAGTCACATTAGCTGGATAAATCTTACCCCATGTTTAGCGGCGGTGTAAATGGGGATACTTGGCCCAGGATAGAGTCCACATTGGCTGCTAGTAAAGACAATTCTTCCTCCTGGCTTGGCGTTCTTTCGAAAATAATGCATACCTAGATAACTACACCAGACAGGTGACGTCAGGCAGATATCTGCGACCAACGTGTCTGGCTTTTCTGGCGATCCATCCGGAAGTTCCTTGGCCGGTGCATACCAGTCGATACGATCGCCAATGCCCTGGCAGGTCACGTCAGTAGCTAGGTCCTCGAGAACAATTGTACGTCGTGTGGATTAGACTCTTTCCACCCACAGCATTACCATAGACTGCAACAAAATTAGTTGAGGTTACTTCCGAAGAAATAGGCCGCACATACCAAAGTCAAGTCTGCCCCATTTCTGCCATGATTCCACGAAAGACTTTGAGAGCTGGTCCCAGTTCGCAACGTTGGCTTTTACGAAGAGAACTTGGGGTCCCAGTCTGCTCGCGACGGCCTCACCCTTTGGCGCATTGAAGTCGACTATGGTGACGTTCCAGCCCAATTCAACGAGCCTTTCTGTGACAGCCAAGCCCATGCCAGAGGCTCCAGGTTTGTTAGAAGATATGCAGGAACAGTCGGATCCTTTCTTTACCTCCACCCGTCACCAACGCAGCCTTTGCTTCCGACACCATGATGACGGGTTTGTCACTCGGGTGAGATAAGACCTTGACTTCAATTCAACAGCTTTCAATAGGACGACCGGAAAACGGTTCTGGGAAAGTTTACGTGTGTTGATCCCACGAGATGCGTCCGGCTTACTTTCTTATACGAGCGATGCTTGAGTGGAAAATTCGACAACCGAGGCGAAGAGCTCAGTGCCATGTACCTTTCACAAGAATAATTATCTGTGCGGAGTAGGCTCAGCGCGTACATCCGACCCGAATTGGTCAGGTTCAAGTTGGACCTGACCTCGCCTGACCGAAGTCCTCAAGACTTCTGTGGGGTAACTCGGAAGTGGGGTCATGAACGTTGCGGGTAACGAAGCTGCGGGGAAAAGATTCTAGTAATCCAAGCGTATCCTCTTCATGCTTCTTCTTATCCGAAAACGAGAAAAAGGTTGTACGTGAAGTGAAATATGCATCGGCCGTATCTGCATAAGCTAGCTTCACTCAGCGGAGGCTCACGAATGACTTCATACGCTAGACCAACAGAGCAGTCTTTTGTCAAGCAAATAAACATATGCTCGCCCTGAGCCTGTCAGCATGTCGAACGCATTTCACTGCTGAATACAGTGCGTATTGGCATCAAGGAATTCCTACGTATGCTTTGGACATGAAGGCGTGTTTCTAGCACGCGCACACACGCCAAACAGTAGCTCGAACATGATTCTTTTGCACCGATACATTCGTGACATAAGATGGATGACTTGTCTGATGCCAACTCTGCACCATCATACGAACTCTGTCGTAAAACATCGATGCTTCATAGCTTCTAGAAGGAGACTAATAATAGGAAATGTGGGTGTGCTCTTTCCAGGTCAACAGTGGGTCTGGAGTGTCTGGATATAGTATGCTCCTAATGCCCTTCGGCGGGACTCAAGATGAAGTAGGTGATTGGCAGGACCTAACTGCAGCTGCTTGATGGTGCTCAATTACGGAAGATTTTCCAGGTACAGAAGAGATACATTGTTCAAAACTCCAACGTAGACAGTTTTGATGAACACGACAACACTGACAACAGTTGCTCAAGTTTTTTTTCTTCGCGACGCATACGGTGGTAGGAGATGCCAGACTTGAATTTCAGGCTCTAGCAAAGACGGTGAAAGCAACGACCCAAGAGCGAAGGCGTGGTGGATATCCAGTCTTCACGATCATACAGTGTCGCCTGTGCTGAGAGCGAGCCTTCGTCGCCTACACTTCAGATTGCCGGTACAGTGTCAAACTCAGGACTCCAAGAGGAGAATGACGTGTCGCTGTGGCAGTAGATCAGTCCATTATGTCGCAAAGCAGGTGTGTTCGCGATAGTAAAGCCGTCGTTAGTAGCAAGTGACCACGTCACACAATTGGATGTGATAGGTTAAGTTCAGTTACTGCGTGGGGTTCAGCCCGCCGAAGGCTCACGGTCCAAGTTAACAAAGGGTCTTCGCCTTGTGGCGGGGTACCTGCGCTGGCAACAACCGCCAGAGCCTCGTTTTTGGAGAGCGACATTTCTTCTTCGCACTTCTTGACCACAAGCACCCCGCCTTTGCTCGACACCAATTGCTGCTTGAAGGCCGCGACCGCTCCAACTGAAGCTTCGTAGAACCGACTTGGACATCGCAAAATGGTTGAGCGCGCGAAAAAACCTTCTGCGATTCCCATCTCGCCCACCTCCAACACCCCACAGCCAGTTGTGGACATTTCAGAAGACGGTGGCCGAGTTACAGCGCGGCTGCCAACCGGTGAGAGCGTTGAAGTGCTGCTGCATGGCGCCACCGTAATCTCCTGGAAGTGCGGTGGGCAGGAGAACCTGTGGTTGAGCGATGCTGCCGTTCTGGACGGCTCGAAGCCAGTTCGGGGTGGAATACCCGTTGTCTTCCCGGTAAGTCTCCTCCTACGGCATAAATGTACTGTGATAATGTGCAGCTGAACGATGTGAACCGCAGGTCTTCGGTCCACCCCCTAAAGACCACGCAACGTCGGCCCTGCCCCAACATGGGCTGGCCCGAAATGTTCGGTGGGAGTTCTTAGGCAAGTCAACGTCAGAAAGCGACGTCGTCAAGGGTTCAGACGATAGTGTAAAGCTCGACTTTGGACTGTACAGCACGGCGGTTCCAGAGGAGCTGCGCAAAAAATGGCCGTACGACTTCGGCCTGGTTTACAGTGTCACTCTCAGCCGTGATTCTCTGCAAACCGTTATGCAGGTTCGAAATGAGGGAAAGGAGGCATTTGAATTCCAAATTTTGCTGCACACGTACTTGCGCATCGACGTGGGTTTTCGCTCCACGTATGTTAAGGACAAAGGGAAGACTAATGCCCAGTGTAGGACATCACCACCACGACGGTCAACGGGCTGGGCTCTGCCACGTACACTGACAAGGTTCTCAACGCAACCCAGCATCAACAAACTACGCCAACAGTCAGCGTCACTGGCGAAATCGACCGTGTTTACCACAACCTAAAGCAGTCTACCACGTCTGTCCTCGCCGCTGGTAAGCCCCGCTTTGACGTTATCCGTGATAACATGAACGATACCGTAGTCTGGAACCCGTGGATCGAAAAAGCAAAGGGAATGGGCGACTTCGAGCCCAAAGACGGGTACAAGAAGATGATATGTATCGAGGCCGGTGCTGTGAGCGAATGGACGAAGCTCGATGCCGGAGAGGGTTGGGAGGGTGGCCAGGTCATTAAGGCTCTGCTGTGAAGTGAGGGAAGGAACTACGAGGATGATATACACGGCATGAGATATGATTTCAACTCGGGTCAAGAAAGCTCGCTTTATGATGCGAGGAAAACGTGCAGGCACACAGCATAGGAGGCTGGCTTACAAGATCGGCGTGCGGATCGAACGCGATGCCAATATCGTGGCAAGAGTTCATCTTGTACTCTCAGAATAAGCATTCTCATACTAGTGGTGTTACACCTCTCTCTTTTCTATTTTTGTCCTTTTTTTATGATTTTGGTTCTTTTTTCGGTTCTTCGCCATACTCCCTCGCTGTCCAATGCCGCTTAATGTTCCAGGTAACGAATGGGACGCAAATCATTACGAGCTCGATCGCTCATACCCTTCATAACGAGCGCCGCAAATAGCTGCTCCAACTCGAAACGTGCTCAGAAACAGTCTGCGTACGTCTTCTTCTCATGCTTGTTATTGACGTGCTCCTGAAGGGCGGCCGGTTTAGAAGTGGACTGAAACGTCTGGAAGCAGACCTTGCATTTGATGGTCTGGGCGGCAGCGTTCTGCGAGGACAGGACCGTCAGTACATCTTTGCGCATGGAATCACGATGGACACAGTGAACAGTCGTACGCTCTTCAGCTGACTTCCACCACCCTTCTTCTCGTCCGCTGCCTTGCGCTCGCGGCGCTGCGCTGCTTTGGCCCCATTACCCATCTTTTGCAGAGTTGCACTGGAACAGATGACTTGACGAGGACTACGATGAGAGCACAGGAGAGGACGAGAGGACAAGGAAAGGAGAAGGAAAGAACACGGGAAGGATCAGGATCGGGATATAGTTGCGGCAGGAGTTTCTCATTCCATCCGCGGGCAGTGTCCACTTCACTAAGACAATTCTGTGCCAAGCTTGGCACGGAGCGAAAAATCAGTGCACAATCCGGAATCTCCGTACTTCTTACGACTTTGCTCTTTGCTTGCTTCTCTATATCCATCCCACTCGTTGCTCCACCTCCACTGGCACTTCAGACGCAGGAACTCCCCAGAAAGTCTTCGCCATGCCTGCCCCGTCTTCGTTGCCGGAATACGTTTACAAGATCGTCCTCGATGACCCTACGCCTTTTCTTCCTACTGGGCTTCCTGTTTCCGAGCTGGACAAGAAGGATGGATTTATTCATCTGAGCACTGCCGAACAGGCACCCGTCACTGTGCGCCGTTTTTACGGAGACGCGACGGCGATTTATCTCCTGCAGGTTGTGTACGCAGCAGTTGAAGACAAGATCAAGTGGGATGAGACTTCGTCCGGCACCTTTCCACATATATATGACCAAGATTTGAGCAAATCCTTGAACGCAAAGAACGTCCGGAAAGTATTAGAATGTAGAAGGGATGAAGATGCTACTTGGGACGGTATTGTGGAGAAAACTATAGCTCTAGCACAGTAATACCGTGTAACTTCTTATATGGAAATCTACACCAACAGCTCATTGTCGGCGCAGTGATGACCGCGTACCTTCAACGATGTGTTGCCAAACACGTTGAAGCACGAGTGAACGGATAGATCATGTCGTACAACACGAGTCCTTGGCCATAGCAGATACACCAGACAACATTTGTGGCTCTGGCCGGTTTACAAGTTGTTGACGAATCATTTCGTCGACCCCTTGCTATGTTACGTTGTGGCTTGATTTGAATCTTTGCAATTGAAAAAGCTTGCAATATTACGCGGTTGATATGAATCAATTTTTAGCATTTCGGAAGAGCAAGTTCAATAACATTTGGTATGGGTGCACCGAGCAGCTTGCTAGCCCTCTTCCACTCACCCTAAAAGAAGAGAATAGAAAAGAGAAGAACAATTCCGTAGAGGCATTGTTTTATCTTGACTGCTGCTTCAACCTGTAATAGATATTAGACTAATAGACAGGTAGAGGTACGGCTGATAAGTCGTAATTCCATGTGTCAATACTGCTTTGGTCGTACACGCACTCTAGCATGTCGTCTGTCCACTGCGGCCGGAGTGGCCATGCACACAGACTCTGCTTCTCACCTGCATAATCTCCTTGCAACACGGTAGCATTCAAGGTTTGTGGCTCAATGCCTTTCTCGACCCAGTCGATCATCACTGCCATATTTGTGTTTGGAAACGGCCCATTCGGCTGAGTGCTGCTTGGGGCGCAATGTGCAGCTCCAGGAACCAAAAACAGCTTGTACCACTTGCTAAGCTCGGCCGTAGATTCGTTGAAAGAGAGTCCGGGGTACATGACACTCCGAACCGATTCGTGGAAACGCACTGAGGATGCCGCCGGTATAGAGGGGTCGCTTTCGCCATGGAAGTGTAAGATCTTGCCGCCGGCCTCTCGGTATGGAGTCAAATCCGGCCATGTAGTCTCGAGGCTGTCTTGGTACATATGCCATCCTTGAATCATCCAGTTCTTGAGCGTGTCATATGTCACACCATCTAGGCTTTCGAAATCGGACGTGTTTTGCAGCCAGAGAAAACGTGTGATCCATTCAGAGCCCATCGTGTTGATGCTCAATTCCCACTGTCCGCTTTCGTTGTTGTATTGAGTTGCGGCGTCATCAAAGGAGGCTGAGGGCTGGTACGAAAAGTAAACTTGACGACCCGTGGAGTCTTTTAGGCCGTCTATGATTAGCTGTGCAACCTGGGCTCCTTGGGCTGTGACTGTTCCATTTTGTGCAGGCGTTGATGACGATGATCCGCCAGCTCCTCCCAACTGTCGCTTCTTCTTTGCTGGAGGACCTCCACCTGAGGCTCCACTTGTAGCGGCACATGAATACGGCTGGCCAATGACGCTGCTTGCGTTAAAATGAAGCTTGCAGAGGTCCGTACGAGACACTACACCATCAGTTTTTCCATCCAGAGGGTCGCAGAATGCTATTGTTTCATTCAAGATCTTCTCAAGTTCGCAGGGTGGAGGATAGTAGCCAACTGTTTGCTCCACTACATTTGAATACAAGTGTTGTGTTTGCTGAAAGGAGAATCTGAATGCTGGTGCACCGGTAATCGCGCCGTCAAAGGAGTCCCCAAATCGTTGAACTTGAGACCAACCGTCTCGGCCTCCCTCTGAACAGCCTTGGTAGTAGGAGTACAATTTGGTGCCATTGGCCATTTGGAAGAAATTACGTGTGAGCTGTTTTCCGACCAGACCCAACTCGTGTATGGCTTGGTAGCCAAACATGTACAGTGTCTCGTAATTGGCAGTTCCATTCTCGATAGGGAACGTAGCATCGAACTGCGTGTCGAAGCTCCCGAAACCACCGTCAGTTGCTCCGGAAGCAGCACCGTACAAAAGACCACCAGGCAAGGAGTTCGTCCCAGAGTTTATGGCAAATCCACCTCCGCCAGTGGAGAGATAGCGGTTTTGAAAGCTATCAGGTGCAGGTAGCCAGTAGACCAGATTGACTCGATCGTTTCTTCCAGCGTGTGAATATGCCAACGTAACATTGCAATAATCGAAGACGCCTTCCGGATAGAAGTCTGAGCTGCCCGAAGATGCGTTGTATACAGGATTCGCGGTGATCGAAGTCCTGTCGAAGATGATATTATTGTCGACGTCGCCAATTGACCATTGGTCCTCGGGAAGAGATGCGGTAACATATGAGGAAGTACAGACATCAGCCAGGGTCGCTGTATAGGCCGAACGAATGAACAATGAGGCAGTTACAGCCCCCAGGAGAAAGGCCATCTCGAATGCAAACCCGAGAACTGCTGATGGAACTCATGATGAGCCCTTCTCCCATACTTAAATGCTTTTCACATAGACAGACGCGTACGAGCCTAAGAAGACTTTTAGGCTGTGCAATGACCGTATCCTCGCTGCGTAATTGAAGTCCGCTTCACATGGCAAGGAAGATCTCCACCTTTCGCTGCGGTCGGCATGAAAGGCGAAGGACAGCTCCGGGAAGGACGGTTCCGGTTGGTCAGTTTGGAGGTTGGTGAACGGGAATGATCATCAAAACCAATAAGAGCGATTGCGCTCGTCCGGCATATTACGCGGCTGTTTACGCATGATGGGAAAGCTTAAATGAGGAGATGAGAAGGACTAGCAGGTTGAAGATCAACTTCCTGGTCGATATAGGTTAACCCTCTGTACGCGGAAAATCCGCTCTTGCATGATATCCTTGTTACGATTCTTCTGAGAGAAAGAGACTTGCTCAAAATCATATTTCATTTGATTATTTATCCAAATAACTAAATGATATTTAAGCTAGAAATTTCGATGAACTCCCAGAACTATGGATCTTATTAGTTAATTTTGCTTTTGAACATTTTATCCATTTTTTGGTTTCATGTTTTCAAAAAAGAGATCAAACGAACAAAGTACACGCCGGGCAACTGCATCATAACACAGTACTTTGTTCAACATGAGATGACATCCGCTTGCTCATACTGAATAGCGGCACAGACTGTAGCAGGAAGTAAATATTGTATTCTGTTTGGTAGACAAGATTGTTCTGTTTAAATGTACCGAATTTGCTGTAGCTTGAAACTCTACAAAGCTAGCACTTTTAGTCATTTTAAGGCGAGGGTATGAAGAACTAATGAAAAGGCATAAAACATGGCAATTATAGCTTATGCTGTACCAAGAGTTTAGTCAGCAGCAGAGCCAGGAGAGCGCTAATTTATGATCTTTTGATACATTTGTGCTGCCTTTTTCCAAGACCCTCATGCCAAACGTATTTTAGCATAAGATCAAGGTTCCTGTTCATCACAGTGATTTTTGCTCTTACAAATGGGCATCAAAGTCAGAACCGTCCTTTGGATGGAGTGTACCCTTTCGTCGTGTACGGTAGAATACCACCGTACCGTAAGGGACGAGAACTATGTCGACCCAAAGATGCGGCTCGAAGTTGCTCAGGACAAAAAGTGGGAGACTGCTGCGTATGCCGTCGTAACTTCTGTCCTCCGATTTCGGCTCTTGAACGCGTCGCCAGTCATTTTTTAAAGCGCTTCAAAATTTGTGCCATCATAGTCATTGGCCAAACGAGAATATCCAGAATAATTTAATAATCAATCGTCCGCTCCGCATCGATTCATCGCTTTTATTCTTCCATGCGTTCAGATCTTGACAATCTGGAACGACTCCGTCAGAACCTGGAGGAAAATATTTCAAAGCTGAAGACTTCCCTTCGGCACTGGCAAACATGGGAGTTCGAATACTCGGGACTGAAGGAAGAGTTGGAACGACCGGAGGAGGAACCAAGCGTGGAGAAGATGCTAGAGATAGCTCTTGATCAAGAGTGCGAGGTTCTGGATGAGAAGGAGATTAAGTCTTTACTCAACTATGGCAAACAACCGCCACGAACACGTTCTGAGGTCCTTGCACAAATACGGGGGCGCATAGACACTGGGAAGAGAAATGCTGACACTCTGCGCAAGCTACTTGCAGCTACAGAGGAGAAACTGAACAGTATGCTCGCTGCAGGTGACAAATCTTGTGTCGTGGGTGACGCGGATTTCGAAGGCCAGCAGATGGATATTATTGAGGAACTAGATGATAACGATAACGTCATCTCCAGCCGTGTCATTAACACATCAAAAGACAGAGAAAAATTGCGAGAGATTCTTCGGAGCAAAGGCTTTGCGGAGGATGAGACGCTAGAAGACCAAAATGTTCCCGAACAAGACAATGGAGAATCTAAAACAGTGCAGCAACAGACGAATACACAGCCAAGCGATAAGTATGAAAGCGTCTCTTCCGCTCCCAAAACAGACAACCATGGCATGAATTCGGCCCCTCCACCGAACAAGATGCACCCCACGCAACGCATGCTCGTGCTCGATGAGAACGACAAGATCATAGACTCAAAACCCCTCGAATTGGTTCACGCCACCGAAAACAGCAGCAGCATCGAAGAAGAAACAGTCATAGCACAAATACGCGAGGCTCGTGCAAATGCGAAAGAGATTGCGCCTATAGTAGCCAGTTTTGATATTGAACCTGCGTCGGACGATGATACAGAAACAGATTTGGAAGACTATGAAGACGATGAGAACGATGAGAACGAATATGGAATGAACGACATTGGCACCGAGTTGACGGATGATTACAAAGCGCAGATGGAAGCGTTAATGCAAAAGCATGCCGTGGCATTGGAGAACGTCGGCCCAAACTTTGATTACGAAGTTCTTCGAAAATTGGAGACAGCACACAGGGACTCAGCTTTGGTTGTTTCATCAGCCAGGCGAGAAGATGTAAAACCTTCTCAATCTGCTGCAAGCAGTCGCAAAGGCGTGCGCTTTGCTGAAGAACTTGATATCTCCAAGCCTGTGGAAAACAAGGAACTTAGTTCTTCCACCAATTCGGAGAGGATACTTGATAAAAGAGTTTTGAAACCAGTAGCGGATGCGATCTTGGAACACTCGTCTCACGATGCGCCGTCCGAGGGCAGGATAGGAACGACTCGTAAAGTATCTCGCTTCAAGACATTGAGGAACACGACCTTTAACGCAGCCCCGGCTACAAAATCACCGTCATAAGGATTTCAAACGGGAGCTTCGGTTGCTAGGCCATCCAACACTGGCGCGTTAGTGCATAAACCAAGAGAGGTAAGTCACTTTGCAGAACCAAGGTAGACTTATTGTTCCGTATGGAGCCCATTTAAGGCACGTAGAATGTGCGATAACAGCGGTATATTTATATTGATAGATCTGTATCTAGTAGCCAGGATGTATTATACAACAGACCTGAAATTCTCGTGAATTTGACTTGACTTTTTCCAGCTCCAAGGATGCGGCGTATGATACTCTTTGACTACGAGTGTTGTAAGTCGTAAAATCATTTGTTTCTTACTTGGACAGGTAAGAAATTTGAACATATAGATTTAATTACTGGACTATTCAAGTATTCTAGACTTGTTTAGATACATAAGATGACAGCGACACTTTTGCTGTGGTCTTCTCTGTATAGTCCAACAGCAAGTATAAAGCCGAGCTCTCTGATGCCTTACTTTTGTATTAAGTTTGTGCAACTCGTTTCACTCGGTACAAACATACACACTTGATGGTGCTAAGGAGGTAACTTAGTTAATTAGTTCTATGCATCTGATTATGATTCATACAGATTATTTCTATCTCAAGCGCCTTCAACTCCGTTGCAATGCCCTTGCCCCCTTTACATAACACGCTATTATTATAATCTACCTCATGCATGAAAAGACATTGTTCTTGTTTTCGTCTGTGCAAATCTCCCGTACTTAAACACCGGCACTGTTTCTGTGCTCGTTACTGTTATTGTAGTTGTAGTGGCAGTCTCGGTATTTTTAGAGCACTGGAATGTCGACGATGTTGGCAGCTGCTGAGAGATAGGGCAAGAAGACTGAGCCGTTGTTGTTGTTGTTGTTGTCACGGTACTTGTCGACACTACTGGCATGTTCATAGAGAGTGGTGTTAGTGGCGTTGGACCGATGGAGCAGATATTTGCGCTGGTGACTGTTATAGTTGTTGTAATAGTTGTCGGACTGTTACTTGTTGACACTACTGGCATGTTCATAGAGAGTGGTGTTAGTGGCGTTGGACCGATGGAGCAGATATTTGCGCTGGTCACTGTTATAGTTGTTGTAATAGTTGTCGGACTGTTACTTGTGATTGCAGAGATGACCGGACTTGCGGTCACGGTCGAGACTGAGGTCGCGGTAGAGATTGAGGTCACGGTAGAGACTGAAGTCACAGTCACAGTCGTTGCAGCCGAAGTAGCCGACAGGCTGCTTGACGTTGTCGTACAAGGGCCAAGAGTGAACGTATTGCTCTCAGCAATAAAACCATTTGCGTCGAAGAGTCTGAAGAAATAGGTGTCGCATAGAACTAGTTGAGAATTCTCCAGATTAACAGTGACCGGTGAGGCTTGTATGTTCTCCGCTACTCATCCGTCGATTGTCAGCTTTCCATGCGAGGATAAATGCAGAGCTCAAGTCAAGCCCTGTTGCTTCCCTTACCAAGAACGACAGCACTTTGTCCATTTGTGGGAACGACTTCAAGTATATAGGGTGGTAAACCGCCGGTAAATGATATGTCGTACGTTTGCGCGATGTTCCATACAGCGGGTACATTGGACTCGAATATTAGTTGAGCAAAGGCAGAAGTCGCATATAATGCAGAGAAGAGAACTGGGAGAATAAAAAGAATCATCTTGGAAGCTTTTGCTTGATTCAACCTACTGTGAGTTACCCATGGACACAACTAAATGATCCATTGATTTATATTGCCTACTCTGCCGTTTCTTACGCTACCTGAGGAAGTTGGTATTCCTAATCCACTCCTGTTTATATTCAGCTTGGCATGCGAAGCCTTGCGAAACGGAATATTCCGTGCAGGCTCAGCTAAATTTATCTTTAGCTCTTGTGTGTAATACGAGCAGCCGCAATCACCGAACCTAACTGTCTGCCTCGCTTACACATGCTGAGCAGAGGTGATAAAATGTGGCTGCTCATTTCTTCACTCTCGGTTGCTTAGCTAGTGCTATTTCTCAACAATATTTTATAATTTTAGGACCTATATTGACCAGCATCAGAGCCCTCTCGTAAATGCGCAGGACAGTTGACCTTACTCAGCATTGAGTTGCACGCCGCTTGCCCAAGCCAAGTCTAGCCAAGTTAAGCCAAGTTAAGCCAAGTTCAAGAAAGACTTGCTGCTGCCTGCAATATCAATAGCCAAGCTTTTATTAGCGAAATTTGAGAAGTCTTGTTTATTGTTGGGTCAAACAAAGCTGACCGCGGCATGCAAGCTTGCGGTGCTCTGGTTTAGCTTCATGAGCCAGATAAGACAGAAAACAGTGCACTTCATCTAGGAGGGTGAGACTCGCGAGTTTTCGGCTGTTTCGGGTCTATATAGGTTCTTGACAGCAGATGCGACTATCATGTTGTTTTTGTCCTAAACTTGACTCTCAGTCACTTTTAAAGTGGATTAGCTTTCATGCCATCTTAAAAAAAGCGCTTGCACGTCTACGAGAAAGATCGGGGTTACAAATGTCAGATTTTTGGGCCCGAGGTTTTGATACGAAGCCATTTGATTGAAAATTTGCCTTTCCCCCTTTTTTAGCGGGTTCACACATTGTATATATAGATCGTACACTTAAATCAGGGGGGAGCATAGAGTGAGAGGCTCACAAATTTCGGCCCCATCTGATTCCCGTACTGATGGAAAGGAGTTCCAAATTAGTCTGATTGATTTAAATCTCTTTTAACAAGTATATTTGCATAGTTCTTAGGTGCTTGGAAACCTACTTCACAGCGGACTACGCTTTGACACGAGGTGCAAAGCACAGCAACTCGTGTTTAGCGGAGCCAGAATCTTGTATACCCATGCTTTTTGTTGCCCTCGCCATTGGAATGACTTCATTTTGGGTCCTTGGCACTTGACACCGGTAGGCTAACTTTGACGCTAACAAAACTGCTTAACGTTGGCTTCGCGTAGCTGATAGGGTCGTAATACGCCGTGAGTAACTACTGTCTTGTCATGGTCACGATACTGCATGCGGCGATCTCATAGGGTGCCCCACGGTAGCAGTATATACCGTACCGTACCGTTCGGTACGGTATACGGTACGGTAAACGGGACGGTATCACCATACCAGATACCGTACCGAAAAAAACGGTAAATACCGTACCGTACCGGAGGATAAACGGTATACCGTTTCTGGTAGTTATTCTGGTAGTATTGGTGTCAGAATTCACTAAGAAAATAATAAAAATTTATAGATTAAAATTTTAATATTTATATATTATATACTCCTAAATAATATTATTTATATTTAATATATATTATTTAATTTAATATATTTCTTTATTTCTTAGTAGTAATAGTTATAGACTACACTACATTATTCTCTAAATAATATATATTAATATATAATATTTTTTTAATATTATATAATTATAGTCTAATTGAATTAAGTACGCTGACCCTTCCAAATTTTATAAGATTATTAGAAAGATAAAAAGGACTGGTAAAGTATTTTAATATTTTATTTAACTATAAGAATACTGTCTGACTCTTCTAATATATCAGCTAGTTCTGGTATTAGGTTATTTTGTTCCTAAGGCATAAATATTAATTTATAGGCTTTCTTTATATTTTCAGCATTACCTTTACTATTAAAGACTCTCTCCTTTATTTTAGGGAAATTATTCTACTATATATTACCACCAGGAAGAGTAATATTATACTTCTATAAGAGAATATTTATTATAGTACTAAGCTCAGTGTTACGAAGTAACACGTGAACAATCACATGATGAATGATTGCGATTATTTCGCTCAAAAATGATCGGAATGAGCGCATTAGCCAATGGCCGAAGACCAAGGTGTTGCTGATTAGTGGAAGTGATCATTTCGCTCAATAATGATCAAAATAATCACTAGGTATAAGGCAATAAGGATATCAAGAACGAGGTCTATATAAATATCCTGTCTCTACTAAGATAACACTCTTCGTGATTTAACTGTCTAGCATAGTGTTAGGAATACTTTCCCAATACCGGCTGGCTTCACCAATGTAAGCCACTTCGGAAGGGATTAGCTTCCTAGAGCAAGGGAACAATGTATAACCAGAGCTTATTAAGGAAGGAATATAATAAGATAGTTACGTTTGTGACTTAGAATGGTATGAGCTTCAGAAGTATGAGAATGTATTCAA